AAGCCACCCTCTTGAGCCCAGCGCATGCATTACGGGTGGTGCCGGCGTTGACGCCTTTTTGCCCTGCTGTATTTACCATTGTCTCTTCAAACGACTGTTACCTGTATGGCCCCATGCTCCTTTGCACTCTGCAAAATCTGGTCTCGCCGAGCACAGAGTACATACCGAGCTGCGTGCTCTTGGTTCGACCGTGCTTGTACATATGGGGTGCTCTGTGCGAGGATGCACAAAGTTGAAGAATCGGGCGCAATGCCGGCCCTGACCAGCCAACAACAAGGTCCGGTGACAGCAAGGGCAAGCATTCCCTGCCCACACTCCCGAAGCAACAGGGGGCCGTGCATTCGCAAGCCCAACTCAACTTGGCAAAAGACAGCTTTTGGCAAGACAGCAAGGGATCATCTCATGGGGACGAGACACGCAAGGCGGCTGCCAGGGGTCCGTGGCTGGTTCACCATGACTTGTGCGCCACAACCCGCGAGGAAGCCAAGAGAGAGAGGCTCCTAACACCAACCGCAGACGGGCATGACAAGCCTCAGCTGTCATCAGGCGACAGCTATGCAAAATGACGGGGTGCTACTCCAGATGCACGATGATGCTGAGAACTCCTTGATTCTTCAGCTCATCTGGGCGCGATTCATGCAGGACCATAAAGTCCAAAATCTGATACTGAGCTAGGAATGCGACTGTCGAGATATCTTCGTCAAATTGAAGATACTAACGAACTACATGACGAGGACCACCAAGATCAAACCAGCACCCCGCTGTCCAGGAGGAGAGAAGGCCACTGCTTCCTCTTCATGACAAGTACCGAGCAAAGGGGTAATTGCCGCGGCATCGTCAACGCCATGTCCGGGCTGCCATGTGTCCTGTCTTCGAGCTGTCTTGGAGTCCATCCCGAAGCGCCCAGCCTGTTGCCGTATGTGCTTCACCACGGCGTTGACACATTCTGCTCCGCGCGTTCTGGAGTTGGCGGGAGGGAGGGAGCTGGAACTGGTGCCGTGCTGCCAAGGTCAAGTGCCACATTGTGACGATCAGCCAGTAGCCGGCGTCCGGATCATCGACAAGCAAAGGTGAAAATATCATGCCGGATAGCGACATCCACCAGGGCCTTGGCGCCTTTGGAACACTGATCCAGCAGCTCATGTTCATGTTGACGATGTTCTCGGCCGCCACAGCCACAGTTGTCACCGCTTCTGAGCAACCCTCGCCGCCGCGATCAAAGTTCCCGGAAGCGGGTTCGGAATCTGGTGCAAGAGGATCGGCTGCTGTCCTGAGCACGACATACCTGTGCATGCCACTATTGTGCGGAATGAGACCCCAGGCAGTGGGATGCAATCCTGCTCATGGGGGCTGTCCTACGACGCGCACTCTGGGGTTCAAAGAATCCTATACCAACAGGCCCCAGTCCTAACATTGCATACATACATACTAGTATGGCACGGAGCAAGGCCCAGCTGTGTCTGCTTCATGTCAGCATCGAATAGTCTCATTAGCAGCAGCGCCCGCCGCAAAAACCATACGCAATTACATGTCCCTCAGTCAAAGTTATTTTGACATACAGATGACAAGCGTGAGATCAGCCAACTGCAGGGAATAACAAGAGCTCAATGTGCCAACGGAGACGCACCAGCGGGTTCCAGTCCGATGGAAACTTCATCATCGGGGCTTCATCGACAGCCAAGAGCCTGGTGCGAGTCGCAACAAATCCTTATTCTGTACTTGCGCAGTTCATACGTACACGAATTGACGTGGGCAGCCGAAACATCCGCCAGCGAATCCGTTTCAGGCGCCTTTGCAGGACTGCCCAGGCAAGATTTCGATAATTCCCAGAGATAGGGTTTGATGTGCTTTTGTCTCGGATACTATGTGGCACGACATGGGCCTACACGAGCTCGCGTGCGTCGTCGTGCTACGCAAAGATAAAAGTCTCCAAAAGGCTATTCCGCACATACCTACCGCCCATGCCCGATATTACTCTGTATACGAAGTGCTACCTTGGGGGATTGGGAGCAGATGAATCATTGTTGTTGGTCCTACGATTACATTGTCGGTCATAGCCAAGCCCGTCTCACTTTGCAACGAGTCTCATGAAGAAATAGAGGATCGTCGACACCTTCACTTGAGGGTCAGGCCATTCTCTCCAACGCCATCAAGATGCGATTGGGCCCTCACGAAACTGCTGACCCGGGATAGTTGAACATCTGTCGGCCATGGAATGACAAGGATTTGGCTGTGCCTTTTCTTCTCATCAGCTGCTGTGCGTGAGCAATGTGCCACCAACATACCAACCTGTTATACCCGAGACTGTGACATCCCGAGGTGTGTTCGTTGAACAACGTGGTGATGCCGGGAAGCTGCACAAGCTCTCTCTCTCAGGAGCCATCGATAGCCCGTCCCTCTGGTGTGACGCGTTGGGGACGATCAAGATCTTATTGCTTTTGTGCACCGTGGTCACGTACCACACCCGGCGTCATCAGGAAGCACGCGTGTCGCCCACAATGCTCGTATCTTGCCAAGCGCTCGGTGTAGCATGCAGCTCCCTCTGCACCCGATATGATCATATGTACAAGCACAGGCAACTCACGTACATGGCCGCATCTGGTGTTGCACCGGAAATCTGAGACCGTGAAATGAGCGTGTACCGAAGCCGTAGCGCTCTGTGCCCGCGGCAAGCAGCAGCAGCAGCAGCAGCCATCGCGAAAGCATCGAAAAGCTGCCCGTTCCGCTCTCTGCATGACAAAAGGAAGAGAGCATCATGCCGTCCGGTTCTATAATACTAGTCTTGTTGTCACATCGGTCCGCTTGCCTGCTTGACAAGGGGGGGGGGGGGCCATTCGGTTGACCTTTTGAAGCCTGGGGCGACGACTGGACTTTGTTGACTTTGTCAACGTGTGGTCCGCGTGGTAGGGCTGCCATGCCCAGGGTTGGCCGAGTGGAAGGGGGAAAAGAAAAAAAAGGTCATGTCATGCAGGCTTTCCGACCCTGTCCTAGCTGGTTGCAGGCATGTCATATCCAGGCCGTCCGACGATTGGCTCTGCGAGGTCGACCGGTGTGAGAGGCACATCACTTGCGGCTGTACAGAGGTAACGATAGGGGTGGCAGGGGTCCCAAGCCTATCGGAGACAACCTGGCTTGGCAACAACAGAACAAAGACGAAGAAGAACACTGAGACCGTGAAAAAAACAGAGGCGAAGTGCCTCGTCGGAAAGGGGAGGGAGGGAGGGGGGTTGGTTTTTCCTTTGGCCGCGTGCTCCGCTCTATGCCTTTCTTCTGCAAGCATGCATTGAGATTGACTGGCTGGGAGGGGAGGGGGGAGCCAAATCTGTTCTGGTCTGTGTTGTTTCTTGTTTTCCAATATGCACATGTCTGGCATCGGAAACGAGGGGGGGATGGATGGGGAGGGTTTCTTGTTGGGTCCCGCTTCTCTTTGCATCTCTTTGCATGCGCGCGTATACGAAGAAGTACGTATTATTACTCGTACTTGCTGTACTTCATGCCTGTCCGTCCTCCCATCCATGAGATGACGGGTAATCGATGATGCATGCATGCACGTTCGAAAAGGAAAAAGTGGGAGCGGGAGCAAATTGGGAGGGGGGAAAGCGAGTGGCAAGAGGGAGCACTCTCCGAAGGAGACAACTACCACTCTGCTGGGTGACAGTGCATATGGTTGCGGTTCGATGGCATGAGATGATATCGGGATTTTTCCTCTTTTGCCGTGGTGGTGAAAGTGGGAATACATACTGTAGGGTTTTCCCTTTGATTTGGGAAAAAGGGTTCCGGGGATGTCATTGGATGGCGATTTTTTTTCTTGCTTGAGTCGCAGTGCAGGGTTGGGAGGCGGCACGAGAGGGGGGGAGGGTTTAGAGGAAGGAGGCTTGCATGGGGATGGATGTCCATGGGATAGGATGGGCGGCTGGTGCTGATGATGGTTGGGTGTTTGGGGACGGGATTGGCTTGATGGTTTCCGTTGATGGGTTGTGTGTGTGTGTGTGTGTGTGGGATTGTGGGATTGTGCGTTGGCGTTGGGTGTGTTGGGGCAGTTGAGGGATGTCGGCATGCTCGTTGTGAGTCTGAAGACGAGGCTGGTTGGCTTTGGAGGTGAAGATGCCTCTGCAGAATGCCATGGGCATTGAGCAAAGGACAGGAGAAAAGAGCTGAGATGAGGTGTTAGAAAGGTGAACATGTAGTATACATCATGCTGCTGCTTTTTCGGCCAGAAAGAGAGGAAGTCCAGATTAAGAAGCTAGGATCTAGATATTTTTCTCTCTATCTAGGTACTAGACGTAGATGATATAGTATGCTAGGAGTCTACAGCTATAGTCGCCGATAATGACCCATTCTCTTCTACTGAACTCAGTGGTGATAGTGGCAGTTATATGGATATATGTACATATATGCATCGATAGATGCCCAGCCAAGTTAGTAGTGCCAGTTTGCCACTCCCTGTATGTTGACATAGATCGGCGATTAAAGTCATTATTCCAGCTTGTGGTAAAGACTTACCTCAAGCTGCTTTCTATACAACATGGATCATGACATGTATTGCAGGCGTAGTGCTATAGTACTACCTCTGTGTATGTCGTTTCCAGCTGAGCTTTACAAGATCCTGAGGCATCCATTATGATACCTATAGTTCTTGATGAACGAAGGCCTAACTTCAATTTATGCCTTTGCTGTTCGTGTGGCGGACGGACAAGCAGCATGTATATACGCTACCTCCAGCTTCAAGATGAAAAGTCTCGCCACGGAGAAATTGGTATCAAGTTGGATGAGAATATCACGTCGTGATGTACAATGTCACGAAGGCAAGGTGGTTCATGTTCATGTCCATATCTATGATGAGAAGCATATCCAAGTATATCCAGACAAACCAACGCCGCCGTCTGTCCAAAGCTCACAATCCATGCCATCACCATAACAGGCCCCACCTCCCCCTTAAACACTAAGAGTGCTTCCTCAGCACATCCATGCCCGTGGTGGAAGTTCTCACCCAGACTCATCTATGTCCGCCGAAACAACACCTTATTGAGTATCCCCCCTCCGCGTCCCCTGCGAAGGGGCTCCTCGCTGGGACTCCCCTTATCCGCCGAGGCCTGCACCCCAGATGATGAGCGCGCCTGGCCTGCCGATCCGCTGCCCTTGGGAACATCAACGTAATCATCCACGTCTTCCATGTCCTGAGGGGCTCGATCAAAGTAGCCCTCGGCAGCGAGCTTGGAACTGGCCGGCAATTGTTGCGCCGGCGATGGCTGATGGCCGCGCACTTTGCTCAGCCCGCGATCGAGATATTCCACCATTGGCGCCTTGATGATGTCAAAGCTGTCGTCGTAACGTGAGGAGGAGTCCCTGCGATCCGCCTGGACGTCTTGTATCTTTCGGTACAGGTCGCCGCAGCGAGCCATCAGTTCCGCCTCCAACTCTTGCTCCTGGCTCTCCACGAATTCCATTCTATCCGCAGTCCGTGTGGGAGAGGATGTAATCGTGCGTGATCGATCCTCAGCTTCTACATGGGCAAGCCATTGAGCATATTGCTCCTGGTTCTGCGCTGGATCGACAGCAGCTTCCTTGGGTCTGCTTTGCTGCTCGGGGCTGCCCGTCTCAAGGCTCCTCTTGCTGTCTACGATGTGTTGGCCAAAGGAGGCACTAAACTCGCGATAGTGGCCTTTGAGAACAAAGCTTCTGCCTGTCCAGCCAAACTCGGACAGCTTATGCAGTAAAGCGGTTGCAGAGGGACACTCCCATGGACTCTCCAATCCACGGGAGTAAAACACCATGCATCTCGCGTCCTTCCACCTGGAAAAGGCATCGTGGCCTTGCTCGTCGGAGATGGTACGGCCAATCATCTCGGGCGAAGCGTTTTTGATAAAGTTTTGAGGAACACGAAGGTTTATGGCGTCGCGAATGTGCGATCGTTGATACTCTGATGGCGGCCGGACATCAAAGATGAGGGTTTGGCCGGGCAAGGATATTTCGAGGAGTCTGTTGAGATCGGCCGGCAAGATCAACAGCGGGCCGCCGCCCTCGCTAGACGGCGTGTCCCCGACTTTCATGCTGGCCAGTCGGTCCGTAACCAGATCCCGCTCGCGCCGGTGATGAAACCAAAGTCCGAGGTGAAAAGGCTCTATTCCAAGGTTAGAAGCGAGGAAAGCGCTCTCGCTGTCATTTGGGAAGGGCTGCTTCTGGTAGTATTCCTCTAGACGCTTCTCGACATGGGGGGCGAAGCTCTGAGGTTCAGGCACGTCGGTACCGCCAAATGTAGTACGTCTTTGCGATTGCTGTTGGTTCAGAATCATCTGTCTGGATATCATGGGGCTGGTGCTTGTGCTGAGCGATGATGAATTCGGATGGGTGACGGGGAAAGAGGCTGTCGAGCTCAGGGATCTCGGAAAAGGTGCCAGTTGTCGGCCCGACGGAGGTGACGACGAAGCTGGCCCTGCTTGTGGCGTTCCGGACAGGCTGGAGGGAGGTGCATGCCGGGCCGACCCGGTGTCTCGCGCAGGGGCAAAGCTGAATGAGCTCCTGAACTGCCCGCCAAGGCGACTGAACTCAGTGGGCGCAACGGTCGTCCCGGTCATGACGGAGGTCGTGTCTGGGTCTATCGTTCTCGACTGGACGTGGGGAGCTGGTACAGAAGTAGCAATTGGCGTCGGCTGAGGCTTCTGAGCTGCTATGTTGTTGGAGCGAATAAAGGCAACAAAGGAAGTTGCCGGATCCTCTGGCAGCAGGTCCCAGATCATGACGGGCATGGAGACCAAGACCAGGGTGGAGTGGCTCTTGAAGACGCCCTGGATCTTGACGTACCGGGCCATGGCGGGAAAGGCATTGAGCCACTGTTCCCAGGCATTGATATCCAGTCTCTGATCCTCTTCCAAAGCCAATGATATCATGACATGAGGAGTGTCCTCGTTGGGCTCGCTCGGGACAGAAGCTGCCGCCAAAGCATCAGCAGGGCTGGCGGCCCGTCCAGCAGATGCCGCAAATTCATTGCCGCCGACAGGACCACCCATGGTTTCCGGATCCAGATGAGGAATGGTAGGGACTGAAAGAGACCTCTTTTCCACCGGCATCGCCCTGGACAGCTCAATGCTAGGCGCTTTATGGTTGGCCGTCATCATGAAGTGGACAGGTGTCGAGCGTGCCTCAAAGTGCTTACCGTTGATTGTGACGGGCCTGGGATGCTTGAGGCGAGCAAGCACCTCGGCGTGGAGCATGGCAGCGGAAAAGGCTCGGTGTCGCCATTCTTGAAGGACCTCGATGAGGGCGTTTGTGAATGAGTACCTCCCGGGATCAGGGGCAATGGCGTCCCAGCTGGATGCCGATATTGTCTCCGTGATGCTGTTGCCTGTGGGAAACGTTGCGCTGGCGGCCCCGGCGCAGCAGTCTAGGAGGATGAGGACGTCGGATCTTGACCGTTCCAGCAACGTCTGAATGGCGGACCACCTGAGAGGGCTTAGTCTGTGCGGTCGTCTCTTGTGCTCTTTGTAGCTGGCTGAATACTTACTGTAACCAAGGCGAGTCGTGCTCTCGCGTGCTAGGTAAGGAGAGCGTGTCAGAGTCACAGCCGAGGCTTACACGGTGTAACTTCCAAGCTGTATGTACTTACGCGCACCAGGTGCTCTGTCTCGACTCGTCAATCCGGGCATGGCCGCCATAGTAGACGATGAAGAGGGTGTCGGGTGACTCGTGGTCCTTGATGAGCTGGCCAATCCTCATCATGAGCTCGAGGTGGGAGTTTTCCGAGGGGATGGAGAAGATGTCGGTGCCAAAGGCGTAGTCCTCGCGCAGACACTTTTCGAGGTCCTCGAGCTCGGGAAGGACAAACAAGTCGTCGGATCCCCAGTGCACGAGCAGTGCCTGGACGTTTCTGTAGCGCTGGGACGGCCGTCCGCGGTTTGGAAACGCCCGCGCCGCCGACTGTGTGCGGTGCTGCATGTCAGACGGACTGTCTCATGAGAGCCGCGGCGAGGAGGAAAGCAGACTCACATCCTCGAGCCTCTTGGCAAACTCGTCAATGTGCTTGACGTGGAAGCGCGCGCGGCTGATGTCGTGGGTTGCGGACCGCGCCTGGCCGTCTCGCGCCATGCCCTGTTGCACCCGCTGTGAGCCCATCGTGTCCGGTCTTGAAAAGCTGCTGGATCGCCTCTCTATTGTCCTGCCCTGTCATGTCTTGTCTTGTCTTCTCTTTCTGACTCTCTGCAACAACTTGGTAGAGACGCCCAGACTCTTGCCACTCACTCACTACCCAGGAGTCCAGGACCCGAGACAGGGGTGAATTCTCAACGTACGGGAGTACCGTTTCTTATACCCACTCCATCCTCGCGCCCGCGAATGGTGACATACGGCTGCGCGCTCATCTTGAGTGTCGAGCAATGGCTTCAACCAAGATCGGAGGGCTAAGCAGCGGGCTTTCCATTCCCCAGCTTCAGTCACCCCACACGCATCTGGCTGGAGCCTCGTGAATCGCGCACTCGGACGATCCCTGGTGGTGATGCAAACGAAAAGAGACGGAGCTCGGTAGACGGCTCGAGGGGGCGTGGAGAGGTAATAGCAGATACGAGAGGAAAGCATCCATCTCTGTTGCGGCGCGAGGATGAAGTCGAAACGCTGGAGAGGCGCCTTTGAGGTTGACGGCACAAGTGGAGCGCCGGCCGACGCACGTGGGATCAATCGCCTTTTGGGCGCTTCGGTGAAGGAGTTGAGTAGGTAGCTGTATGTAGCTGCTCGGTCGCCAAAGCGGCTTAGCCACGTTGCACCAGGCGCTCCAGTGCCTGTTCAGCGTCGGGTTCTTCAGTGGCTGTTCAGCGGGCTCTCGGTGGTTCTTCAGTGCAGGTGGACAACCTAGACCTGGAGCCCGAAGGACATCTACCTACCTAGGTACTGTATATCCAAGGTAGAAGCATCCGACCTCAGCCACAGGCAAAGTCACCAGCTGTCGAGTGTGAAGCAGAGACGACTCCATCGTGCGCTCTTCATGTTTACGCTACATACATGTAGGTAGCTACATGTAGGTACATGTACTTCCTCGGGCCTTGATTCGGTGCTCTATAAGGAAATGCTGGGTCCTTTGAATGCCCGAGCCACAAAAGATCTTGAAGGAGCTGCCGCTTATTTACCTTACCTTAGCTCTATAGAACGTGTACATCTTGTGCAAATCAGTTGCCGAAACTGTTGACCGATCCCTCCCTCTGTGCCTTGTAAGAAGCAATCCTTTGCTTTCTGTAGTAGATCCTGTATGTAGCTCATTTCGTACTGTACCATCTCTAGGCTACAGGCATTCGCCTCTGCAATCTCCGAGGCACGACAAACTTCATGTTATAAAGGCAAGCCATACTTGATACAGATCTCTCCTCCTGTTGTAGTATCTGACCCAGTCCATCAGTGTTCAAGTTCTATCATACCCCAGCTCCTCCCGAGATGGTATCCTCTCCAACCCCCCCCTCTCTTCCCTGCGCATTTTGTCTTCTCTTCTCGGTGAACAGCAAGCTCGTCAGGGCCCCGAGATGCAGCAAATGCCCCCTTCGCAGGTACACAAAGGCGGCATACGCGCCACTGGCCGATGCAACAGCCAGAGCCGAGATGAGCGACGGCCACTTGAACTCTTCGGGGCGAGAAAAGACAATGGTGGACGCATACGCCAAGAGCTCGAAGCCGTTTTGAAAGGCCGCCTCCACGGAAGAAAAGACGCCGCGGTGCTCGGCTTCGACCTCCTGAGGGGAGCTTGTCAGCGATGATTCATGTTACAGACGAATGCACTGGATTGCTTGGCTACATGTGAAGGACTGTTTGTAGCACAGAGGGCGGTTGCCTCACTTACCTCCTGCACAATCAGCTGGACGCACAGATCAAACCCTCGCAGCCCAAGACGGCTCAAGACCGTGCCGGCAACAAGCCCGCTTGCTGACACGAAAGGGTCTCCTGGCTGGAACGTCCAGAATACACACACTCCCGCGGCAAGCATCGTGACCTGCCAACTACTCAGCCACAGACCAGCTCTTATCGCCCCAATCCGCCCCATCAGCCAAGGCGCCACCCATGTGGACAGGACCTCGAATATGACAGCAAAGGTTCGGGCAATGCCAATCTGCATGGATGAATAGCCGGAAGAGAGAAGGTAGGTGACCATCTGGCCGCCAAAGCTCAGAACGGTGAGATAGAGAACGGCACCGGCCATGGATGGGAGAAAGGTCCGATGCCTAAAGTATAGAGAAAAGTCCCGTGCGGAGTGTTGAATCAGTTTGAGCAATGAATTCCAAGCTTCATGGGCTGGAGGGTGGGTTGCTAGAGGGGACTCTGCTTGTGGTGCGATGCTGCGCTGCGGCGATGTCTTTGCCTCTTGCAGCTCCGGGATCTTGTAGTAGACTCGGGCGATGGCCAGATATTCAACGGGGAGAGACGCTACATTCATTCCAAAATTGACAACGATTGCCAACCGGGAGGATTGTGAGTCCATCGTGGCAATAAAGAGCGGCCCAAAGAGCTTGCAGAGGAGGTCAATTCGCCGCATCTGAGCATTCATGGCTCGAAGCGCTGCAGGGTCCCTCTGTGCCACAACCACGACCTACATGGCAGCTACATCAGTAATATGCACGGCATGAATCAAAGGAGAAACACTCGCAACCGCACCCAATCTTTTTCAACAGAAACCATGTTCAATATCGAGCACAGCTTCTCCACGCAGGCAAAGACCGTCACCACCGCGAGTAGCCCTGCTCTTACACGAGAGTCAAGTTGTACGTCGGCCGCTAAGACATAGAAGATGGCGCAAGATGCCGCAACGACCAGCCTCTGGAAGACTGTGGCGTGTTAGAACTTAAGAACCATCTACTAGTACATCAGGTTGAAGCTTACCAATGGATACTCGGACGACTTGGAGCCGGTTCCCAGTGTCAATATACCAGCCAACTGCCGGCGCAAAGATAATCGCAGATAGCCCACGCACGAGAGCGTACAGAGACATGGGCAGCAACGTTCCCGGGAAGACAACTGCCATGTAGAGTACCGCCCCGAATTCGAAGACTCTCGAGTTCCAGGTGGATAGGAAATGCGAGACATAGAGCCGCCGAGCGATTGAAGCCGGGACATGGGCATTGTGGTATGTGCCATCTTGGCCCAGCAAAGGGGTTCGCTCTTCATCGGATGACATTGTGGAAGCCGTACAGCCTTTCAAAGAAATCTGAAGAAATTGCCATGGTGAGAACCATTTTCAGGCCTCTATTCCCCCGTATATATATGCTTGACTAATATGTGTTTAGGTAGAATCAGTGCGCAAAGCAAAGAATTGCTTCTAGACTTTGGCTCTGCCAAGAGCATAGGAGATGCCCCGTAAAATGTGTCCAAGCAATGGTGTGAGTTGATTGGCCAGTGGGCAGAGATCATGCAGGGAGCAAGACCTGAAAAGGCAAGGGTGGCTTAGGTAATCGGAGAGAAATTCCCATCTTGTCCGATTAATCATTCACCTTTGCCCCCCCTGACCTTGACATCTACAACCTCGCATTGGTCAGTTATCATACCCGTTCGCTGTGGCGGTCTGGTTGATATTACTTGATATTGATTCTTGTTGGGGACATTATATCATGCCTCCGATCAGGGCCTGCGATACATGCTTCAGGCAGAAGGTAGCCCCCGCCCATTCGCTGACGGGAGCCTCGAATTGCCCATCCATGCCTGCTGACTCGATTACTACCTAGATTCAGTGCCTTCGACCTGATCCTCGCCTACCCTGCAACTGGTGCAGCCATCACAGCTTGACATGCACAGTTAGTCGGTATAATGCAAGACGGTCCAAGAATACGTACTGAGATGCTCCAAAGTATTCATATCAAATTGCTCTTGTTGACGTATGAAACAGAAACAACAGAGAGAAGAAGCTGCTGGATCGAATCAGACAACTCGAACAGGCTCTCGCTGAGAGGAGCTTGCCGCAACACCTGGACGTAGCCAAAAGTCCGCGCCGTCTGGAATCGACACCATGCGCGTTGCACAAGAATGCATTCCTTGGAAAAACAAAGAATCCGTCATGTGAGGATGGCGGTGTTCATCCACATATCGACATTGCCAGTTACCTATTCGCGCGGAATTGGTATCACAAAGGGTTTCCTATCGTATCCGAGACTGGCCTAAACTGGATTGCCTCCAGAACTCTCTCCGATACCACAGCTCTAAAGGAATACTGTCTGCACGAAGAAAGCTCAGGCATTTTGTGTGGCTCATGGCCAACTTCTTCTGGCGATAAGCCTGCCCCTGCAATGGCAACGAGCCTGCCTGACAGAAGCTTAGTGCAAGCCTGGCTGGCATCTCTCCCGGGCTCTTCCTTTCAGATCTTGTTCCCGGCTCTTGACAAGGTACTCTTTGAGGAGACTATAGAGACCGCCTACTGTGATCGCCATCCATTACTACACCCGGACGTGCTCTCAGCTAGAGCCTGTCTCTGGGCGACCTTGGCCGTCGTGGCTCTTTTGAGAAAGTCTGGGCGTTTCTCTTCGCTGGTTAGCCGCGAGATGTGCGCAGAGAGGGCGCAGTACTTCGTGGAACTCTACATTGACCACGACCACTCGCCCAATGACATCAATTTTGTCCAGGCGTGTTTTCTCTTGGTAAGCTCGTCCATATGCTTCTGCTCGTCCATAAGACTCTGCCTTTGCCAGTGACTTTGCCAGCTAATTGCATGTGTATTATAGCACAAATACCGCATAGCGATTGGCCAGTATGAGACTGCCTCATACATGCTATCGACCGCCCACAGTAGGGTTGAGAGGCTAAATGGCCATCTGCATCACCCAATGGAGCATGGAAGCAATGTTGAGCCGTCACTCCTCGAGCGTCGTCGGAACCATCTTCGGAAGCTATTCTGGCTGTGCTATACACACGTCCAAGACCTTGTTCTTCCGTCTGACCTACGAACTCGGAGCGTCACCCAGAAGCCTGACTTGAGAGATCCCGATAGGCATCTCGGTCATGACGTTTTTCTACAAATGCCGGGAGAGACCGTCGACATCGAAATCATGGGATCTATTGCTTGGGAGAGGATCCTGTCTTTCCTGCCAGGCGATCCGCACCTGGGGCTGTTGAAGGAAAATGTCTACGAGCTGCTCTACTCGCCTTCTGCGCTGGAAATCATTGACAGCGAGCTTCTTGTTCGCATTCGCCAGCTGGATGACGAACTCGAAGACTGGCGATTGGCCATTCCCCCAGTACTTCGCCCCAAGCTATCGATAACTCCCGTCCAAGGCATACTCTGGAACCATACTTTTTCAAGCTACTTGAGGTCTGTCCAGCTACAACTGGAATACCACTTCCTCGTGACCTTCATCCACACGCCAGTCAGGAGATTTGGAGCGACTCAAGGCCAGCATACCATTCTCCCCGAAGAGCTTCACAGCGCCATGCATTCGAGCATCGACCTGTCCCTGGAAGCCAGCCGTTCAACCCTTCGTCTGCTGCGAGAGCCGATAGCAATGGTCAGGCAAGACACTTTCTGGTGAGTCAAACGAATGCGATCCTGATTCTGTTCCCCGCGCTGTTACCATCTGACGTGAGAATGCGATACCTAGGCGTGCTACCATGTATCCGATCGTCGCCGCAATGCCACTCTTTCTCGACATCCTTATACATCCTCATGACGGCAGACGAGAAGAGGACATTGGATTGATCTTGTCGGCTTCAGAGGTAGTCGAAAAGTTACGGAAACAATGTGTGAGCGAATACGAAAACAGGCATATCGAGCAGACGAGCGAGTTTCTGAGGGAGCTGGTCAGACATGCCTATGGCGCTGTAGTGGCAGGCTGAACGCCTGCTTGACAAGACACCCGGCGAATGAGGCTTGAGATAACCACTATACCACAGCCTCTTGCTTTTGACCACTTAATGTGACGATCTAGTGCACATGTCCAACGACGTCTGATGTGATAGACGAGATATAGGTTGCTCTGGGTCAGCCTAAACTGTCAACAGCTGAATCATGCTTGTAGTAGGTATCCGATAGAGGGATCCTGCCCTGCATCTGTTAACCAGAGTTGGGGATGCTAGGTTCATGTACATGTAGCTACATGTAGTCAAAATGCTACTAGCTACAAGTAGCCCATTCCCCCAAATAGGATTATCACGCTTCCCTCGGATGCCGAATGCTGGGTTACACTAAGTACACCACTACAATATCACGACAGCTTGGAAGTGATGTCTTGCTCCACAGACGAAATGTTGAGCCTCACCAATGCGCCGCGATCCGACTGTCATCTCCCACTAGGTACCTAGTACAGACAACACATTGCCTAGTACCTACCAGTAGGTACCTACTATGTCGCTATCCGGGGTCTCAACCGGTCCGCAAACTTCAACTACGGTCATTACGTGTACTGCAGTAAATGCAGCTTCGAGCACCGTCCAATGGCCATGACTCACTCTTTCGACGCAGGATTCTGATGATTTGAACCAAAGTAACCCTTGGTGACATGATGTACATATCTCTATCAGAGAAGTTGACAGGTCGATCCGGGTGCCGCGGGCTGCGGCTGTCAGCGGCTTTCCTCGCTTCATCACTGGAGACAGCAATGCTATCCGCATGCTCGGCATCCATAGAAGATGTAATTTGTTTACGTGGGCATCTCAATTCGAAGCCTACAATTGGTGAACCGCGAACTCGAATCCAGGCACCATCAGGCCTTGTTTATTTCTCTCAGTTCCCTCCACAAGACCATTTCGAAACGGGCATGACTCCTCCTCGTCATTGTTACGCTACCTTGCTAGTTCAACTAGCAGAACGAGTAGCTCACCTACCTAGTACCTACACAAGCCTCAGTAAACGTAGCGATCAATGTCCTAGTCAAAAGACTTGACAAAACATGTGAACCCAGCGAAGGATTCCTTGCCATTTGGCTAAAGCGAAGCTACCGGTCGATCTGGTTGTCTTTCGTGCGGGGCTCTCTACTGACAGGGGTACCAGAAATGGCCTCCATCTTTGGGATATTTCTGACTTATATGACTATCGTTGTATGTGCTGTTTGAAAGGGTCCGTTTGTCGCTTCCAGTCTTGAGACTGCTTATACTGACACAACTTTGGTCAGCCATATGTAATTTGCCATGTTGCAGAGCATAGCAGACCGGATTCTAGGCATGGCGTGGTCGCTGACCATAGTCACGACCTGCCTCATCGTCGGCCTGGGCATCCTCGAGCGAGTGATTGTCAACCATCGCCTCAGCAAGATCAACGGCGTCCGAGCCTCCATCCTCGGCGGCAATCCCATCACCTGTACGAAGATGAACTCTAGCAAAGGAATCCCCCTTCATAATCCATATACAAAGGGATTCAATAACACCTCGTCCAGCATTCTACGCCTTCTTCAAAGCCGGCTATATGCACGCCAACAACCGCCTCCAGGAAAACTTCACAAACATGTTCGCAAACGCCTCGCCCTCGTGCCCGCACGCCGTCGAGCTCACAATCTTTGGCCACCGCTCCATCATGACCATTGACCCGGAGCACATCAAGGCCCTGCTCGCGACCAACTTTGCGCATTTCGGAAAGGGACCCCGGTTCCATCGCACGTGGGAGCCCTTCCTCGGCGACAGCATCTTCACGACGGACGGGCGGCTGTGGCAGCAGAGCAGGACGCTGATCCGGCCCATGTTTGTGACGCAGAGGGTGCGGGATCTGGATATCCTGGAGAGGTGGACGGACGTGCTGATTGACAAGTTGCCGGGGAGCGGGCAGACGGTGGATGTGTGTGATTTGTTCTATCGGATGACGCTCGATGCTATTACGGATTATCTGCTGGGGCAGAGCGTCGAGAGTTTGGACAAGTGAGCTACATTGAACGTGCTCTCTTGATCATGATATTGTGTGTTTGTTGGCTGACACCAGACGGCGGTTAACTTAGGCCCAATGGTGAGTTTACCAGAGCCTTTACGCAGGTCCAGCGGATTCAGATGCGTCTTGCAATTTTCGCGTGGGTTGTCTCCCAACGAGACTTCTTGTAAGCCGTCGATCGTGATCGATGGCCATTGTTGACTTTTTACTCTCACCAGACCTTTCAACCGCTTTGTCCCTCAAGAAGAGTACAGAAAAGGCATCAAAGTCCTCGAGACCTTTATTCAGCCCTTCATCGAAGCGACGCTGGCCCTCACACCCGAACAGCTAGAGACAAGATCCAAGTCGGACCGAGACTTTACCTTTCTACACCACATGGCTCTCTTCTCGCGCGACCCAAAAGTCATCCGCGACCAGCTCATGGCGGTGCTGCTGGCGGGACGAGACACGACGGCGGCGACGCTCTCGTGGACAATGTACGAACTGTCCAATTACCCCGAGATCTGGCGCAAGTTGCGGAGCCGAGTCCTGGAGAGGGTTGGGCCTCATGCCGCGCCGACATACGAGGATATCAAAGACTTGACGTGTCTCACGCATGCGCTGAACGAGACGCTGCGCCTCTACCCTGCTGTCCCCTACAACGTCAGATCATGCCGTGAGTCTTTTCCCCCTCTTCTTTTTTACGAGAACGTGCTCAAATCTCTTCAGAGCACAGAGCTGACGTCTGGGTTGATGTAAACATGAACAGTTCAAGACTCAACACTGCCCGGAAAGCCCGGCCAGCCCGACATCGCCGTCCTCAAAGGCGACCACGTCCTCTACAGCACGCTCGTCATGCAGCGCCGCAGAGACCTGTACCCCCCCGTCTCCGAAAACTTTGCCGACCCGGCGGTCTACAGCCCCGAGAGATGGGAGCACTGGACGCCCAAGCCGTGGCAGTTTATCCCGTTCAACGGCGGGCCGAGGATATGCATTGGGCAGAACTTTGCCATGACGGAGATGGCCTTTACATGTGAGCTTCACTTCGATGATCTCTCTCTTGGGGAGGAATCCTACGTGTGTGAGATTGCGTAACTGAGGGAATGATAACTGACATGTGAGCTGTTTTTTGGTTGTAGTGGTGCGGCTTTTGCAGCGGTATGAGAGGATTGAGTATAGGGGGGATTGGGCGGCGCAGTATCTCAAGGCGGATATCGTTGGATGTCCTGGACTGGGAGTGCCGATTGCGTTGTATGAGGCCAAGTGGTAGTAGTATTAGGATTCGGGATGGCGAGGCTGAGCTGGGGCTCCAGGGTATACGTAGTACGTACGCAACGGGTACGGATCGAGGATAACCTGGAATACGAGGTTTCCACGTATGGCCGCCACGACCGGTTAGCAGGCTGAGTCTATTTCTGGATTGTGGGGAAATCGTGGAAGGGCGGCATTCAGGCGATGGAGATGGGCTGAAGCTGTGGCGTCTGGTGTCTTGTCTGCATACATGTACATCATTGTCATGAAGCTCCGTCAAGTGTCTTATAGACGAGGAGGGGCATTGGTGTTGATTAACAACTGGGAGATCTCAACACCGCTCACAGCTATTGATTGCAGCTCACCTCATTCTTGCAGCCACAATGCTTCACAGCCCTCCTTTCTTCTCCCTTTGTCTCTAGTGAAGCCTCTCTCTCATTCCCGTCCTGTTTTCATCACAGCACCACTCGACAGCATTCAATAGGTGATCAAAGGAGGTGCGCGATCATCCCCCGGGCTAATGAGCCCACCCCCTTAAGCCGGTGGGGTCGGTCCCCTATAACGGCTCGCCATGGCGGTCCTGCAGGCTTCGGGTTAGTGGACACCTCACCCGGTTCGTCTGTGCTCAGCCCGACTGCTTTGTCGTCATCCAATGGAGCCGATACTATCAGACATCCATTCATTCCCTTGACCTCAAACCACACAACAAACAACACCGTCTCACACCGTCTCTCGACTCAGCAGCTGAATCTTATAATAAAGCACGCGTGGCATCCCCATCTCTCAGAGCCTCCAGCCAGGTTACAGGCACTCCTCCCTTCAGCACCCCGCAGACGCCAACAGCACCATGAGGCAGAGAATCACCTACTTTCGCCCGCACGACGCCGACTGGGACCCCAACCAGCTCGCCATCACCGACACCAGCGTCCACGGCCCGGCCCTGCCAGCCCTCAAGGAGCACAAGATCACGCTGACGCTGCCCGAGCTGCCGTCCGAGCTGGCCGGCCTCCTGCGCGACCTCGAGCAGCTGCACCTGAGATGGGCGACGCCCGCGAGCTATGACACGCTCGAGCCCTTCAGCTCCCGCATCTCCCCCGGTCTTCACGTCTCATATACGCCCGCCAAGGAGGATCACGACCCGTCTGTTGAGCCTTTTTGAACACCTACTCGACGTGAGGAACTACTTGTAACTAACAGTCGGAACAGGGAAAAGCTGTGCACGGCGCTGCAGGCGTTTGGGCGGCTAGACTGCTCCTCACCGGATGTAAGGTTTCTCACGCATACAGCAGCCCCTGCCAGCTACAGCTCGTCTAACCGGCTCACAGGTCTTCGTCAACTTCAGCGACGGCCGCCAGCCAGGCTCGCCCGCCCTGTTCTTCTACAACGAGCTGGAGAAGCTGGACGGCTTCGCAAAGCGGCTCGGCCCCGTGGTGTGCTCAGGCCCGAGCGCCACCGAGTGCAGGAAACAGCTGCACGAGCTCAAGGATGCCGTCAGCCTAGACATGTCCTACGATTCCACCTCGGAGGCCGTCAAGATCCAGGCCCTCTGGCCGCTGCAGAAGCGAGAGATATCCGTGCCTGCGTCGCCCAAGGGCCGGACAGAGGTCGGCATCCTGGGCAGAGATGCGCCGCCGGGCATGGAGCCGCACGAGATCGGCGTCTCGGGCGTCTTGACCGTCATTGGCGAGCAGAAGGAGCCGTCCCCGGCTCTGTTTGCGTTTGCATCGCGACACAGGGCGGCGTCTGGGTCTTTTACATCCAGATTCCAGCAGCCAACCGGGCTACATCCGACTCTTCAGCTGCGCCTGAGCAAAACTGCAGCGCCGCTTGACGAGGACGCCGAGTGTGCGCCCTATGCATACCTCACTTTGCCAAAGGTCATCTTCGCCGATAGGTATCAGCTGGCAGATGAGCTGTTCCTTGCGTCCAAGAATTTGACGGCTGCCAAGTACGTGAGCGAGCCGGTGGATCTCGAGGCTCCCGCGTACACTACCAAGCCGTGGGGGTCCAACGTGCTTCTGCAGCTGGCGCCTCCCAAGGACGGGGCTGAGGCCGAGGAATGGACTGCCGAGGTGCCGCTTCACCTACGCTATCTCAAGCCGACACCGACAGGCAAAGAAGAGGCGGGAATACCTTATCCGGCGGTGTTTTGGGCATGCGAAGGCGACAAGGACACTGCCTATACCGTCAGTCCATTTGATCGCGCCACTCTGGGCTACGACGGCCTGTTCGAGCCGGGCACGACATTCTGGCATGTGAGCCCGAAGCCCGAAGCCGGCGGCCGTCTGATCAACAACATCAGCGTGCCTGTGGTGACGGAGGGAGCGTCTCAGTGGGTGGGAATTGGAACAGCGGTGGCCGTGGTGCTGGGCTTTGCCTGGGTCTTGCTGACGCTGGTGGGAGGATATGCAAAGTCTGGACATGGAGCTGTGGCGGCCAAGAAGGAGGACGAGGACAAAAAGGAGAAATGAGACGGGTGATGATTGAATGATGGCATGGGAGACGATAACAATGTAGCTGCGAATTTTCATAGCGTGTGGTTGGATATTGAATGGATGACTAGGAGTCGCTGAGAAGGTCATGGATGGTTATGGCATTTGTTTGGGTAGATTGATGCGCAATAGAGGACAGGCTGCTTTTTTTCCTCTTGACTACGTGTATTCATGTCAAGGGATGCTTTGTGATTGGTATCTACCTTATCTGATCTGATTTCTTCATACTAACTCATCTGCTTGATGCTGTCATTGAGTGAGATGCCCGGCCACGTGACGCTTTGCCGCCTTTACCTCCGGCCGGCAATCGGGGTTAACAGAAGCCCGGCCCCGGGCGTGTTTATGTCAGTGAAGCAACATGAACCTGCAAAGCCGCGATCGAATCCATCCAATGAAGCCATCAACGTCTCCAAGGGGGCAGCAGCAGAAGAAAAATAAGTCGGAAAACGGTCAACCTTTTGATACTGTCCGAAAGTGAGCGTTTGAGAGGAGAGGAGTTCAAAAAGAGGCGACCCGGGACATGTGACCTTGGGAGACGCAGCCTCGAAACACCGCCTGCTATCGTATCTCACAGGGCCTCGGATCTAAGAATCGAGCCTGGAAGCTTCCAACTCACGAGCGTCGGCACCAGGGAATCTCCTCAGAATAGTGGGAACAAGAGCGATTGAGACTTGCTGAGCTCGATGGCTCCAACGCCGCCGTCAGCAGGTTCGCCGAGTCACGATGAGAGGACGAGGCGGAATGTGGCGTGTGTCAACTGCCGCAACTCAAAGGTGAGCGACACAGCCCGTGGATCTCATTTTGATTCATGTGAAAGCGATGAGAAGCGATGAAGTCGGGACTGTTTTATCTGATAGTTGAATGAAACAAAACAGGTCCGGTGCAGGTCGAGCCCAGTCTCCGGTCAGCCGTGCCAGAGATGCGCCAAGTTGGACATTTCATGTGTCGTCGACAAGACTCATAAGCGCATCACAAAACGGAGGTAAAATCACCTTCTCAATAAGAGGACTGATGCCATATCAGTGCCCTCGCCCTCAATCAATACGATGAGCCTCATCGCTGACTTTTTACAATCTCACAGCAAACTGGAGCAGCTGGAACAAGAACTCAGGAGCATCCAAAGAGTCGTCAACACCAAGAACACCATCGCCGCCAACGGCGAATCAGCCTGGTCGCCTCCCAGCCCCCTGACGACCTTCTCCGCAGCGCCGTCAACATCAGACCAGGCCACGCCCTCCACCAGCGCAAAGCCAGCTCGCCCCCCTTTGTCCATCCAGATCCAAGGCCCGCCGCCTCGACCCCCCGAGAAGAGACAGACCAAGACCGGGCCTACAGAGGCTCGCGTCCTCGACTCCCTCATCATTCCCGGCCAAGACGTCGACTACTACTTTAGCAAGTGCGCTTCTTGCAACCCAACCCCCCCCCCCCCCCCCCCCTTTTTCCATCACGACTATTGACCAATGGAAAACAAAAAAGAAAATTCTCTTTGAAACTGACAAGAAACGCCGGGGCCAGATACCTCCAGCACTTCCACCCCTTCCTCCCCATCCTCCGCAAAAAGGACCCCGACGAATGCTTCCAAGCCCAGCCCATGCTCTTCTGGGCCGTCCTCTACGTCGCCGCCCGCCGCTACGCGCGAGACGCCCACGTCTTCGGCGCCCTCGTCAGCCACATGACCAAGAACCTGTGGACCATGATCTCGGGCGCCGTCCTCGGCGTCGACGAGATCCACGCCATCCTGCTCGTCTGCGCCTGGCCCTACCCGACCATCCGCTTCGTCACGGACCCGTCGTCTATGCTCGCCTCCATCGCCATGAACGCGTGCGTGTCGCTGGGCCTGCACACGGGGCGCGGCTCGCATCCGCAGTTTTGCGTGGGGAGCAGGTATGGCCTTTCGTCTACTGACGAGGAGGCTTCGTCCACATGGATAGCCTGCTGCTTGATAGTCCAAAGGTTCATTGAAACTCTCTCTCTTCCTTCTGTTATCTTTTCTCTCTATATGCGATGTTTGTGAGCTCAAGAGATACTCTAGTACTAAGTGATATCATATGCGCAGAACATCCGCAGCCGCAGGCCACCCGCCCCCCTTCATCCAGCACAGCGACACCCGCTGCAAAGCCGCCCTCGCATCAAACTACTGGGCCGACCTCGTCGCGACGTACGAGCTGCAGCGCTTCCTCAATCGCTTCCACATGGCCATGCACGCGCAGACGTCCACCGTGGGCAGCGTCCCGGACAGCGCCGTGGCGGCCTGGGAGACGGAGTTTGAGATGCTCAAGCCCGCCATCATCCGCTTCGACACCGGTAAGAAAAACCCTTTCCCCCCTCAATCATCGTGTGGAGGAGTCTAGACTCAACTGCATTGCAGAAATGACACGCATCCTCACGCTGGCCGCCCAGCTCGAAATGCAGCTCTTCTACTTCATGTCCCCTTCTTCCATCACCCCCTCCAACAACAACCTCACCACAAACCCAACATCCACCACCACAAACCCTCCTCCTCGTCATCCTCAGCCGCACACATCCTCCTCCTCCACCGCACCACCACCGCCACAACACCCTCCATCGCCAACCCCAGCCCAAACCCCGTCCTCCAACCCGTCCCTCCACATCAACGCCCTCAAAGCCTTCTCAACAGCCCGCTCCCTCATCCTCACAGCCCTCGACCTCGACGCCCGAAGCAAATTCATCGCCCACTGCCCGGGCCTCTTATGCCGCGCTCTCACCGACGCCGCAAACACAATCGTATACCTCCTCCACTCCCACTGGGGGCCCCTCTCATCATCATCATCCGACACCCTCAACAATCTCGAATCTCACCACCACCACCACCACAACAACAACAACAACTCCCCCCACGACACCACCACCACCACCAGCAACAGAACAACAACCCTAACCCCCGAAGAAGCATCCATCCTCGCCCAACAATCCTACACAGCCATCCTCCGCTGCTCCGTCAAAGAATCAGACATATGGTACCGCGCCTCCGTCATCCTCGAAACATTCTGGTCCTTCCGCCGCTACGTCCCCAGATTCGACTCCGTGCCCCCGTCGTGGGTCAGCCGCGGCGGCGCCGGCATCACATACGCCTGTCTTGAAAAATTCAAAAACGGACTGCTCACCGCGCAGAAGAGCACCGATGGCGTCGATAAGTGCCTTGAGATTATTCGTCAGTTTTCCCCCCTCAACTAAACCCCCCCCCCCCCCCCCTTTTCTGTAGAGTCGTCCATTTCTTGTTTTTTTTTTTTTGCGTTTCGAGATCTTGTGTGGTTAAACGTTGTCCTCTTGTCTAACCTGCCAGCAATAATACAGAGTTTCGCGCAGATCAGGCTTCGGGTTCCAATACCGTTGCCCAGCAGCATCAGCCAATGACCAACAATGTGCCGGCCAGCGATCCCTTCCAAGACGTGGATTGGTCCATGTTCATGGACGATTTTGGCTGGACGGGCGAGGACGGCGTCTTGATGAGCCTCATCTAACCAACGATAAATTTCCCTCAGTTTCTTGAACATATCAGTAAAACATTCACATCATGTCGGAAAAGGAGCCTTGCTTTGTAAGAAATATTCATCTCATTTCTTTGTCTTGGATATCATTCAACATTCACGTCACTTTGGAAATTGTCTGTAATAAAAATTCATCTCATTTCTACCTAGGTAGAGGACCCATTAATGAAAACCACTCAAACAAACCATGCTTGCCAGATCCCTTAACTCCGTATGCCCTGTAAATCATGAAACATTTAAGACTTCTCAAACTTCTCAGTCATCAACCCTCTCAGTCAAACTTCGTCCACCCCTCAATCTCGGGTGTTTTAATCATAAATGTCCTCATCCATGTCCTCTCCAATCACATCCTCAACATCCTCCTCATCAAACATGTCTTCGTCATCATCATCTGTTCCGCTGTCGGGGTGGTTCGACAGCACAACAATCTTGTTGTCATCAAGCTCCACGCGCGCCGTCTCGCCGTCGCGGATGGCGTTGCGGAGGATGAGGATGGCGAGTTTGTTGAGCACCTCCTTCTCAATCAACCGAGCCAGTGGACGAGCGCCGTATGCGGGCGAGTAGCCGGCGTTGCCCAAGTAGTCCTTGGCCTCTTCCGAGACCGAGATGGTAACCTTGCGGCCGTTGTCTTCCAGACGCTTCTGGATCTCGCTGATACGCAAGTCGACAATCTTGCGAATCTCCTTGCGCGTCAGTCTGTTGAAGATGACGACCGAGTTGATACGGTTCAAGAACTCGGGCAGGAAGTAGTTGCGGAGAGCGCCCATCACCAGCTCCTTGGTGTTGGCATCCACCTTACCCTCCTTCACGCCAGGGCGGACGAGGTACTCGGCTCCCAGGTTGGAGGTCATGACGACAATGCAGTTCTTGCAGTCAATGACTCTGCCCTGGCCATCCGTGATGCGGCCGTCATCCATGAGCTGGAGAAGCACTGTCAGGATTTCCTTGGCTGCCTTCTCCACTTCGTCGAACAGCAGGATGGAGAATGGCTTGCGTCGGAGTGCCTCAGTCAGCTGGCCACCAGCGTCGTGGCCGACATATCCTGGCGGAGCACCAATCATACGGCTCAGCGAGTGCCGCTCCTGGTACTCGGACATGTCGAAGCGGATCATGGCCTTGGGGTCGTCAAACAGGAACTCGGCCAGCGCCTTGGTGAGGAGCGTCTTGCCAGTACCCGAAGGACCACAGAAGAGGAAGCTGGGCGGCTGGTTGGGGTTGCTGAGGCCAGAGCGCTGGAGTCGGATGGCGTTGGCGACAGACTGGACAGCCTCCTTCTGGCCAACGACAACCTTGCTGAGGACCTTTTCCATCTGGATAAGCTTCTCCTTCTCTGATGTGCGGAGTCGGGTGACGGGAATGCCGGTCCACTTGGCAACGATCTCATTGATGTTATCAGCCGTCACGATGTCGGTGACCATGACAGTGTTCTCGCCGCTGGCGTTGAGGGCGACATCTGCAGCGTTCTTCTTCTCCTCCAACTTCCTAATCAGCGCCTCCTGCTCTTGGATGGCGCCGTACTTGAGATCGGCGGCCCGCTGGTGGTTGCCGGCGTTGATGGCATCCTCGAGGCGCCTCTTCAGGTCGTCGAGCTTGTCCTTGGCTTGGTGGATCTCGTCGTTCCGCTTGATGTCGTTCTGGTACTTCTCGCGGAGCGGCTGCAGCTCCTCCTCCACGTTCTGCGCATCCTTCTTGGCCTGCGCCAGACGGATCTGGGACGCCTCGTCGTGCTCCTTCTCCAGAGCCGCAATCTCAATCTTCAGCTGTCTCAGCTTGCGCTCAAGGTGATCGATGATCTCAGGCTGAGACTCTCTGGCAACTCGGACTGCCGCGGCGGCTTCGTCGATGAGATCGATAGCCGAGTCGGGCAGTCGTCGAGCTGTCAAGTACCGCGCTGCAAGGTTGGCAGCAGCCACGAGGGCGCTGTCGAGAATGCTGACCTTGTGGTGGCTGTCATACTTGGGCTTCAAGCCACGCAGGATAGAGATGGTCTCGGTGATGGATGGCTCCTTGACGATAACCTGTTGGAACCGACGCTCAAAGGCAGCATCCTTCTCGATGTACTTGCGGTACTCGGCCAGCGTGGTGGCACCAATGCAGTGCAGCTGACCACGGGCAAGCATGGGCTTGAGCAGGTTGGCAGCGTCCATGCCGCCTTCGCCGGATGATCCAGCTCCCATGAGAAGATGGATCTCGTCGACGAAGAGGATGATCATGTCCTTGGACTCGGAAATCTCCTTGAGAACACCCTTCATTCTCTCCTCGAACTCACCACGGAACTTGCTGCCAGCAACAAGAGCACCGACGTCGAGCGAGAGGAGCTTGCAAGCCTTGAGGTTGTCGGGCACGTCTCGGTTGACAATACGCTGTGCCAGGCCCTCGACGACGGTGGTCTTGCCGACACCAGGCTCACCAATCAGGACCGGGTTGTTCTTTGTTCTGCGGGACAGGATTCGGACGACCCGTCGGATCTCTTCTTCTCGGCCGATCACCGGGTCGATCTTCTTCTCTCTCGCCAGGGCGGTCATGTCGATGGTGAACTTGGCCAGGTTCTCGTTTTCTGATTCCGTGTCTGCGTTCTTGCTGTCGACCCGCTTGGTGCCGCGAATGGCCTGGATAGCTTCCTGGAGCAGCTTGGGCTTGGGAATATTGCCCTCCTTCAGGACGGCTTGAATTCCGGCGTCCTCCGCCAGAGCCGTGATGAGGTGGTCGATGGCAATGTAGGTATCCTTTTGGACCCTCTGCAGCTCCTGAGCTTTCCTCAGGACGGCGTGGAATGAGGGTGAAAGGGAGACCTGCTCAGGCGGGGGGTCCTGGCTTGGCAGCCGCACCAGGTTCTTCTTCAGCGCTCTGTCGACAAGCTGAGGATCTCCGTGTGCTCGCTCGATGGCTTGTCGGAATAATGTGACGGTGGTCTGCTGAGGGCCATTCTGCTGGTCCTTGGACTGGTCGATCGGGGGCTCGAGGAGAGCTACAGCTAGGTGGACTGGCAGTAGCTGTGAGTGGCCGTACTGCTCAGCCATGGACATTGCGTCCTCGATGGCTTTCTGCGCACGGTCTGTGAAATCCATTCGTGAAGTCATGGTGAAGGTTGTGTGTGATGTAGATGTAGGTGTAGGTAGTAAGGTAGGTTCGGTAAGGTAGGGGGAAAAGGTAGGTAGGTAGGTATGTTGATCACAACCAGTGTGTCAAGATATGTCGTGTGTGTTGTTGTTATTCGTTGTATGGCAAACAAGCCAGCAACGTTGTTGCAAAGCTAGTCTTGGATATGTTCTTTTTATAGTCTCTGTGATGATCTGAATGAGGAGAGAAGAGGGAGAAACGAGGGAAGAGACTCGCCGGAAGGCTCACAATTTATGACCTTCCGGGTGGAGTGACATGTCGGCAGGTGGGCAGACAATAGAGTCAGCTCGAGCCTTCCAGCATGAAGCTGCAGCAGCTGGAGCTCCCCAGAAGTCACTGGAAGCTTGCGGATTCATCCTGATGTCACTCGACTGCCGGCAAACGGCGCGAAGTGGGGAACGGGGCATCTGATTGGGCGATGCGATCTCATCGCACGCGAGCGGGGCGGCCAGCTTAGGCGAGGATGGCAAGATGGTTCTTGCAGTTTCTGTTGCCCACTGGGCCGGTACTTTGCACTTGTACTCCGTAATAATACCTCGTCCATGCTGCTGGAATTGTCTTATGTAATCAGCCTACCTCGAGGTCCCTTCGTACCTTCCTGTATTCTTCCGTGAGCGAGATTCAAAATCGGTACTCATATCACGTGATCCCGCGCAAAGGCAGTTCTTCCGGCTGGCAGTCTGGCGATTTTCTTTTGCCGGACGAATCGTGAAGAGGCAGCGCAACTCGATTCGGCAGCCATGAACCACGCCTCAAGACCCTGGCACGGCCAATTGCTGGGCCTGTTGAGAACCGGAGTGCGGTTTGCGCATTCCGGCCAGCCGCGGGGGACCAGCCAGGCGGCTCAGAGCGCCGCGGGCCATGGCGAGGACATCTGGGTGTTTGCCCACCGACGGTCAGAGCAGGTCATCTACAGCTTCTCCAAGCAATTGGATGTCAGTACCTTCTCTTGTTGAGCGAGATTGCATCTGCGGTATCTGACTTGTCACGATAGGGATTCCATGACCTGAAACAGCTGCCGTTCAACGGCAAAAAGACCAAGCCCGCAAAACTTCGCAAGGACTACTGGTCACCGCTCGCCCACATCCGATTCCAGCCCGGCCAAGGATCCATCGGCCGCTCCGTATTCCAAAAGCTGCGAGAGCTGAAGCACCTGCACGAGGTCGCGTGGGGCGACGAGATGCGACGCAAGCGGCCGGAGGAGTACACCAGCGAGGACAAGAAGAAGATTGCAGAGCAGAAGGAAAAGGGACTCGACTACCAGCCCATCCGGAGCAAGAAGGAGCGCGGCCTTGCGCTCAACGCGCAGAAGAAGAATGCCATTGCTGATATCGCCTATGTTCTGGCGGGCGGCGGCCGGGGCAACAAGCTCGTGACTGCAGAGACGGATGCAGGCGACAAGGAGTTGGTGGACGTCACTGTGAACTGGGCCAATGACCAGGACAAGAAGTACGCTGAATCATGGTCCAAGAACGTTACGCACTCTCTGCTTGAAGTGCCGGCATATACTTCAGGCGAGTTGCAAAAGGAGGTTGAGGCTACGAAGGAGGCTACGAAGGCGGCGGCGTGAGAGAAGATGGATAAATGTGTTTGATTTGTGATCAGGCGATGGTCGAGGGATCCATACAGGTACGGGTCCGAGGGCTCAGAGGACATATGGGACGATGTACTGGTAACGGCATGATGGGGTAGTTTGGACATGAGTCTTGTTTCCAAAAGCGACGGTGCTTTCTGACATAAAGAAAAAGATGCGGTGGGCGTATAAGAGCCACACTGATATACTGTATCATAGAGTAAAAAAAAAAAAGAAAAAGAAAAAGAATTCCCAAAAATCCAACTATAAAATGCCCTTTACCTGATCCTTGACCCAGCCGTATCCCATTTATACCGTGATGCAGAATTGCTTCAAGTATTCGTAGTGAGGAATATTCTCATCCACCGTCTTCCGGATGACCTTTTGCGCCTCAGGCCCGTACTTTTCCGCCCACTCCCTATTTTCCGACTCTACCGTCGAAGTTTTCTAAAAGAACAAAAGAGATCATCAGTAATCACGTCTTCATACATGGAAATAGCAAGGCAGATTCTAGGCGTACCTGAGCATGAGACCTCGCCCGAAAGCAAGTCGTCTTGAGCGCATCATCATGAAAGCCATTCCACTTAGCAAACATCTCCTGCGCATACTCCCGGTCCTCCTCCGTCCACTCCAGCATCTCGGGCCGAAAATCAATCCCAATCCTCTTGCAATACTCGCGAATCACCGGCTCCGGCTTATCCAGCAAATCATCCGCGTCAATCGCCGTGATGTTCTCCTTGTCCACAATCCCCTGCTCCACCAGGAAATCCAGCAACCGCACGAGCTCCGCATAGCCCGCCTCGTTGGGCATGAAGTGGTCGAAGCCCGTGACCTCGCTCAGCGGCGGGATTGTGCAGCGGTAGTAGGAGGGGATGGCGCGCTTGGGGTGGCGGATGAGGAACGTGAAGTGGAAGCGCCTGAGGACGTCGACGGGCAGGACGGTGGGATTGCCGGGCTCTTGGCCGCCGCCTAGGGAGGGCGCGATCTGGGCTGGTTTGTTGTCCGGGGGCATGAGGTAGTAGGCCATGTCTTTGATGAAGAGGCGTTTGCCCTGCTGCGTGTAAGTACGTGTCTCGTGGGTGTGTGTATCGCTCTCTCTTGACGATTCACAAAAGAGAATTGTTGTAAGCGTAGGGAGTTGCGAACCTCTTTCTGTGCCTTTTCGAGACTGTCTAGGACATCTTTGTAAGTGGTGTTGCAGTATTGTGTGCTCTTGCGGTAATCATGATTGTCCCTGAAGCGGTCGCTCAAAAACTCTGGGCCAAAGTAAAAGGCATCGCCAAACGGCTCATGCACACACTCCAGAATGTCCCGACGAGCCATGAACACCTATATACATATCTCGTCAGCCAATTTGCAAAACTCAATTGAACCACTGAAGATGAAGGTGGTGTTTTTTTACCCTTTCAAACGCCGTCGAGCACGCTCTAGGGTGCGTCGCAACGAAAATCGGTGGTCGAGGAGCCATGATGAATTCCTAAACTACCTTAATAGAAGATATCGGTTGAGAAAGATCGGGATATAATAGAGGTATGATAAGCAAGGGGAATCAAGATCTGTAGGAGGGGGATGAAGCAAGATAGATAAACCTCCCACATGTCGGATCATCGCTCGAGGGGGGCCAAGCCAAGTACCTGAATCCTTTCCCAAGCCCAGTTCGATTGTTGGCATCTTGACCAAGTTTTGTCTACAAGGGACACACACTCACACACCCCCGACGACCCGAGAGACCTTGCCGCTTTTTCTAGACCAAGTTCCTCCGCAAGCAGAATCACCACTCACGAGTCCCCATCCAAGCCTCGCCCTCCCATCTCAGTATAGGCCGGTTCCACTCCCCTTGCCTTGTGGAGGGAGCCCCTGCAAAGGGCCTATCGCCATTCGATATCCCCCCCTCCAAGAACAGCCACCCCTACTCTAATAGGGCAAATGGACTGGGTTAACAGGGTAGACCACACTAAAGATTTTAATTCCAGACAGCGCTGCGCTAACTAAAAGGTATATTAATTTAAGTGTAATTACTATATAAATATATATACCTCTTTATAGCATCTCCTAGACTTAAGAATATATATATAGCTATAAAGATATTAATATAACTAAAGACCTTATTAATTAAAGCTATTTACACTTTTAAAATTAAAGGTATTACTTATATAATTAAAGGCTTTTAATATTAAGTAATTATAATTACTTTTAATACTATTACTACTACTAAATTAATAACTATTACTACTGCCTTATTAATTTACTAATATTATTTATTAATTATATAGTATTTAGCTATAAAATTAAAATCTTAAAAGTGCTTTAAAAAGTTAAAAATAGCAGCTTAAAATAACTATCTTTTATAAAGCTAAGGCTATTTATAATAAGTAGCTATAAGCCTAGTTATTTAAAAAAATATGCTTTATTAATAAACCTAGACTAATACTTAAGTTTAGCTATTACTAAAAGGTTTAGTAATTTAAATTTTAAGGCATGCCTTTATAAAAATAACTACTTAGCAGTTAATTAATAAATTATTTAATATTAAATATTTATTTATAAAAGTATAGCTTTTTAAAAAATTATAAATATAAGTTATAATATTATAGTAAAGTATGCTATATTATATATAATTAAGGCTAAGGCTTTACTTAAAAGTAATAAAATATAAGCTATAAGTGTATTTTAAAGCACTGCCTTATATCTCCTAGCTTATAAAAGGCCTTATATATATAGCAGTAGTTATAATACTTTTAAAGGCAGTAGCTATAATAATTTTATAGCTAGTAGCAGTTATAATGCCTTTAATAATAATAATAGCAGCTATAATACCTTTAATAGCAGCAGCAGCCTTTAACTATTTTATAAAGTATTAAAAAGAGATATTTTATTATTTTTTAGTTTTTATTAGTAAGGTAATACTTAAGGATTTTAAATTTATTAAATTAAGTTTATCTTAACTTATATTTTTATTAGTATATTCTTTAAGTAAAAGAAAAATAAGGTAATTAATAAAATTTTTATAAAAAAGCTATTATTAATTTTAAAAACTAAGCTTAAGCAGCCTTATTATAATAACTTAATAGTAATTCCTTTTAACTTAAAGCTTAAAATAGTTAATAATAATATAGTAATAAAAAAGCCTAAATTATATTAAAAAAAGACTAAAGCAGCTTTTTAATTACTAACTTTATAATAGCCTAGCTTTTATAAAGTTATATTAATCTTAAACTAAGTTTAAGCTTTTATATAATACTTTTTTTAAGGTATTATTATAAAGGCTAAATTAATAGTAATTTTAATTATAATAAGTTTTATAATTAACCTAGGCCTTATAATTATTAATAGTAACCTTTTTTTACTAAAGCAAGAACTTAATAAAATTATAAATAATATAATTTTTATTATAAAAAAATATTTATAAGCTTAAGTATTATACCTTATAAGGTAATATTATTATATACTTAAAATTATAGTATTATTTTATAAATATAAATACCTATTACTTTTATATAAGAATATAGGTTTTCTTAATATAAAAAAGAAGGTTTTTTTACTATTAATAATTAGCTTAAAGCTTTTACTATTTAATAATAAAGTTAGCCTTTATAAAAGCATAAATTAAGTCTTTTTAATTTTTAAAAAAGTAATTCTATTACTTAAAGTATTAACTTTATTAACTTTTAAATATAGCTAAGATCTTAATACTATTAATAATTTAATAAGTCTTAATACCTTTAATAATATTTTTTTTAATATACTATATATATAGCTACTATTAAGTAAGTAAGAAGGCATTTTAAAAACTAGCCTTTATTATAGTATTAAAATTTAAAATAATAATAAAAGGATTAAAAGTATTATTTATAATATTATATTAAAAAGTATAGTAATTAAATATATACTTTAAAGCTTATAAAGTTTATATAAATAGCTTAAAGTCTTTCTTTAATAATAAAATAAATATTAAAGGGAAAACTATATTAAAAGATATAATTTTATTAACTTTTAAAAGCTTTAAGTTATAGTAATTAATATTATATATAATATTAAGTATTATAAAGTTTAAAAATTAATACTAAAGCTTAAAATAATAATTAATAAGAACTAGAAAATATTATAAATAATTTTAAAAGTTAAGCTAAACCTTAAAATAATAATTATCTTTTTTTAAGGCTATAATTATAGCCTAGGTTAATATTTAGCCTTAAAGGGTGCTATTAATAAGCTTTTAATATAAATTAAAAATATTTTTTTTTATTAAAAAGATCTTAAAGTATTAAAGCTTAATAGTCTTATTAATTACCCTAACTATAAGGTTTAAGTAGTTAAGGAGAGCTATAATTATTTTCTTTTAAGTATTAATTAAGGCGCTATACTAGTATTTAAAAAAACTAATTACTAAATTAAAATTATAATTATAGCTATTATAAAAAATCCCTAAGACTTAAAAGTTATTTAAATTTTTTTTTTATACTATTTTTATTTTAAATAAATAATTAGTATACTTTATAATTATTTTATATAGTTTAAAAAACTTAAACTTATATATAGTATTTTTATAAATATATATAATATTATAATAATATAGCTTATTATTTTTATAATTTAATAACTAGGTCTTAATTAAAGTATAGCTTTTATTTTATATATAAGCTTAAAAAGCTTTAAAAGCTACTTTTATTAATATAAAATACTTATTTATTAATAATAGTTAAAGTATTATTTTTATAAATATAAATTTTATTAATATTAATAATTACTTTATAATTATATTATTTTAGTATTTTTTAAGTTATAATACCTTCTTATATATATAGCTTATTAATATATATATTCTTAAGTTTAAAAAATATTATAAAAAGGTATATATATTTATATAGTAATTATACTTAAATTAATATACCTTTTAGTTAGCGCAGCGCTATTTAAAACTAAAATCTTTAGTATAGTCCACCTTATTAACCTAGTCTATTTGCCCTGTTAAAGTAGGGGTGGCCTCTAAGAATAAAATAAAAGAGCATCCATTTCTATGTATCTCAGCCTGTCTTTAGAAAAGATGATTAGCCTTGGTTCAGCGTACGTCATAGTGCCTTCACTCGAAAGGACAGGGCCAACAAGGGACAAGGCCAAGTGCAAAGCAAAGACAAGGGCAACAGGACAAGGGACCGACGCGGAGCTGAGCGAAATGGCTTTGCCGGAGTGGGCTTCTGTGGCGCTAAATGGCCACCCCGGCTTTCTTTTTCTTCTGCAAGTCATTCCAAGCGAGCCTTGTCCGGTTAACAGAATTGAGGGGACGAGAAGTAAAAAAAGAAAAGGATGAGACTGTTGTTGAGTTAGTGTTGTTAGTCCACCTCGCAAATGGCACACTTTATGCAAGGGGGGGACGTGGTTGAGCTGGCAAACTTGATAGGTCGCATGTTCTTCTCTTGTTTCTACGCAAAAGGCTGTGTCATGCGCCTTCGACTTTGATTTGAGGAAAAAGCACGCATCTTATCGGCCTCTTGTTTACCGCAACTCTCCGCTTGAAAGGGCGGGCACTTTGTGACGACTTTGTCCGGGGTTTGCCGCTTGGAAAGCTGCCGAGACGGACGAAAAGAGTTGGGATCTTCATCGAACTTTTACGAATATTCAAGGTTTGGAGTTGTATTATTTCTTTACCGTTGTATGGCTGGCCCCACGCCGACAGTCCGAAATGCCTGGGCTGTAGCCGTAGCCTCTCATTGGCCGTTTGGGGGGTGTCCAGCAGCTGGAGGAGTGTTACACGTCATGGAGGCGGGCTTCTGTCACGTCCAGTCGGGCGGTTGAGCCGAGAAGGAAATGCTTACTAGTAGTTGATGGCACTTGAGGGGATCTGGTGCTGGCTTGATCTGTGTCTGGATCTTTGTACCTGGGCAAGCTGGGGTCAAAGGTCTCGCAAGGCCAGGCACGACAACGAGTCGTTACACAGCCAGTTAGGTACATATTTGGTTCTCATTTAAACTCTCGGTGCATCAACCTCCCGTCAGTCAAAGACATGTGGTATCATTGACCGAAATGCAAGCGGTCAAATATCCTTGGCAGCTAAACTCCAAGAGAGAACAAAAAGAGACTGGTCAACCCCCTCCCTGCACCATGCTCATGCAGTAGTTACCTCGCAGTCACTTAATCGGGAGGCACTTGTTAGTAAGGCGGCCTCTTCGCAGCTCATTCATGTTTCGGCTCCGCTTCCCCGGTCTACATTCTGTTACACAAGCCGGGGCATGTGACTGGATACTTATTAGGGGCTTTTGACTTATAGCACTGAACTGTAGCAAATGATATCCTAGCTTTGATAGTGATACATGCTCCTATCTCACATTCCTCATTCGTCAGATACTATCCGTCATAGCTAACAATCCGCTACCTATACCGTTCCCAGCTCCCTAGCAATCTCCAGCTCTGTGCCACCCGGTCAATGTTATCCAGCGCCCCCTTTACCCTGCCGTCAGGGTCATCATACTTGTTGCCCTCGAATTCGATGAAGAAGATGTACTGGAAGGGGGCCAACAGGCTGGGTCTGCTGTTAATGCTCGTGAGATTCAGGTTGTACGATTTGAACCCGCTCAAGACCTCGGCCAGTGCACCTGGCGACGTATGCGGCACGGTAAACGATATCAGCGTCCTGGTGCCAGTCTTTCCCTCTGCATGCTTTACCAGATTCCAGTCCTTGGGGACAGTCGTGTTCTTTCCAATGATGAGGAAGCGCGTGGTGTTGTCGTCACGGTCCTCGATGGATCGGGCAAGCATATCCAGGCCATGCATGAGGTTCGCAGCGAGCTCGCTCGAAATGGCCGCCCACGTACCAGTCGTGTCCTGACTCACAATCTCGGCGGCCTTGCTCGTCGAGCTGACGTCGAAAATCTCCACGCCCTTGAGATACGTCGAGATGAAGGCGTTGCACTGGCCAAACGCCTGTGGATGGGAGTACAGCCGCTTGATGTGTCTCAGGCTCGCGAGCGGCTTTGACCTTGGCTTGGACGGGCGCGGATCCGTAAGAGTAGGCGTGCTCGTGCCCGATAAGTCTCCGTGGTCGTCAAGCTCCAGCAAGGGGGACGGGTTCCTGTGTCCCACCAGGCAGTGGTGGACGTCGACGAAGATCTCGCCGTCCACCGTGATGTCTTTGTACCGGCCGTTGCGGTCGGCCAGGTTATCGAGGGTGAAGACCACGGAGCCGTTTGTGGAGTTCTCGATGGGAACCACACCGGCCTTGACCTCTCCGAACTGCACCTGGTCAAAGACATCTGGCAGCGCATGGTTAGTCGGTTTAGCTAGGACAGAGATGAAGCTTTTGCTGCCAATGGTTTGACTGCGTACCATCTATCGTTGCCGCGGGCCTCAGTTCCCATGACGATTCTGGGAAAACCTGGCGGACTGCCTGCATGGCCAAGTTTTGTCAGATTGTGGTCGAGACTGATGAGAGGCCGTGATGAGAGGGCTACCAGGTACCTGATGCGAATATGAGGCAATGGGGCCCAAGAAGCTGACAACGGGCTTCTCCAGTGAAGCCATGACGAGATGGCGATGCCAACGAGCTGTGCGAGACAGGGGGTGGGAAGATTATTTGAGCTTCTGCGCTTCCGGCGAGATGCGATTTGATACCTGGTAGGTCCCGCGCGTGAGCAAGCTTCAGTTGGCTTGGGCACAGCAAATGCCGAAGATCGGATGGATTACGGCTAACGACTCAGAGTGGATCGGACACCAGTTGCAGATCCTCTCAACGGTATCACGAGAAATCCCGTGCTTGCTTGCCCTCGTTTGCTATCTCAGAGGCTTCACTGTCAAACACAAATGACGACGAGGAGCCAACTGGAAATGAAGCTAATCGAGAGCTGTGTGAAGCTCTCGGTGTGTGGCGCCTGACATAAGGATGATGACTGCGACAATCTGTAAAAACCGGCTTCTCTGGATGAAGTTGAGGCCTAACAAACTAGTGTAAGAATCTGTGTGTGGGCATGTTAGTGCGAGACCTGAGATTATCGCGGGGTCCTTTGAGGCGCCACATTGGAGCTGGAGCTTAGTACCGACTGCGATTTCGCGACCAGCTTAGAAGAGCTCTGCAAACTTACGGCATGAGAGAAGCTCACCGCATCAAAGTATGAGGTAAGTCTCGACGTCTCCTGCTAGATTTTGCGAATGCTGTAGTTATAACAGGATGGGCCAAAAGAAGAAGCATCGTGTTGTATTCTCGATGTTCATTTATGTTTCTAAAATCCCGTGGCATCTCAAACCGAACCTCGAGGCTACAACAGCTCTCCATCTGGCTTCCGTGAGCACATCACAGATCCGCGATACTATCGGAGGTGTTCTACAATTCCACATTTCTGGCACCTTCATGCGAGGAAATTACCTACCAACTGGGGTATCAGAAGTGCAGTGGCATGGTCATCAACCCATGTGTAATTAAGCCGTCCATTCGCAGCACCTCGCCATCCCATTATGTACAGAGGTGACGTGATACTAAGAGTGACAAGCATCACGAGAGCCTCCGCCGTTTGGGGTTGATTAGGCAAACACGCTCTTGTCTGCTTACAGCTTCTGACGCCGAGATAACCCAGCAGCAGTAATACATGCAATATCAGCGACGACCGCCGACAACAAGCACCCACCCTGGCAGGAGCATGGCAGGCGATTGAATTGTGAACTCGCGTCGGCCCGGTCAAGAGCCGCTGCATGTGATTGGTGCAGCGTCTCAAGCGCCGAGCTGTCACCATGTGAAACAATGCGCGGGCGAATGGCAGCGAGGGCATCGCATGCGGCGGCGCTGGCGTGGACTTGACTGGACGGGGAGACTGGAGAGTGGAAACGTCGAGACGGCTGTTGATACAGCTGCGAGTTGTTGCGCGACCTTGGGGCAGTTGATTCGTTGCTGGCTTGGGTGCGAGAGGACTGAGCTGAGGGACCTGGCACTGAATATGGTTAAGTCTGCCTCTGCCTGGACTCTTGAAGGGTTGAAATGAGAGGCCGGATGTGCATGGTAAGGTATGTATGCATGCATGCATGTATGCGCATGCACTGCCAGCAAACAAAAAAGCAAAGGAAGGCTGCATCGAATGTCGTCCTCGACGCCAGTCGCCTATTCGACTCTTCTGCATCTGTTCTGCATCAAAGCCCGAACCCCCAGCGCTGGCCGGAGCCGGGTCGGCCTGGTGTTCGTTCTAGAAGCCTGAGGCCTGCAGGTGAGCGAAGCTGCCGTTAGGATCATGCCAGCAACCGATCAGCAGCCCCATGCGATGATCAGAGGGGGACAGACACGAGTCGCTGTCGCCGCCATGTATTATCTATGGTGCTGATGCAATCTGCAGCCTGCAAGTACTGGTACGAGAAGTCAGTCGTAAGCGTGAGACTGCAGGCTCAGGTACAGGTTTCCTGACTTTGAAGGTATCTTGTGCGAGATGGAATCGGAATCGCTTGCAAGGGGCCAGACCAAGTCGTCATAGGCGTCCGAGCTCGCACAAAGAGATTCACATCCCAGCAGTTTCTTTGTTAGCGGTTTGACGCTGCACTGTATGGTAACCATAACAAATCACTGAATAGTGCCCGACGAATTCGTGCGAGCTTCGTATTCTTACATATCGAGTCCCCCCCCCCCCCCCCCCCAAGGCTTCAAGTGCCGCAGCCGGGGTCATGTTTACGAGGTTTCGGCGAGGACAAGCCTGAAGCCCCAAAAAAGCCACCAAAAAATGCGGTGGGTGCGATGAAACTTCGAAACGCCGCTGGTTTCACGTTTTGCAGACGGCGGGCCAATGGCGGGCGGCGCAGCGGACAGGGGTCGCGGGCCCACTTGGAGCCTGAACCCTGGAAATGGGCCTTGAAGGAACAGAATCAACAACGGTGAAGCTGGTGATGTTGATGATGGTATGTTGTAGACTGCCTACTACCTGGTTGGAAGGGCCACTTGCAGATGGCTAAAGAGAATAGATAGGGGAGTTCAGAAGTCGTGTTAGGATGGAAGTCTACGAGGCCGGTGAGGCTGATGATAATGATGATGATGATAATGCAGATGAGCTGAACAGCCGTCGATAACATTGATTGCCTGGTGGCAAAGCAAACAACATCAGAGCCGCTTCAGCTACGGATATTGCTGACATTCGCGGCATGTCATCGCTCCTCCTGTCTACCTCAAACACAACGCTGATCCATCGTCATCTCGGCGCGACTCGATGCGTACGTACAGGTATCAAGTATAGGTACCGAGTCCACGCAACCTACGAGCCATTTCGATGTATCCCGATATAGCACTCCAATCTGATGATTTTCCGTCGATATCACATACTACTTGGTACATACTAAGCCATCACACGTCCCGCTCGCATCGTGAAATCGCCTAGGTCGGTAATACTACTGCTACTGGCAACTTCGTACCGATACTCCCCTCCACGCTCGATGCTACTACCGTAGAAACTCGTGAAATTCGACCGAAGCTAGGTTTGGTGGAGCCGCCACGTGCACGTGCACGCCAGGCAATAACAGGAAAAGCCGCATCAAGTACAGTACAGAAAATCAATACCTCAATCCCCCGCAAATTGCTATGCAAGCGTATGTACTGTCTTTTGCCAATCAACCAACAAAGCCGCCACAACCTTAACGCTGCAGTCAACCAGCGTAATTTACATTATGAGAAGTCCTCTGATATATATAATGCAATAATACTTTTTTTTTCCTGCTTGCGACCGTAAAGATGCACTGTATTATGCGATTAATTGAGGTACTGGCAGCTTGAGGTACCTTGGTCAACCTTCCCTACTGTAGTAAGGCATGCTGCTAAAAAAAGATGACGTGGCGGCTCCACCAAACCTAGCTTCGGTCGAATTTCACGAGTTTCTACGGTACCCCCTCTTGCCTTACATGTACCTTTGGCCATAACTGTTGTTAGCGCCAGACCCGAGTCAACTCCAGTGCCAGAGGCCGTCCGGTGGGCTCGCACAAAGAAGCAGCCGTGTCGCTCCTTTCATTACCAGTCGTCCAACGCGCCAGCCAGTCGATCGGCACCCCGTTCAGCCTGTCGTCGCAACCGTGTCGCAGGTTTTGTCCGTCTTCCGCGCAGGTGCCGGTACCGGTACAGGCACAGGTCGACAGGTGGACAGGCTCAGGCGGGCACTCAGGTAGGAGGTAGTCCTTACTCGTACAGTATGTACAGGGCACCAGGGCACCATGGCGCGCTTCTTCAGCGCACCTCTTTTAGCGCATCGGTGCTGACTTCCACGAGGGTACAGGGGAGGGGCCCGCCCGTGGCCAATCGCCTCACGCACCAATCGCCCGTCAGGCCTGCTAACCCGAGTGCTAACCTGAGGGACTAGCACAGGAGGAGAAGCGCCGTCTCTCCCCCCCCGCCCGGCCGCTATTTTTCTCAATTCGTTCCCCGTTCGGCCCTGGGCTGCTGGGCTCTTTGATTCCCGTCTTCCCAAGAACCTCGCGGCTTGCTCCCCTTTTTTCCCTCCTGTTTCGACGCCGTCGATCGACTTCAGCCCGGGAGCCTGTGTCGCGACGACCGCCGCAGCAACCACGGACGAGGTGGTCTGAAGCCCTGGGTTTTGACTTTGACGGTGGACGCAGATACAGACCGAGAAGAAGAAGACGCGGGAAATACACGACGAACCCCGAGCACGACAACAGGCCAAGAGGCAATCACAGGATCGAGCCGACAACAAAGAGGACTGAACCGTCACTACCTTGAGCCACAGCCACAGACGCCGCAGGTCGCGTCTGCATGCGAGGCACCGCATTATAATATTCTCACGCTGAGACCGGGACTCGAAAGCAGGAGCCCACAAACATCACTTGATATTCACTGAGACGCAAAACACAAAAGAAACGAAAAATGGCTATGCTCGCCAAGTCTACATATCCCGCCTCGCTGGGAGGCGCGCCCGCCATGGTCACCACCGACTACTCCTCCGGCCTTGCCACGTCCAGGAGGATACCGGCCATGGCTGGCAACTCGCACGGCTTCTCCAGCCCGACAGAGTCGGAATTCTCCGACACGGACGGCCCCGACTCCGTCAAGAACTGGGACGAGGACAGAGTGTGCGACTACCTCGCCAGCGTCAAGTGCGGCGAGTACGAGAAGCTGTTCCGCAAGAACCACATCAATGGCGAGAACCTGCTGGAGATGGACAAGGAAGTCCTTAAGGAGATGGGCATCGACAAGGTCGGCGACCGCGTGCGTCTCTTCCTCAGCATCAAGAAGCTGAGGACAAAGGCCTACGCCAACCAGAAGAAGCGCAACAGGGTGAGTTTTGTCTCTGCCCACTTGGTCTTTGACAAAGGAAGGAGAGAGAGAATATGCTAACAGTGGATGTTGTTCTATCTTCAGGACTCGTTTGCTGGGCTAGATATCCTGCCTCTGCAGACCCTCAGCAGCTCTACCATATCCTCCAACACGCGATCCGCGCCTGCTCCGTCCATCAACAAGCGGTACTCGAGACAGGTCGACATGTCTGGCGCCGGCGCCTCCGACCACGGAAGACCCAACTCACGGCCTAGCTCGCCTCAACCAGTGCCGGATGCACGAACACGACAGCAGCAGCAGCAACAACAACAACAGCAACAGCAATACCCCTCTGGCAGGGGCTACGTAGCGCACCAGAACCAGAATGCAACGACAATTGCTTCCTCCGGCCGCCCAATACCCTCGCACACACGCAACAACTCCAGCCTGGACGGCTCTCTCATGGCCACCCTGCCCCAAGGCCAGCATATCATCCGGGTAATCTCCACTGGCGGCGTTACAAAGGTCGTCAAGATTGCGGAGTGCAATACCTGCGAGGATGTCATGCGCGTCACTCTGCGCAAGTTTGGCCTTCGCGAAGACCACGAGCGAAACTACTGTTTCTGGGTCCTGACCGGCATCGACGCCGATCCCAGCCAATGCCGCCGCCTGGGCGATACCGAGCTGTGGCGCATCATCAAGGACCAGCGGAGGCCGGAGCGGAATCGCCTGATTCTCAGGAGAGTGCCGGCTGGAGAGCCCGGCGAGGCCGAACTGCAACGCGCTGCCGCCATTGCCATGGAAGAAGAGCAGCAGAAGCACGCGCGAGCCCTCGAGGGCGTAGACAAGAGGAGCCAGCTCAAGGTACAGAAAGTCCTGGGCGAGAGTTGGAACGAAAAGCTGCAAAACCCCCTGTCGCCCGTATCATTCGCGGCCCGAGAGCGAAACACGGCGAATGCGTACAGAGAACTGGACCGACCCTTGTCGCCTGAGCGCAACCCCCTTCGAAAGGTTGGGCTCCGTCAGTTTGGCGGGCTGCGTCCTCCGAGCGAGCTCATCGCATCAGACCTGACGTCGTACTTCCCAGACCATGCCCGCGAGGACATTGACCGGACCGCCAGGCTTTCCATGAGGAGGTCGACCCGCTTGAGCAAGATCAATAGCCGGCTTAGCGTGGCGAGCAACTTGAGTTTTGCCTCGAGCATCCAGGACGCCCCTCCCATCCCTACCATTGCGGACTCGTGGCTGGGTGGAAACGGCCATGTGGCCAAGCTTCGTCTTCAGGGCGGACGAGCTCCGACGCTCTACAGCAGAGACTCGATTGCATCGTCGATGCTGGGAACCCTGCAGGAGGAGGCGTCATCACCCACGGAACCGAACCGCAAGTCGTACGTCTCCTTCTCGGACACCAGCGACGCCACTGGCCTCAGCGTCACGGACCCGGACGGCAACACGGCCAGCACCAGCTACTATGACGCGGACGGGTCCACCGGGTCCGGCTCTTTCCAGGAGCTGCAGCAGGCTCTCAACGAGGACGAGGACGAGGCTGACGAAGAGTTGGAGAGCTTCCTGGCCGGCGACTCGTGGGACGACAACAAGTGGATGAAGGGAGCCCTGATCGGACAGGGATCCTTTGGCAGCGTGTACCTGGCGCTGCACGCCGTGACGGGAGAGCTCCTGGCCGTGAAGCAGGTCGAGATGCCCGCGCCCGGCGCAAATAGCCAGACCGACAGCCGAAAGAAGAGCATGATTGACGCCCTCAAGCGCGAAATCAGCCTCCTGCGGGAGCTGCGGCATCCCAACATCGTGCAGTACCTGGGCTGCAGTTCATCCGCCGATCATCTCAACATTTTCCTCGAGTACGTCCCCGGCGGGTCGGTGCAGACCATGCTCAACTCGTACGGCGCCCTGCCCGAGCCCCTGGTGCGCAGTTTCGTGAGGCAGATCCTGACGGGCCTTTCGTACCTACACAACATGGACATTATCCATCGCGACATCAAGGGGGCCAACATCCTGGTCGACAACAAGGGCACCATTAAGATTTCCGATTTCGGCATCTCCAAGAAGCTCGAGGCGTCCAACATCCTCAACGGGGCTGCTAACAACAAGCACCGGCCGTCGCTGCAGGGCTCCGTGTTCTGGATGGCGCCCGAGGTGGTCAAGCAGACGTCGTACACGCGCAAGGCTGATATCTGGTCCCTGGGCTGCCTGGTGGTCGAGATGATGACGGGCTCGCATCCGTTCCCGGATTGCAGCCAGCTGCAGGCCATTTTCAGGATCGGTGGCGGCAAGGCAACTCCCACCATACCCGAGCATGCTAGTGACGATGCAAAGACGTTCCTGGGCCAGACCTTTGAGCTGGATCACAACCTGCGGCCGAGTGCCGACGAGCTGATGCTCAGCCCTTTTCTAGCACAGATTACTTGATTTGTTCTTTTTTTTTTTTTCTTTGGCCAATTTTTGAATTGTTCTCTTCAGTTTCCTCTAATTTCTTTCTGCATTTCCATGGACGCAACAAGGCAGGCACCACATCAGAACAACAACAATCAATAGACGCAAAGGTGCGGACATATTGACGGATATCGTTTACTACTACACCATATAGGGAGGCGGGGTCAGGGATCTTTGTTTACGTTCGCTCTTCCATTTGCAAATCACGAGAGAAAAAAAAACCTCGAGTCTTGAACTGCCTGAAGAGTATGTAGAGTTTCTATTAGGAGTAGTCATTTTTTGCAGGTCGCAAGAAGTGTCGACAGCCTCGACACATGGGGGTTGGAGGCAGCCCGTGCAAGGGCTGTGGCGGTAATGCAGTGCATGGGCAGAGCATTGGGAGGACGTGACATGAGCATTTAAAGTGTATTATATGAATTAGCATGAATGATGATGATTTGATACCTAAGCAGTGTTTTAGTGCTCGACGATGGGAAAAGGAAGTGAGGCCGTTTCTTGAGCATTGTGCTTGATGCATTTCGGTGATGGTTCAAGCCAACCTTTGGACGTTCCAACATACTGTGTGAAGAAGGTCACAAAAAGGACAACTCAGCAGCAAGACAAAATTATAAGGGAAGATGAGAACACGATGTAAAAATTGGAAAAGAGTCATTCAGGTCGTGGATTCGGTCGGTGCAACTTCCATGCCCAGGAACAAAGAAACCTGCCTCTGCTGCCTAGAGTCATCGGCTGACCTTGTGTACCTGGTAAGGTAAGGTAAGGTAAGGTACTTCTAGGTTTCCTCTCCTCCCACCTCCAGAAGGTCATTAATCAATCAAACCTTCATCTGCCTTCTTCCAAGCGATTCTATCCTATTCAATTCCTTTCAATCTATTCATCAACAAATCGATAGATTGTGTGCTAAAAACAGAAGGACATGCCACATTTGACAGAGGCTCTATTGTTTCTGTGTCTGTTGTGGTGAGATTTTCGAGATCCGCCTTGTCTTTCTATTCTTCGGGGTGGCCGTGCACAGCCTTGCAGTTGCAGTCAAAGGCCTCCCAGTAAGGCGTTTTCTGGGATTCGGCGAGGCTGCGCCGATTTGACGATCTTTGTGTTTTGGCTTGTGGAGGATATTAAAGGTGCGTGTGGATTGATTGATTGATTGATTGATTGATTGATCTGTACGCATCATCATTAAGAGGGCTTTATCGTTTACTTGTGCAGTACAGCCGTACATAAGGTACACACCGAACAAGAGACATCGCATACAACTACCTACGCACAACCTTTTACACCATATACAATTACGCACAACTTTGGACATTAGCACACATAACGCATATCATACATCCTACCTTACGTCACATAAACATACACCAACACACGACTACAAGACATACATCAACACCCACACAAGCACAATACACCAAATCACAGCCAAGCACAAAGACACACAGCAACAGCAACAACAAGAGGAACAAGAACACAAGAGCACAGGACATAGGGGGGGGTCAAGCCAAAATGGACTCCCAGAGCAGCCACAGCAGCCAAGACTCGCAAGACAGCACCCTGACCATCACCGACGAAAACAGAAGCGAGATCCTCTACTTTGCCTACGGAAGCAATCTCTCCACGGAACAAATGCGGCAGCGATGTCCGTATTCCACAGCTGTCGGCCTGGGAAAGCTGTCAGGATGGAAATGGATCATCAACGAGAGGGGGTATGCGAATATTGTCAAGCTGGATGATGGTGAAGACGATGTTGGCGGGGAGGGTGAGGGGAAGGGAAAGATGGAGGAGGAGGAACAAGGTCATGTATACGGTATGCTTTATCTATTGCCGACAGAAGACGAGGACAGACTGGATGGCTACGAGGGCGTGCCGTGGGCCTATGAAAAGGTGTATCTCGAGGCATCGTGGGTAAGCAGCAGCAGCGGCGGCGGCGGCAAGGAGGAGGAGGGGGAGGATGGCGGAGAGGAGCTGACGCCCGTCAAGGTGCTGGCATATGTGGACCGGAAGAGGACGACGGAGGGGGAGCCGAAGAGGGAGTATGTGGGCAGGATGGAGAGAGGGCTTGAGGACGCGGTTGGGAACTGGGGGATGAAGGGGGGTTATGCAGACTTGCTGAGGAGGTTTTGGGTGGATGGGCGGTGATGGAGCGTTGTGCTGAAGGTGTTGGTGGTTATGCTTATATACAGATGATGAATGGCTGACTTTGATATGATATAGGACCTAGTATAATATAGACTTTGATACTCTTCTTATTGATGTGTTCTATCAAAAGGTGGGCTTTAATAGAGAGAAAGTCGGCTTGCACCAGCAGCTTCATCGAGCAACTACCCTGTAACATACACTGACTTGCAGTCTTTTCAGCTGCATGAAACCATACATGTAGGTAGGTATCTGTAAGATGTCGAGTTTTAGGGCTCAGCCAATTGACTCTGAATCGCATCGCGAAGCATTATGATTGTAGTCTGCCGAGCCTCATCACATGCTGAGCCCATGCATAAAAGGCCGGGCATCTCGTCGGCTATGTATGCACACAAATCAGCTCTACCCCATTACCCCATACTGTTGACCCCACCACCCCAACTACTACCTACCTATACCCGACTCCATACAGCACCTCATCTCATCTACAACAAAACCCATCAGACAACACTCACACTCACACACACTCTCTCACTCCCTTTATCTCATCTCATCTCATCTCGTCCATTGAAACCTCCTTATACACACACAAACACACACACAACCTCATCCCCCTCACCACCAAACATGCGCCGCCTCCCCGCCTGGTTCGTCCGCAGCGGCACCTCCACCGGCCTCCTCCTCACCCGCTCCGTCCTCCCCCCCGTCCCCTGCCAATGGCAGCCCATCCTCGCTCCCGCAATGGGCTCCCCGGATCCCATCTACGGCCGCCAGCTCAACGGCATGGGCTCCGGCGTCTCCTCCACCTCCAAGGTCGTCGTCGTCAGCGGGCCTCCCCCTCCCCCTTCACCCTCACCCTCATCCTCATCCTCATCACCCGAAATAGACGCCGAATTCACCTTTGTCCAAGTCGGCATCCGCACGGGAACCCTCGACCTCGCCGGCACATGCGGCAACATGACCGCCATCGTCGGCCCCGCCATCTGGGACATGGGCCTCGTCGCCCCCTCGCGCATCCCCTCCGCAATCTCCTACGACCCCGTCTCGCGCTCCCGCTGGGCCACCCTGCGCATCCGCAACACAAACACCAACAAGCTCGTCCTCTCGCGCTTCAAGCTCGACGGGAGCCCCCTCATGTACGATCCTCGCGGGGACTACGCCATGGACGGCGTGCCGGGAACGCAGTCCCCCATCACGCTCAGCTTCCTCGATCCCGCGGGCGCCAAGACGGGGAAGGCCCTTCCTACGGGGAACCCCGTCGATGAATTGGCTCTCGCGGATGGTTCGCGCGTCAAGGCCTCGCTGGTAGACGTCAGCAACCCAGGCGTCTTCGTAGCAGCATCGAGCCTCGGCCTTCTCGACGCCGCAAATCTCACCCCTTCTGCCGTCGAAGCCAACGCTCCCCTGAAAGCCCGTCTCGAGGAGATCCGCCAAGCGGGCGCCCTCGCAATGCACCTCGACCCCTTGGTTGAAAGCGTACCAAAGGTCGTTCTCCTGCTGGATCCAGCGGCAAAAGTCTCGGCGCAGACGGACATCCAGTGCCTCGCAATGTCCATGGGCCAGGCGCACAAGGCCGTGCCCCTGACGCTGGCGCTGTGCCTGGGCGCGGCGTCGCAGATGGACGGGACGCTTGCGGCGGAGATGATGGGTGGGGAGAAGAAGGAAGTCGTGAGGATTGGGCATCCGAGCGGTGTGGTGGACGTGGGGACGACGGTGAGAGGGGGGAGGATAGAGGAGGCGAAGCTGTTGCGGACGGCGAGGGTGCTGATGAAGGGAGAGGTGTATTATTGAACTGGGACTTTGGGCAGGCATTATAAATTTCATGTCTCGGAGCAACGGCGCGCATTCATTCATCGCAAAAGCATGCGACTCCTTTACACATTACTGGTAATCCTGATTGTTTCTACTTATATACAGTCATTCAGCCATCACCTGTCGTTACGCCTGCGCAAGAGGGCAGTTGTCAATGTTCTCCTGCCACACGAGCTTCGCATAGGGGAGCATAAAGTCTAACAAACACATCAGCTTGCTGTTCACACAAAAAACTGTCAAAAAGCAGACATACCTTGGGAGGTAAAGTCGCAGTCGATGTAGCAGCTGACCATGTCAGAAGTGTAGTTGCCGCCAAGATCTGCGAGAATCAGGGACTCGATGCTTTATCTAAGTCAGTACAGTTGTCGCAATCGTTGCGACCAGAGTAACTTACAAGTCGACAAATATCAAATCAACGGCCTCGGGGTCGCTCCCCTCGGCAAAGTTGACCTCGGCCTGAAAGTAGCCCGGCAGAGGGTAGTTCTCAATGCCTGTGTGCACCGTGTCGTCTCCATCGCTGCCAAAGTCATCGGTCGTGACATAGCCCGAAGTGACAACTTCCTGGCGGCGGACGACGCCGTGGCTCTGGCGCATCTCGCGACGCGTCAGGTAGCCCAAGGTGGGATCGGTGCACGAGTCGCGAGGGACGGGCATTGTGGCCAAGTCACGCTTGGCAATGGGACCACTGTTGAGCCTGGGAGCAAGGGGTTTTAGCCTCTTCACAAGCATGATACGGCTAGTATGCGTCAAATCATTGAGACGAAGGAACTCACTTTGGCAGGACAGTCTTGGCTAGCTCATACGGCACATCGGGAATGTACAGAAAGGCATCCCGGAAAGGCGACACGATGAAGTTGTCATCATACGTAAACGGCCCCTGGTGCAGGTCGAAGCGGATCGCCCCCGTGTTGCCGATAATGAGGCGCGACTTATCCTCGCGCGTCTTGTTGACAACAATGGCAGAGACGGCGGGCAAGACGACGCCGGGAAAGATGTTGCTCGAGTCGTTGAAGGGCACGCACGAGATGCACCACGTCTGGGGCGCGCAGCCGTACACATCGCCCAGCTTGAGCTCCTCGCGCACCTTGGACACCTCATCGGTAACGCGCAGGCCGGAGCCATAGTCAAAGGCCGCTTCCGTCTGCTTGGTGTGGTAGATGAAGGTCTGGCGGTTCCAGTCCAGGTAGCGGCGCGAGTACACAAAGGGGGACTTTGCGCCCTGGCGGGCCGGCCTCGTCGGGTTGGGCACGCCGTGCGGGTTCTTGACGCCCTTGAAGTTGCTATTGGACGCGTCGAAGCCCGTCATGGACATCCAGCCCAGAGTCTCGCAGTACCGGCCCGACTCAATGCCAACCGAGTTGTCGTCGTAGACGGCAAAGTCGCGGATGTGGCTGTGGCCGCCCAGGATCTGGATGGGGGTGGTGGGATGAACCTTGCGGATCTCGTCAAAGACAAGCTTGAGCGTGTTGGACGAGTCCGTCTGGCGCACAGGGTTGTGGCCAAACAGCACAAACACGTCGATGGGTTCGCACGTCTCGACGGCGTTCTTGAACCACTCCTCCTGAACCATCTCGGCAGCCTTGAGCACCTGTGAGGCGTTGGAGTTGCCTGTGAAGTCAAATAGCACGCCAAATGCCATGACGCGCAGCCCCTTGGGCGTCGTGAAGTAGCGGTGCGTCGCTCCAATGTACTCGTACTGGCCCGACGTCTGGTTGAAGGCCTTGACGTTGGACGTGATGTAGCGGTCGCCCCATTTGCGCGCCCACGTGTTGAACATCTCGTACGCAACCTCGGAGATGTACAGCTCATGGTTGCCAATCGTCAGCAGGTCGTACTCGATCCCGTCAAAGATGGGCATGGAGTCGGTGCCGTCGATGGTCGTGGCGTCTGAGAGGCCATTGCCGTCGTGCAGATCGCCCGTGTCAATGAGCAGCAGGTCGACGCCCATGTTGCCGGCCGTCTGCTTCATGCGGCGCGAGAAGGTGACAAAGTCGCCCCAGTCGGCGCCATAGTTTTGCTCCTTGAGATGGCCCTCGAGCCAGCCGTGAGTGTCGGTCTAGATGGTACGTTAGTGCTGCCGATGCTTCTCTGCCGTGACTCTCAGAAACATGGCGTACCGTATGGAGAAAGTTGAGCTGGCCCCATTCGAGAGGCGCCTTGGGTCCATAGGCCGCGTTCGGCGCTCCGGGCTGGATGCGCTTGACATGGCGGACATGCTCGACCGTGTTGGTAGGGCCGTAGCACGAGTGGTCGCTCCCACAAGCCAGTGCCGAGGGCAGCAGGGCGGCGAGGCCGCTGACGACGGCGAGAGTCTTCATTGGGGAGAGGTTCGCTCGCGGGAGGCCAATTGACGCGAGGATAATCTCGGGACGATGGACAGACAGGCTGGGGTACGCAGCCGTCTGGGCCGTCTTTTTATAAAAGACGGACAGATACTATAACTCATAGTATAGGTAGTAGATGTCTTATCTCGTTCGACCCCCGCCGCTCTTCGGCCACCTCCACACTTTTGCATCTCTTGACAGTGACGATCTGCTACTCCGCAGGTCAGCACCTGAACAGCGACTGTGGCTGCGTGGAAACGTCTCTCGATTCATACCGCAGTTCTCATGCTTCGTATTACTTGGTAGACCTTGTAGCGGACTCGACAGGATACCATTTGCACGGCCAGAGGCAGCAGAGTCTTGATCTTTTCCAAGCAGCCTCACGGCGTCTCGAATCTCAGAGGTGAAGGGCGACCAGCCGTCGACCCGATGTAACGCATTCTAGCCCGTTCCCGCCGTCCTATCCGTGAGCCACTCGCTCTGCATATGGACCAGCCAGGAACGCTGCTTGGCCCATGTGGGAGGGAGAGAAGCACTGAAGAAGCATCTTCTCGGACAAGTTCGTCTGGCCTCTTGTCAGCTCGGACGGGTGAACGAGGGTCATGTTCAGACAGTTGCAGGCCATGAAGCGGCGAGTCTGCATTCTGAACCACGACGCAAATTGCCTGGGCTGAAAGAGATAGAAGTAGCCTCCATGGGGACTTTTGTTGAGACTCGAGGCTGGAGAGTGAGCCGACAGACAGGGATTGCTGTACTAAGGTGCAAGTACGGAGTACTTTTCTGTAACACCTCAGGCACCCAACCAGTGTCCACGTGTGCCTTATCGATACTGACCCCGATGTGTTTCACGAGAACCATCACCATCTCCCGATAGAATCGACTCCTTTATGCAACTTGATTTGTTGTCTGCGAGAGGTTTTCAATCGAGAACAGCGATTTTCAAAGGGAAGAATACCGATTCAACTACTACCAGCCTCTCCTCTAGAGACTCTCCCCCGCCTATAAGCACTGGCCACTCTCCCCCTCCTTCACACCGCCACACACACCCCCCCTCCTCTCACCATCATCAAGCATTCGCAGCACTCCACCGCTTTCAAGCTCTCATCTCCCTTCAGCAAGGTCGTCATCATCTCCCTTGCCTCCCAAGATGAGTCAATGGGGTCTTTTCAGCTATAAGCGGCAGCCAATCAAGGCCGACCATCCGTATTACCCCCTCGGCGTCTCCATCCCCGACTACGTCCCGAATGGCCTCCCGCTCTCCCGCTCTCTCCCCCTCTTCGGGACCCTCGTCGGTGCCGTGGTCGCTGCGGCCTTTTACTTCTCCGGCCGCCGCTCCGGAGCGTCTTCCCGGCGCCGTGTCCGGCCCGTCGACCGCTTTGCCGCGTCTTGGTTCGCCTTGTGTAAGTGATGCATACGCAGACACGCCTTAAACTATCAGTACATGCTGACTCTAAATTCTTGGGCTCCAGGCGGCTTCTTGCACATTGCTTTTGAAGGTTTGTCATTACTCTTGCTTGGCCCCGTCAAGCGCGCGTTTGTTGATCCATGATCATGACAGGATACTATCTCCTCCACCGCACAAACATCTCCGGCATGAACACCCTCTTTGCCCAGCTCTGGAAGGAATACGCCCTCTCCGACTCCCGCTACCTCACCTCTGACGTCTTCACCGTCTGCGTCGAAACTATCACCGTGGTAAGCACCTAATCCTATCTTTTGAAAAATCTGTTGCATTTTGTCCATAGGCGCCCTCCCCCTCTAACACAACCATTCAGTTCGCCTGGGGCCCCCTGAGCCTCCTCACCCTCTTCTGCATCTTCACCAGCCACCCTTCCAGGCACCTCTTCCAAACCGTCGTCTGCGTCGCCCACCTCTACGGCGTGGCTCTCTACTACGGCACCAACTGGGCCGAGCAGCGCCTGCATAACGTGTCCTACAGTCGTCCCGAGACCCTGTACTTCTGGGTGTACTACGTCGGCTTCAATGCCCCGTGGGTCGTTGTGCCTTTCGGTAAGTTTCGCTCCCTACACCAATTTTTTAGCTTGATTTGCACTCCCACTTGGTAGACTCTGATGCTAATCCTTCGGCAGTTCTTTTGGCGGATAGCTACAAGCAGGTTGTCAAGGCATTCCGAGCACTGCATGAGAAGGAAACGAGGCCAGTCCGAGCAGTGCAGGAGAAGGAATCTCGGCAGAGAAGCAAATAGATGCCATCCATCCTACATGGCTCGATATCCACTAGAACATTTGAGGACATCGTTCATGTCACGTACCTCTCGTAATCTGCTCCGTTTCTCCGCCCGATTGACTCTAAACTCTGCCGTATCCGTCTAGCTTTTGGTCAACAGACCCCGTCTTTTGCATCCCAGTTCCTCTACTCATCCGCTGTGACAGTATAAGCAGGGAATATGGAACACCTATATCCTGTACAGCTTAATGTATTCACAGTTGTACCAACGTTAGGGTAACACCTTGATGGAATAGGTTATTGGAAGCGTGGCCCAGCAGCAAAGAACAGGTACTCAAGTGCAGGAAGTGAGAAAAAACTAACTACATACTTAAGCGCCGAGATATGTACTCACTTCTGGGTAGGTAGTTTATACTTCAATTGTCTTCACTAATATTGCCAAAGAAAAGATGGTATTTCTTCAATGTGAAATAGGCTAGAACTTACAAACTCTTCCCCTGTCTGTTCTAGGGCTATTCGAGTCACTAACAATAACAGAGGGAGGCTGATGCCAGCTATGAGATGAACCAAAGTGAGCTTCACTTCACGTCAACCTTCTTCTCTCTCTGCACTAGGTATCTCGGCTCTAACCAGAGTTGCCTGAGGATATGCTTAAGCCGATATACCACTTGATCGCACCTGGTCCGTTAGGCGCCACTTACTGCTGCCTCTTATAAGAAAGAAAATATATATATATATATCTTAGGAGCGGCTAGCCAGCAGCCCATATGGGCTATCCAGCGCCCTAGCAAGTCAATCTACGTTTACTACGGCTACTAATCTAAATAGGTAGGAAGATGGAAAAAGGAAGCAATTGTTAAATTTTCCCCCTTATAGATATATCCCGTCTACTAAGAAGATTCTACCTGTAATAGATCAATTCTCTGCTACTATCGCAATATATATCTACCTAGTTCTATTACATGCTTCTCTTTATGTTATGGAAAGACATGCATACTCCCGTTTGCTTCCCTCCTGAGGTGGACTTGGAACGGCAGCTGGCCGCCAGCTGCCCACGAGCGTTTTGTCAACGACAGCTAGCCGGCCATGTGCAGCCAAAAAGAATGACAAAGAAGCAAACACTTCTCTTTCTTCTTCGTTTCTCTTTCTTCTTCGTTTCTCCTTCTTCTTCCTTCTCCTCATTCTCACAATCTTCACTGCCTCCCACCTCTCCACGCTCGCACCCCGACTGAACAGAAATCATCCACCACCACTGACTGGATCGCCCACCATGCACTGGGAGGAGGCACAGCGTATGGCCGCCAGCGCCCTGTCGGCGGTTCTCACGAACCATCATGTTGAGCACGCCTTTATCGGTGGCTTTGCCGTGCAGATTATCGGAAGCCTGCGCCGCACTGAGGACATTGATGTCCAGATCGACCTCACCGATGGCACCTCTCGAGAGCAAGTTGTGCAGCATCTCCTCGCAGCAGACTCCCGCTTCTCTGTGCGGGACACCAAACTATCCTTCACACCAGCTGAAGCGCCCGAGTACTCGGTTCCCATCGAAACCCTTCCAGTGGGTTCGCTTGGTCTTCCTCCGGCTCTGGACATCATCCGTCTTGGTGATGGTACGTTCCCTCTCTGCATCTTTCACGTTCAAGATAGGGACCTACGCTAACCTCCTTTCTCCCCCCCAGCTCAATACCCTATCCTACGCCCTTCGGTTCTGATTTTGACCAAGATCAAGCGCTGTGTCCACTTCATCGGCTCTACCAGGCCCAAGTCTATGCACAAGCTCGAGTCTGATCTTGACGACATCGAAAATATCCTCTTGTATCTCAAGAAACATGGCGAAAAGATTAATTTTGCAAGTTACTCGTCGCCAACCCCCGACAGACTGTACGCGGCCGTAGGCAAGCTCTTGCAGCACTATCGGAGCGAAGGACTAGATGACATGGTAGACACCCTACTCTGGGCCTTGGAGGAAAGCGATCGTGCAAAGGTCGACTCGGCTTGAAAGGATGAACACTGAGGAGGCCAAAGCCATTTGTGGCGAACGAAGTGGTAACACGATGGGTATATAGCAAGCCTCGATAATCATGACTCCTCTTTCCAGGGCAATTGGCCTTGGGCCCCAGAAACAAGCTTAATGAGGTTTTCCCTTATCCATTCCTCACCATCTCTCATTTCCCAAGACTTTATCCTGGCGACGGCGTTTCCAATCTCCGAGACTTCGGATTCTGAGAGCGGCACCTCATTTCCTATGATTTCCTCGTAATCTCCCTCATAGCTTGTATCAAAAAGGGCGTAGACAAGAAGATTGACCAGATGGGCCTTGAGTCGTCGGCGTAAACGGCTTGTCCGTGGCTCAGCGCAAATCACACGCATCATGGCAGTAGAAGCTGCCGCAAGGGGGACTGTCCAGATGTTGAAGGTGTGACCTGGCATGCCCGAGTACCGTATCTCTATCAGTTCGAGATCGCGGAAGTCCAGGCCCGACCAGGACAGCGGTAAGAAGACAAGCCGCCGGAAGCAGTCATGGCCAAGGAACTTTTCTGCCCTGTCATCGATGTTGTACCGCACACCCAAGCCTGAGAGCTCTGACGGGTAGGCGACATGCAGGGACTCTGTGGTTTCTGGATAGTACCCGAAGGAGGCCGCAACCTGGCAGGCATCAAGTAACTGTTGATCGGGGACTAGATAAAATAGACTCTGGAACATGTTAATCAAAGCAACACCACTAAAGGAATTAAACGGTCTGCTTACTCCATCGGTCGCAAGAGGTATACCCAGGCGGCGCCAGAGCTCGTACTCCCACTCGACAAGGTCAATCCGTGCCGCTGCGAGTTGGTGAAGCAAGGCTGCTACTCGTACACTATGGCACGTCATTTGTTGTTTGACGTGGTGATGATAATATAATACTATAGGTGAGAATAGTAGATGAAGAGAGCGCAAGGATGCGCCAGGATGAGAATGAAGGCGAAGATGGAGAGATGGCGCAGTGGTTAAAGGTACCTAGTTGTTGGTAAGATGAGGTTGAGGCTCGCCAGCATTAAACGTTCGTCAGCCCAGCCATGTTACCTACCTTAAGGTAAGTATTAGGTACGAAAGTAAAGGCGAGATGGCCATCGCACTTATGTAAGCTACTATGTAGGCAGAAGCTCCGTCAGTGCACTGTACTCACATGCAGAAAAGGCACCTAAGGTACGGTGTGAACTAGTCAGCACAGGGAAGTCAAACACTGTTAGTATCACAAAGTTAAAGTCGTCTAGGCATTCAAAGGCGAACAACATGATCATCTGCTCTGTGTTTGCAGTCTACCCTGCTGAGACGCGTGCATTGTTGAGCCCCTGTGTGCTAATAATTATCCGTTCCTTAGATACCTACCTACCTTATGTATCTCTACTACGGAAGGCCTCTAGAGGTTTTAGGGTAGGCAGGTAAGATAGTGGTCGAACTTGCTCGAGCATCCATGGATGGCTTCGTTCGCGTTCGCATCTTGACGAGGCTGAGCACTTGACACGCACCAGATTCACCACGCCATCGGCAGCTGATAGTCTCGCCAGCCCTCCTCCGTATCGGCCTCCCTCCACTTGTCCACCCCCCCAGCCACGCCCTCGCCATCCACCGCCCACTTGCCTCCCTCCACCATCTCTGCCCAGCGCTCCAGCACATGCTTCAGCTGCACGTCGTGCGTCCGTATGAAGTGGTTGAATCCCTGCTGATACAGCGCCGTGCCAGTCGCCGCCACCGGCTCCGCGACCGGCCCTCTGGCATGCGTATCCTCTCCAAACAGCGCCCCGTCACTGGTCCGAGCCCAGCCGTGCTCGCCGATGGCATACGGCAGGATGAGCACGCAGCCGTCTTCAAACGGATGCGTGCCGTGCGGATCCGTCTCTGTCAGATAGACTCCGGCAGGATAACTCGCTACCTCCTGGAACGGTGGTGGGAACGGCGGTATGACGACTTCTTCTCCCCATGGCGTTCGCCGCGCGTCTCGATGGGCCTCCTGGCTGCTCTCGAAGAGCAGTATGGGCATCGATTGCCCCTCGTTGATGTTGACTGAGGAGAATGGCTGTTGGTGGGCTAAACGAAGGCCTGGTGCAATGTAGCGAAATCGAACCTCGCGTGCCTGTGCCAGTAACCGGCCTGCGAAGCTGTTTGGCAAGATTGTGCCCGACTGGAGAATCTTTCGAAGATGATGCGTTTCAGCGCAGGAAGATGCAGGCATACGAGCCTCAATCGCTTGTGTGAGTCGGCCCAAGGCTTCGAGCGTCTCTTCCAAGTCACGCTCCGTATAAGACGGCATAATCCAGGGGTCGATCCGCTCTTGCTCTCCATCGTAGGACGAGCCCACAGCCAGCACCTTGCCCTGGTCCATCATGTCCAGAAAGGCTTCAAGAACGAGCTCGAGGGGCAGCCACACCTGTCTACCATTCATCGTGACGCTCGTGTCATGAATCGAAATATGCTGCATTGCCGTGGCCATGTCCTGATCGAAGACGAGCCCCAACGGGTGACTGGCGCCCAGCGCCCAGTTCGCCATGTAGAGCGTCACGTAACGCCGCTTGTTGGAGTCGTCCTCGTCGTGGCCGTAGTTGGCATTCTCCCAAAGCTGGTCTGGCGAGCTGAGGCCAGCGAGATACCGGAAGAATGCGTGTTGAGGCTGTGCCGTCATTGCGTAGCCGTGCCACGCCGCCTGGAGAAAGGCAATGAGAGAAGGGCTCAGCTTGGCAGCGTGCGGCAATAGTTGCGCGTCACCGCCATAGCACTCCCACCACGACCGGCGGTCGAGATGGCTCAGGCTGCGGCCGCTTGCAGTCCATCCTTGCTCGATGATGAGGTTGTGCAGAGCGGCGCATCGTTCGTGATCGAGGCCTTCGATGTCTCGGAGTGGCTGCTCGGCTGTGACTCGCCATTGGGACATGTTTGTTCTGCGGATGATTGGCTGTATCTCACTCATACAGACGAGAGGACGATATTTCGGTCGACGTACTTTTACCTCATTCCATCTTGCTGTTGCTTGTGCGTTGTGTTGAAGCTCATATGCTTTTTGTTGTAGCAAACAAGATATGTCAAGATTGGACCTTTTACTCTAGGTACCATGTATTAAGGGTTTGCATAGGTAGGTACCTACACCTAGGTAGTCAAATTGGGGTGGTGGCTTGTCACTGCCTAAATTAACTTACACGACTGCTGGAGCTCAATCTTACACCTGAGCCCAATGGCTAATAACCAACCATCTTGGCGCGCTGTTTGGAATCCTCACTGCATCAGACAATATAATCCTCATAGTTCTTGAAGAATAGTAGCTCGGTCCTATAAGTTCTATAAATCAAGCTCCTCTACCCGCTGCCATGAGCTCGCACACGTCGTCGGGGGTGCGGGTAGAAGATGCCCTCGACCTGGGCAGCGACAAGGCCTCTCTGGAGCAGAGAATAGAGCTCGTCTGGGAGGACATGCGCCTGATCCCAACAACTCCTCCGCCAGCGGAACACGACAAGGGCTACCCAGGCAACTCCGAAGACGACGACGATGACGATGACGATTCCGACGACTTTGCAACTGTGTCGGTGGAAATGGACGAAGCAGAACCGGCCGACATCATCGTCGACTGCCCTCTATGGCGGGATCTGCCCGATGGCCTGATGGACAATCTGCTCGCAAGCGCCAGAGATGCCATCAATCACTTTGAGCTGCTGAAAAAGGTGCTCGACGATCTCTTTACCTGCAAGATCCCGCCTGGAATCGCCGATGAATGCAATGCTCGTCGCATCGTCTCCACCGCTGCAGACACTCTCTGTAGGCTCCCCGGTTGCTCAACGCAGCTCTTTGACGATACGGACTTGTTCTATGCTTCCAATGGTGATCAAGCGGCATCCCAAGGAGAATACCTCGTCAGCATGCCGCCGTCAACGTCTCAAAGACAGGATCATCACAGTACAAGAGGTTGGGCGAGCTACAAGGTAACGACGCGGTTCGACAACAACACGATACGCCTCGCCTTGCTGGTGGCGTATCTCGATCAAACGACGCACCCTGCGGCATCAAACGCCATGCAAGGATACGTCAATCTCCTTTCAAGGCTCCTCGAATCCCTCTCCAAATCACACCAATCGTTCGACTTTGAAACATCTTCTTCCCACCAACCCACCGCCTACCGGATCACAATGGCTTACCTCTGGACCGCATGGCAGCGCTCACTCCTGCTCTTCTCCTACTACGTCTTCGGGACCCGTCTCCTCCAGCAAGTAAATGCCTGCTTCCTCAACAGCCGCCCGTTCCAGGACACGCCTGTCGATCCGGACATTGACTTCAGCGCCCTCGGGACATCGTTGCAGAGCGACGCTCAGGGGGCGCGTCTGGGATGCGACTATGTCTGTCGGTACTCGTTTGAACTGCTCCGGAGCAGCGCCCTTTCCGGCACGCAAGACTATCGAACACTCTTTTCACGCTTCAACGAGCTCTTTGCCGCCAGAGACGCGCGATGCCGCCAGGCGAGCAACGGCACATGGACTCCTTGCGACGGAAAGTCCTGGAAGACCTGCGGACGCTTCTTCGGGCTCGAGATCCCAGACCAGTCCGCCCACGACATCAGCTGCAAGAGAAACACATGCAGCCAACTGCCATGGGATGAAGAGTCCTACCGCGGCGTCCAAGGCCCGCGCAGCATATCTCTCTCCTCCACCCCCAAGGGCGGACCCCTGAAATACCGCAAGGCGTCGGGTCGAACGCTGGCCGTGTCCCACGTCTGGAGCCACGGCCAGGGCGGCAATCCCGACCAAGGCTTCAACGAGTGCCTCCACGATCGCTATGCTGCCATTGCGCGGCGTCTCGGCTGCGACTCGTACTGGATCGACGCTGCGTGCATTCCATCCGACGCCCAGCTTCGCTCCGCCGCCATCAAGACCATCAACCCCATCTTCAGAAACAGCAGAGCGACGCTTATATGCGACAAGGACATCATGCAAGTCGACGTTGTCGTCGCCGACGACACCCCAAGCTCCATCGCCCGGCTGGAAGTCCTCATCTCAGTGCTCCTGCTCAGCGACTGGAACGTCCGCGGCTGGACGATGCTCGAGGTCGTCCGGGGCAGCAGGGCGGTGCATCTCCTGTGCAAGGGCAACCGGCCAGTGCCCCTGAGAGACGTCCTCGCCTTGCTCTACAAGAACGGGAGCATCGACCTCTGCGCGCTCCTCATCGGATCTCCCCAGCTGATGCCCCCCGGCAGCAAACTCCGCGCGCCCGGCATCGAGACGGCGAGCGTGATGCTCTCCCGGCGATACGCGTCCCGCCCCGGCGACGATGTCATCATCTGGAGCTTGCTCTGTGGCGACGACCAGCCTCATCAGTCGCCGACGGCGCTGTGGAAGAGCAGACAAGGCACATGGGTCAAGACGGGCTTCCTCATGTCGAGCTGCGATCGCATCGCCGATGCTCCTCGTGGCTACGGCTGGGCGCCCGCCACACCGCAGGTCCTCGGTCCGTACACGTCCTCGCGCACATCCGATGCTCCTCTCTTCTGGCCCTACGACGGCTCGGGCACAGACGCGGCCAGGATCATGACGCTCGGCACAGGCAAGGCGACGACGACGTGCCTTCGCGGGAAGTGGCTCGCGCACGTCTATTCGCCGTCTGACGAACCGCTTGTCGACGACCCCACGGGCTCGTCGTGTTGGCAGAGAGCTGAGCTGCTCCTCTCTCTGGAGGGCTACGCGAGGGTCCTTTTCCTTCGGCCCTTGTTTGTAGAGTCTGTCGAGTCCGGCTGGACGCCCGAGCTGTCTGCGCCCTTTACGGCGGCCCAGAATCAGGACGAGGGTGAGCTTGTGGCCGTGGCGGTTTGTGCAACAAACGAGGACCATGCCCAGCACGTCGATATGGCCTATCCGGAGGAATACACGGGCCTGTACGAGCTGGAGCCGGAGTGCTGGGAATGGAAGGGGGTTTGCTGGTGCACCTCTGCAGACGTGGCGAGTCGTCTGCGTTTCAAGACAAGGCAGGTCAGGATTGTCTAGATCGATGATGCACTCCCTTTGTACGGACACATGGCCGGAGACGCCGTGAAAAGGGGGCGAAGCGAGCACAACACCACAAGATGATACAATCATCAGCAAACAGTCTTTACATCTAACCAAACCGTGACAAATAGTAGCAATCTGATGTTCCCTCATACCATTAACCTCAACCCGGAGCTCACCAGCAAACCGCCTTCTCCAACTCAAACCTCCCGGGCTCGTCACAAACACTTTCTCAGTCATGCAGCAACACCCCTTTCTCCCCCCCTATTTGGCCGCACCGGCACGCAAATTCCTCCCCTTCCACAACAGCTCAACTTCAACCCGAATTGCCCCCTCGATCTTCTTCCCCTTGACAACCCCCCCAAGATCGTCTCCAAACGCCGGCCCCAGCATGACCACCTGCCCATTCACGCGCAGCCCCTTGATCTGCACCACAAACGAGGCCGCCTCGTCCGGCCCAATCACGATCGACGGCTCCGCGCCAACGAGGTCATCGCCAAAGAGCGCCGCGCCGTTGGAGCGCAGCATGTGGCGCACGCGGCCCTGGAGCTCGCGCACGCTGAGCCCGCACTGGTCCGCGACGATGGCGGAGCAGCCGTACAGCGGCCAGGCGATGTAGAGGAGCACGTTGACCTGCTGCTTGCCCTGTTCGTCGGGCGACTGAGGCGGAGATTGCGCCACAGCAGTGGCAGTAGATACAGAAGTAGCAGCAGCAGCTGCAGCAGCAGCAGCTGGAACCAGAGAAGAACCCGAGCCCCCAGCCTCGAGCGGCTTGCTCACCCCCTCAGCGGCCTTCTGCTCCAGCGGCTTCACCGGCATGACATTCGACCAATAGTTGTACGCCTCGCTGCGGCCCTCGGGCACGCGGTAAAAGGAGCTCGCCGGCCCATAGTTGGGGCAGATGAAGCCCTTGGGGCGAAGACTGCTGTCCTCATACCGCGAGACAGGCTCAAAGTCCTCTTCACGGGGGGGACTCGGCGACCTCCAGCCCCTGAACCGATACGACGCGGCGGCGGCGGCTGCATTGTTCCCCCGTCCGGTCTTGTTTGCCAAAGGCAGACTCGCTTCTTGTTCTTCTGCCTCCATCAAGTGCAGATTATCCGTGTGCAGTGAGAATGAAGTCGTCGTCGCCGCCGCCGCCTTTGCCTCGTCCCCATCCACGCTCGGCGGCTTCTCGACCCCGTTTCGGGACCTCTCAACTTCCCTCTTTGGCAGCTGATTCTTCTTCTTCTTCTGCTGCTGCTGATGGGCCGGCGCCTCGACCTTTTGGCGCTTCACCCACGCGCTCGTGTCGTCGTCGGCGTTGTCCTCCCCGAGGAACGTGGCCAGCGCCTCGGCCGATCGCCGGTGCAGCTTGGCCAGCACCTCGATGAAGCTGGGTCCGCCGTCGGACAAGACGATGGTCCGCGGGGTGATGATGTCGCTCTTGAGGACGTTGACCTGCCAGTTGTTGGGGCCCTTGACGTGGGAGAGGACTTCGAAGAGGCAGTCTCTGCCGTGGACGAATTGGAGGTTGCCTGCGTGAAGGAGACGAGTCAGCAGATTGTACTTGGGAGATTTGAGTGAGGAGGAGTTGAGGAGAAGGAGAAGGAGGAGGATAATAGGGTGCTTGAAGGTGGTTTGGGCATACACTTGATGAGATCAATATAGTGCAAGCCGCCATGATCAGGAATCTCATCCATGTTGCCTGTCTGCGGAAGAATAGTAGACAATTGCATGAGTAAGGAAAACCAACGCCTTCAAGAACGTTAAAGGCCAAAAGAGCAAAAAAAAAAGAAGAAGTTATAGAGCAAGCGGGAAACAGTATCTCAGCAACCCTCGATTTTTCTCGCTGAAGAGAAGACAGAAAAATCCAAATTCCATCAACCGGGAATCCTCACGCCTTATATACCCCCAAATCGAGACCAAAACCACAACTTTCTTGCACAAGTCAAAATCTCAATAGAGATACACACACATCGTCTTTTTTTCTTTTCGTCTTGCACATTTAATGTTGCCCACGCCGTTTTTTTCTTTTATGCCCAGCTCAACTCGTTTCTTCCCGGCTTCTTCTCTTCGGCTCGGCCACTTTTTGAACCCCCTTACATGACCTCCTCCTCCCCCCCCCCCCCCCTCCTCCAGCCGCGCCACCATGCAAATGTTGCTTCTTCGGTCTGCTGGTTTGTGTAACACCACAGGCAAGCCACAAAAAAAAGCGGCAGAGACGAGCCATTTCTCCAGGCTGAAGCTTAGGAGAAAAGAAAAAAAAAAAAGGGACAAAGCCTTCCCAGTCCACCAACCATTCCCTTCCTCCAAAACAAAGCCATCCAGCCTAAAACATCACGAATCACCCAAAAAAGAAGAGAGGGTTGTAAAAGAGCACAACAAAACTTTCATCTCAAAAAGAACCATCTATATCCAACGACAGACTTGTCATCCACCCCTTTCCCATACGAAGCCAATGTACTGTATATACACTCTCCCGCTGCCCCCCCCCCCTATGCATGTCTGAAGCGCAATACTATGCTGCAACCAGAACAAACCACCACACCAGACCAGGGTTTGTCGAGGAAAAACCCGCCATACATACATACAGTCATTGTAATTCTCTCGCAGAAGCTGAACATAGGACGGCCCGCATCGCTAGCAGCACCGACTATCGTTTTCTGCCTGCTCTCCTATTTGGTTGCCTTGCCGGGTTTCCCTTCATGCCCGCTTCTGATAATGCTTGCAAGGCAGCCCGCTCTGCTGACTCCCTTTGTGTAACACTCTGGACGCCTTGGGACAAGGTCATACATACTCCTCCGTTCTCTTCCGCCTAGTACCTGGTTTGCATGTGCAAATCAAGGCTTTTACGACAGAGTGAGTAACGGGAGACTCTTCACTGCCAACTCATCTATTATCCATCTGCATAAAATCAACACAAATCCCAGCTTCCCAACCCCCCCTTTTCTTTCAATCTTCCAAGATTCCAGCTCATCCCCAAATCTAGGCCCCCAAACGCCCACATCACGCCATATCAATGCACTCTCCCATCGTAGAGTCCCCCTCTCTCCTCTTCCTTCCATGTCCCGATATATTTGTTTGCTTCGCCTTGCATGCCCCTAGAAAATGCAAGTTTTCATCCCCCCCCCCCTCCTGGGCAGACAAAAAAAGATCTTCTCAGTCATTCTTCTTGCCAAGGTAAGTCAGATACCCACGGCAGCGTCGTTCTGAAAGATAACAACACAAAATACCATTCGTCACAAAAGGTACATGCAAAAAGGCAACGTCTTTTCTCTCGCTGAGGCCCAGTTGCCTGGTCATAGGATCAGACATGTAGCGCGGGCCTCCAGCAGCAGACACGGCTGTATCTCTCTTCTTCATTTGACGCTTCAGCAGCACAGGCCTGCAAGTTTGCTTTCACATCAGCTTCTCCCAACCTTTCTTCATCCCGGTCCCCTCTCCCATTCGATGACGGCTTCGACTCTCTCAAAGCAATAAAAGAAGAAAAGAAAAAAAAAAAGGTCGGATCAAGACAATATACCCAATACTACTACCTACATACAACAAGGATATCGAACTACCTTCAGCCATCACATTCCAATCCCATCCGGAAAAACACAAAAAAACAAAACCCATCCCGCACTCTCACCGGTCAAAAGACTCTCCCGTTCACAGCGTTACCCCCGGCCTCGCCGGCCCTCTTGAAACCCGGATCGAAGAAAGAAAGAAAAAGGCTGCCGCAGGTGGAGAGATGGCTGTGACAAGACAGACATCGAGCAGGGATCTTTGCTGCAGCTGCTGCATGCTCCTCTGATATCCATGTACCTGGATGGGGTACTACTGCTGCTCCTCTTGATATCCATATACCTGGATGGAGTACCCGGCCTCCAAAGCCTCTCACATGCAAGTACCAGTAGTAAGTAGTAGGTCGTATCAAGCTCAAGTGCCAGCCAGTCATTTTCTGCTGTATGTAAGGGGGGGGAATTAGCGGCATGGTCTGATGTCTGCTGGAAAAGGAGAGAAAAACGCCACGGCAGAGGACGAAGCTGAGTGACAACAGGCATTCATCTATTCAGAGTCAGAAGCGAAAAAAAAAAAAGGAAAAAAAAAAAACCGTTATGGTCCAGTGTTCGGTCGTTTCGCCCATGTAAATCCATTTTGCCCTCAACCAAGCTCATTAATAACACATTCCTATTTGGCAAGCTTGCCATGTTCCCCCCCCGCCTTGGCCGGTAGTATACCCATCCTGGCCGTCCCCAGATCTCCCAACCTCCTCCCACATCTGCATCCAGAGTCAGGGGAGGGGTAGACGCTCAGATGCTGGCCTGGAGCCGCTCCAGCCGTGACGTGACGGCCTCGACTAGCGCAGACTCGCGAGACAGCAGTCCTTGCACCTGCTGCAGCTTGCTGCGTCGTATGTCTTGGGGGATGCGCAGCTGCTCCACGCTGGCCGGTGACTGGGTGCCGCTCGCGTTCTTGAGGGCCTCGGCCTCGGCCACCAGCTCTGCCTGCAGCCTCTTGACCTCCTCCAGCCGCTTCCATACCTGTTTCGACTGGTTCCTCGACCCGGCCTCAGCCCCCGGGGGAGGTCCAGACACGCTAGCCTCCATCGCCTTGACCTCTTCCACAAACGCTCGCTCCTTGGCGCTCAGATCACGCCATGTTGTCTTGCTGACCATTTTCCGGAGATCCTCCATCCGCTTCGTCAGCTTCTCCTGCCGCTCCTTGGCCTTGTTGATCCGCCTCTCGTACATTGTATTGTCCGACTCGTTGTTCTCCCGGTGAGATCCGTTGATGGTGTCAATCTTGCCCTTGACCTCGTTTGCCTTCCTCACCTGCTGCCGTAGCTCTGCCTGTAACAGTTCGCATCGGCGAAAGACCTCGGCGGCCGCTACGCCCAGCCGGTATGTCTCCTCGCTGAGGACCTTGTGTGCGTCGGTGAAGATTGCCAGCGTGAGCGGGCTGAGCTTCACCTCCTGGTTGACAATGGTCTTGTGGCGAGACGTGCGGAGACGCTCCAGCAGCTCTGGCAGGGCGGACGACTCGCTAAAGGTATGTGGGGGATAGTACACCGGTCGCGGCTCGTAAAAGTCCAGAGGTGCCATGCTGACTTCGCGCTCGTGAACGGGGCTGTCCTGTCGAACGGTCACTGGCTCATCGTCGGGCGTCTCAAAGGTCAGCGCAATGGGCTCGTAAGGGGTCGCCGAGAGGAGGAAGTAGCCGAGGTCGGGATCGCGGATAGTGACGCAGCCTGCCAGCGGGATCGCGACATCTGCTGCCTGCTGTGCGTAGACTCTGTCCCTGGTAGACTGCGAGTTGGCCAAGAGTCCGAGGCGGAAGTCTGTGCCCGCCTCAAACTCGCCCAGTAGCTCGCTCTCTAGCCTAAAGATCCATGGGGTGAGCGAGATGAAGGTGATGGCCGCGTGGTGGGTGACAAAGAAGTTGTATCGCGACATGACGTCCGTGCTAAACACCGGCCAGCTGCCCTCATTGACCTCGACCGGAGTCATGGTGTCGATGGCTTGGAATGCTAGAAGAGCCGGTGGTTCCATCTCGGCTGCCAGTGCGCGACCGAGCCTGCTCTTGCTCTTGGGAGGCAGCCACTGGGCTTGTACTCCGTCAGTGTCCAGGTAGATGCGGACCTGGCCGCTCGTGGACAGCAAACAGATGACAGTCAGCGAGAGGCCTTCCTGGTCCCCGTTGTCAAAGTCCAGCTCGTCTTCCTCACCCAACATCAGATCTTCCGTCTCCGTCTTCTTCCCAATCACCAGCATGTCCGTGATGGAGCTGTCCAGATCATCTCCGGTTTCCGGGCTCGCCTGCAAGTCAAAAGGCCCCTGGAGACGAGGAATGGCGCCAGGCCGGGAAGGCCTCGTGTAAACCTCGAGCGCAGGTTCTCCTGGAATGACGGACTCCACAATCTGGGGCTCCTGAGAGTCAATCTCACCCATCCACTGGAGCTGCTGCTGGGCCAGAAGCTTGTCCCTGTCGTCCACGTTGGGGTCGTCCTCAATGGCAGCCACGCTGGTAACGATGGATATCGAAAGAGAGGGGATGAGCGTCGGCGGCGGTGCCCATCGCTGGGGCAGAAGCGGACTCAGCGCATACACGTCACCCTCGCGCATGGCAATCCACAGCGTCATCGGGTCCCAGCCACCGGATCCCTTGGTCGCGAAGCTTGCCGCGGCCACCTCCATCTCGAATTCGTCGGGCGAGAAGGCCTTGCTAGTGGCCGACACGGACGCGGAGAAGTCCTGGTCCACCGTGGTGCCATCCGCCAGCTTCTTCAGGTCGATCGAAGTCGTCGGAGAATCAAAGGACCAGCGGTCCTGCGTTGAGAGCTCCCAGAGGCGGACTGTTGCGTCGGCCGTGACAGTCACAATGCAGGAGCCGTTAACTCCCAGAGGGTGCCACAGGGCAGATACAATGGCAGCCCGGGAAGTGACGTGTGTCGTGGGGCCGAGGGTGTATGCCTTGGGCTTTAGCGGGCTGGTGTCGTCGCTCGTGAGGTGGGAAGAGTCGGGCAGGGCACAGATGTGGACGGTGTGTGTGGTGAGAATGGCCAGCAGGTTGGTGTTGGGCGAGATGATGAGCTGCCGGATGTCGTCGGCCACGGGGACCTTGAGTATCTGTACAAGGCAGTTGGTTAGCAGCTTGTAGTTTAGAAAAGGCTGGGATGCTTGTCCCTCTCCATCGCCCTTCCTCCGCCCCGTCCTCTCATTGCACAGTAGCATCAACTTACCCTCCATCCGCCCGGCGCGTCAGTGGCATCCGTATCGATCGACTGCAGCGTCTCGTCCTCGCGCTTGATGCGCACGCTGGAGCTCCTCCGCCGCGACTGCTTCTCCGTCCATTCTTCCTTGAGGTAGACCAAGTCGCCCCAGCGTATCTCCTTGCCCACGGCCACAAACACCTCGGTCCCGCGCCGGGCAATCGTCCTCCTGGGGCCGGGGATCTGCTTCTTCTTGCCCGGCGACAGCGCCCGCGAGCGCAGAGACTCGGCCGAGGGCTCGAAGAGCTGGTTGCCGGGGGCATTTTTCGACAGCCAGGCGGCCGAGTAGCACTTGACCTTGGGCATGGCTACGTCTGCTAGGCCTGCGTTCTGCTGGCCCTTCTCTCTCCTCTGTCGCTTGTCGTCAGTAAGTAGAGACGGAGCTTCGAGCGCAAAAGCTGGCGCTTGTCTTCGGACAGCTCGAGGAGAGCGGCGTCGTTGCCGGATCAAGGCCTCGGGACTGGAAAAGAATCAAAAAAGCTTCAACCTGCAAAAAAGCGCGGCTGATGGCTGGCCAGCGAAAAAGCATCCACAGCATCCATTGACTGAACCAGCGGCAGCTTCTAGCGCGTCAGTCCAGGTGGCCGGGGCTCCACCCGCATTCGCTGCAACCCGCCTGTAAGATCCGGCTAGCGCTGTTTCTACAGGTGCCTTGCATCCATCGGCTGCTTTTTCGTGCTTAGGTTGTCTTGTGCTCGTGCTGGTTGCTTTGAAGCTTTCCGTCGTCAATCACTCACTGTTGAGCATCAATTGGATTCTTCTGCGGCGACTCGCCCTTGATTGTCCCAACATCTACGGACTCTCCGGCTATCACGCTATTGTTCTCATCTGCCATTTGCTTGTGAATCCTTAGACTCGACCGCAGACACAGTCGTGATGCGTCCCGAGGTTCGAAGCACCGTGGAGCGCCTCGATAGGCCGAGTGCGTACTATCTCAGCAGGGTGCGTCAAGCAGGAACTCGTCTTGAATCACAATCACTGAACAAGCACTGATGAGTTTGCAGAATAAGCGCAGACGCGACCGAGACGACAACGGAGATGACGCAGCCGAGCCCGCCGTCGACCCCCTCGCCAACGCGACAACCCTCTACGTCGGCAACCTGTATGTCCAAACCCTCCTCCATCGAAGCCCTCTTCCTCGACGCATGTCCTAACGTGACCTCTTTCGCAGCTCCTTCTACACCACAGAAGAGCAAGTCTACGAGCTCTTCTCCAAGTGCGGCGAAATCAAGCGCATCATCATGGGCCTCGACCGCTTCAACAAGACCCCCTGCGGCTTCTGCTTCGTCGAGTACTACACCCACCAGGACGCCCTCGACTGCATGAAGTACATTGGCGGCACAAAGCTCGACGAGCGCATCATCCGCACGGACCTGGACCCCGGCTTCGAGGAGGGCAGGCAGTACGGCCGAGGCAAGTCGGGCGGCCAGGTGCGAGACGAGTACCGAGAGGACTACGACGAGGGCAGAGGAGGAATAGGCAGGGCGCTGCAGTCGGTGCGGGGGAGTAACTACGATGATTGAGGTTGATTCTAGTGATGATGATGATGCTTCTCAAGGAGTTGCTTTGCTCATGTTTTTTTTTTCTTGTCTTGATATCTTTATACTTGGAATGATACCTTTACGGGAATAGATTTGGATTTCAGCGCAGACTTGCAGCTCATATCGATCCAAGTGCCGTCCGTGTTCAGCCAACCATTCGAGTATTCATACAGGCATCTTCCGTTGTAGCGATTTTCCCCCTGCTCCTCTCCGTCATCTTCCCGTACAGCCGTATCTTCAAAGGTAGGTAGGTATTGCGCCGTGTTGCAAGGTTGTATTGTACAATAAGTCTCTGCTTATATGGTATGTCTGTCTCCCCAGACTCGGTTCCCAGGATTCTCGCAATTCGCTCGTGAAATAATCGTTGTCGCATCCCTCCCATCAGTATCCAGGAGGATTGACTCTCTGCGAAACTCTCGTCCACTTTGGCAACTCTGCAATTCACCGTCAGCTCACAGAAACCCTCCCCCAAGAACGACAGAACCCCCCATGCACTCCAAGTACATACTGTGAATGCCCTTGCGATACTTCTTCTCCTTCCGATCAAACATGGTGTACTTGTCTCTCGGAAGCATCTCCTCCTCAATGGGCATCTCCGCCTTCCACCGCTCAATCGCCTCCAGCGTCTGTCCCTTCTTCGCCAGCGCGGCGTCCAGCGTCGCAACCACGCTGTCCACGGCCCGCAGCCGCAGCCTGTGCCGCCTCTTCTGGAATCTCGACAGGCGCCAGGGAATCTTCCACAGGAGGCCGCCCGACAGCGGGTTCGTGGCGCGGAAAGGGCCAAACATTGTTGCTGTCGTTATGTGTTGTCGTCGGTTCTTGGGCCTTTTTTCTTCGTGAGGCTTCAAGAAGTTGCAAACTTGCGGCCGGAGTTTTAGGTAGCTTTTCGCACTTTGTTTCCCGGAGTCGCTTTCTCGCAACGGGATTGGCCCCTCTGAATCAAAGATGGGGTATGATAGTACGTAGTAGGGGGGCGTGCATCCCGGACGGAACAACGATGCGCCATGCCACTTTCGCACACACCCTTTGATCCCCTCCACTATCAACTCCAGCTCCATCTCGTCCAATGATCCAATCCGCTGCTTGCTTGCCCGACTTGCGCGCATCAAACGGGGAAGACAGATACCGAGTCATAATACTACTGATCCTCAGACAAAGCTCCGTAATCCCCCGCCAGCAACTTTGCCCCGGAATGCTGGGCGCGGCAGCCGCACAATGAGCTACTACTTTGCCATCGTCGGCACCCAGGACAACCCGCTGTTCGAGTACGAGTTCGGCACCTCCAAGCAGGGCGGCGATGGCCAGTCCCGCTTCACCGAGCAGGTGCGCCACCTGAACCAGTTCATCCTGCACTCGAGCCTCGACATTGCCGAGGAGGTGCAGTGGTCGCACGGCCAGATGTGAGTTCGCCTTCGTCTGCCCCTCCCCCCATTCACTTCACTCCCATGGATGCGCTTCCGCTGTCTTGGTCGTCATGGCGCATGACGCTTGTTTGCGGGAATGGCTGTGACCGAACAGTGGACGAGGGCTGACCGACGGCGGTTTGCGCAATGGCAAGGTACCTCAAGTGCATCGACAAGTTCTTCAACAACTACATCTCCTGCTTCGTCACCGGCGGCAACGTCAAGTTCCTGCTGCTGCACCAGCCCACGACCCCGACCTCGACGGCCTCGTCCCGATCGTCGACCGCTATTGGCGCCAACCCGACGAGCCCGGCCACCGAGGAGGCCATCAAGATGTTCTTCATGGAGGTGTACGACAACTGGGTCAAGGCCATCATGAACCCTTTCTACAAGGCCAACATGGAGGTGCGGAGTCCCATCTTTAGAGCGAGGGTAGCGGCCGCTGGACGGAAATACTTATAGAGCATTTTAAGTTCACGTAATGAATAATGAATGACAAAATCTACGTTGATACCATATTACTGGTTTGGTCACGACGGCTCACGATGCAATCTTGACGGACGCGATCACGGAATGATTATCGTAGTTGTATTCGTGTGATATTGTCATGTAACAGGGTCGTCTACCATGACGCCTCCTTCATAAACCCATTTCCCCCCAACGCCAATCGATCGAAAGTACAGAAGAGTCCATGTTATTTGCACAGATAACCCCAGCTCCACAAATCGCCCCCTTGGTGAAGACGCGCGCCGCAGCAGCAGCATATAAAAGGAAACCCCAAGACGCGTTTTGTTTTGTCTGTTTGTTCCGGGGTACTTTAACCACCGAAACCGTAGAGGGTGCGGCCCTGTCGCTTAAGGGCGTAGACAACGTCGAGCGAGGTGACGGTCTTGCGCTTGGCGTGCTCGGTGTAGGTGACGGCGTCGCGGATGACGCCCTCGAGGAAGGACTTGAGAACACCGCGGGTCTCCTCGTAGATCACTGATGGCAACGCGTGTCAGATGAAGCTGCTCGTGATGATGATGACGATGATGGCCGAAGAGGAACTTACTGGCAGAGATACGCTTGACACCACCACGACGGGCGAGACGTCGGATAGCAGGCTTGGTAATGCCCTGGATGTTGTCACGAAGAATCTTGCGGTGACGCTTGGCACCGCCCTTGCCGAGGCCCTTGCCGCCCTTTCCACCTACAGACCGAGATGGTTAGCATCATTCCATTCGATTCTTTTATGTGTGTGTGTGTGTGTGTGAAGCCATCGCTAGATCCCACACGCGTTGTGGCGACGAGATGCTCTGCCGCACCCGCATCCCCAGCATGGCACGGCACAGCGCATCCCACCGACAAACACGCGATAGAGCAAGACAACAATGATGAGGATGAGGAGTATTACTCACGTCCAGTCATGATGGATGTAGTTTAACGTAAAGTGGGATATAAAAGACTTGGTTTGGGATAAGAAGACAGGAAAACGCGTCACTAGAGTTAAATGACGTGTTATAGCAGATGCAAGAAGACAAAACGTTGCGAGAGCGAAAAGAGGGCGTTCCCGATGCGGGGGGGCGGGCAATAAATACGCGCAGGGAATCACCGCCAAATCAGTAGCCTTTTTCCCCTCCACTTTAGTATTGGCATATTATTTTCTTTTTTTGCTGATTGCGTTGCTATGCCTGTTTCGGGGGTGGGGTGCGTGGTTCGATTTTTCTGTTTGGTTGGAAAGGGACTTTGGCCTTGAGCTTCTTCGTGGTACGTGCGCAAGTACCTTTTTACTACTATCAGTTACTATACCTAAGGACTTGCAAAGACTCGCTCCATTTCTCTGCTCTCGGAAGGGCGGAATGCCATAATAATAACGCGACTAGACTATCATGTGATGGGGCGCCCTTTTTTTCCCTCTTTGCTTGGGAAGCTCACTCGGGGAAACATCGGCCAGGGGTCCCTCACCGAAACGGGCATCAACAACAAACGACAAAACGGTTGCTGCTGGCTTGCACCGTTTCATTGCACGCACGTCAAACGGTCTCACAGCCCCAAGTTCGGTCCATCAACACCATCAACACCATCACGAGTTTCATTTCTTTCATGAAAGCATACTAGGTAGGTAGGTACTTTGTAAGTTGTCGAGAATAGCCCCATTAGCAACACAGGCAAGAATTTACCCACTGGGTAATGAATAAGGTAGAGAAGCAATGAGCACTACCGCAGGTATCGTACAGGTCTCCGTCCATGCCAATGCTTCCTCTCACCTCACTCTCTACCAAAACGCCACATCACAAGACTGGAATCATCATCTCCACCAGAAACAGCCAAATGGTATACAGCCAAAAACACCACCCTTATCCTCCGTTCTCCCATTCTCCGTTTGTACTGTTAAAACAAAAAGGTACCTATTGAATACACAGAGCAAGAGAAACAAGCCTTCTGATGCTCTCTCTCAATCAATTTGACGCCCCTTATTCTCCGAGCCAGGAATCAAGTCGCAGTAGTAGCCTTCACCAAAAGAGCCCACCGCCCGCCCTTGTTGCACCAAAAAAAAACAGTAAAACGCCGATGCCATGCCAAAAAAAGACCTGCCGCGCCTTTTCTCTCATCATCATTTCACCCTGCCGAACCCCTTCCCAGTTGTCCTCATCACCAGCCGCCCCAATCATATCACGCTCTTTTCTAGCTTTTTCGTGAGCTGGGGAAGACTTCGAAGCATATACCCTCAAACTTGTCGGATGACTTCTCCTGTCAAGGAGAGAAAAGAAAAAGAAAAGGGAAAAAAAAAAAACCCTGGATCCCCTGATTTCGTATTACACGTAAAGGCTGCCATGAGCCCCTGTTATCAGATGCCCCCTCCCAAAACAAAAGGAAATTACTCATGAGCGTCATCAAATCAGTGAGTCGTCCATTGGTATATCGTCCTCAAAACTCTCAATCGCCTCCTTAATCTGCGGACCAGCCTAGACAATCACCTGTGAGACAAGAAGACAGCATGCACCTTGGAAGGATTTCTCTTACCTTTGGATCCAATGCCAGAGCAATCGTAAAGTGGCGGACAGCCTCCTGCCTCTCGTTCATACTCCTATACAACGTCGCGAGCAGGAAATGCACCGTGCCCTCATCCGGAGCCAGATTCTTCAAAATGACAAGCTCCTGCTGTGCCTCCTCAATGTTGCCGACTGCGAGGAGGGCTCGCGCCTTCTTGTATCTCGTGGAGGCGGCGCCGGGGGCAAGCTCAACTGCTTTGCGATAGGCTGCCAGAGCGGGTATGATTTGCTTCTGCTTCTCCAGCGCCGTTCCGATGCACGTTACCAGTACCGCATTGTTGGGGTTTATGCGGTGCGCGGCGTTGAAGTGCGTAAGGGCCTTGTCGTATGCGCCCAGGCGTTGCTGGACCCTCCCGATGCCGTAGTAAGCGTTGTAGTGCCTCTTGTCCGCCGAGATGGCCTGCCGGTACGCGGTAAGTGCTTTGTCGTATTCCTCGTTGGTGACGTGCTCGTGGCCCTGCAGCGTGAATCCGTATGCAAACTTGGGATCCAATTGCGTGGCTCTTTTGAAGCACTTGAGGGCCTGCTCGGGGTCGCGCGCCAGAGACCACGCATTTCCCAGGGCACACCAGGCCTGCGGGGAGTGCCAGGCAGCGTCGACAAGTTCGTGCGCCAAAAAGGACAGCTCCGTCTCCCGCTTCAGATGCCAGAGAACAGTCGAGTACACCTCCATATCTTCCAGACGTGAAGGGGCCTGTTCCCGCATCCTACGAAAGTACTTCTCGGCGTCGGCGTATAAGGCCTGCTCGTAGTGAGCCCGTCCCATCAAGGCCAGAACCCAGGGTGAGTTCTGATGAGCCGGGGGCAGCAAACTCAATTCGCGCACAGCTTGTTGACACTGAAACTGGGACATTGCGTAGTATCCGCTGCCCAGCTTTCTCATCAGATCCATTACCCAGTTCAAGGCCGCTTCCAGCCTGGCCGTGTCAGGCTCTGCAACCTTGGAAACCGGCAGGGGCGTGGCCTCCTGGGCCTTGCCCGTCTCTCCGTATCCCCCGTCTCCGTTGTGGTCTTCTAGAGGTTTTCGGCTTCCACTAACAACCCTCGGTACGCCGGAGCCACTGGAGCCCGGTCGGACAGGCCGAGAGACAGGGGGCCTAGCCTTCTTCAGCTCTCGTGCAACAGGGGCTCCTCCGGTAGCCGGGGTCGCCGAGTTGGACTTGGCCGACGACTTTATGCGGGTACTCCGTCTGGTCGCATGCTCCTCCGCGTTGGCCGACCGTGACACCGGATAGCCAGTGTGCGTTCGTTTCCTATCGGTTGTCGGAATGACACTGGATCGCGAGTTCCCAGTCGGGGCGCTGGGGGCATCTGAGATGGGCTCCAGCGCCTGTTCCTGGCTGTTGTTGGTCTTCTCTCGTGTAGCCGCGTTTCTTCTTGACCCCAGCCGATGGTTCGTTCGCGGCTGCGGCTCGAGCGTCTGGTCCACGTTTCGGGTCCTCCTCGTCTGCGCATGGGGCGGTTCCTGCAGGTTGTTAGACCGGGACATCATCGCCTCCGTTGGCGGCCCGGTTGGAGTCTCTAGGCCTTCCATTTCGTGCTGGTGGTTGTTGTTCGAGCTGGTAAACCTGAGCTTCGCCTTGTGCATCTTGGAAATAAAGTCGCTCTCCGAATTTGCGAGAACGTTTTCGGTCATCGGGGTGATGTTGCCAGCAGAAACGCTAACGCCAAAGATGTCAACGCCGGAGTCGACCGTCATGGACCTAGGGGCTGACTTCTTCTGGGGAGCATACTCGAACGAGGCCACGGTAGCAGTGCTCTGGCTCAGCTCGACGTTCACCGAAGCAGTCAGATCTTGACCAAGGTTCTGCAGTAATCCGTCGCTAGCCTGGAAGATATTTGGCGCTCGGAGCACGACGCCCATGTCACAGAGAGCCTTGAAAGCATCCCAATAAAACGCATTCTGCTTCAGCGCCTCCTCAAAGTAGTTGATGGCTCGTTTCTTGTCGTCGTAGCCACGGTACAGCTTGCCCAGCAGGCAGAGGACCGCAGGGCAATCGGGGGTTGCGGATCGAGTCGTCGCGCTGTGCTTGCCCATGGTGTTCTTCTGCCACCACAAGCTCTTGGCCTTATCCAAAGCTGTGATGCCGTCCGTAAACCGCCCCAGGGCCAGGCATGCCTGGGCAAAGACCCAACTGCAGCCCAAGTTCACGCCGTGGCATCCCAGCGGCTGGCTGACGTCGTAGGCGGATCGGTAGTCGCCGAGTCGGAGGTGGCATAGCGACAAGAGGTGGGCGGCGTCGCTGGATTGAGGGTCTTGCGCGGCGTATCGTTCGGCGAAGAAGAGGGCACTGTCGTAGGAGCCATTGTCGAGGTGATAGTGGACTACCTGTCCCAGGAGGCTTCCGACAGCGGTCGGGCTTGGCGCCATCCTGGCGGTGGTTGTAGGAGTCGCGGAAGACTGGCAAGATCGTCACCTATGTATATGGGCCATGAGATGGTGGTCGGCTTCGGATCACCCAAGATGACGAGGGGCAGCGCCGGGTCGTGCAACTGTTCGGACAGGTCGTGCCGCGGGAGCGTCTGCAGGGAAGAGGTCGTCAAGGGGAGAATAAATGATTCGTATGTATGGTGTGTTTGGTAGCCGCGGAACAGAGGCGGCCAGCAGTCGCAAGATGGAGAGGTTCGGATCAAGACAGCCGATGGTAGTGATTGAGGCACGGCACATGCACCAGCTGTGAGCGCTCCGGCCGTTAATCTGCAGCCTTTCGTCGTCGGTCCAGTACGCCGACGCAAGCAATACAAGAGCGCCGAGGATGTCTGGCCGTCTTAAGAGCAAGAGAGAAGAAAATATGCCGCGGGTGGAAGGGAATGGTGGATCTTAGAGAGCGTGAATCGGAAGGCTGAGGCGGCGCTCCGGGAAGGGAACAGGTTTGAACAGACTCCTGAACAGAACGTAGATTCGCCCGTCTCTGCGCTCTAGTAGTCTCAAGGATGATGTTCAGCGTCGAGCAGCAAACAGCGTCTGTGACTTCGAGACCGGATCCGGGATTCGCGCCGCAGCCCGCGAGCTGGAGGTCGAGAGGAAGGGAGGGAGCGTCAGAGTTGGAGTTTGGAGGTTGCAACTTTTCGGTCGAGTCGCGGCGCGCAAGGCAGACGCTCACAAATTGTTGTTTGGCGTGGCTCAGGCTGGCCCAGGGCGCGACGTACCGCCATTGCCTAGCAACAGGGACCGCCCGCCGCCGTCCAGCGAGGGGCTCCATGGGCAAGGCAGTTGAGCCCTTCAGTTACAGCGGGCAGCCCGCTAGAAGGGTCAGCGCCAGCTCCCTGTAGCCCGCCGGCGTTTAGCAGTGACGACAGGGCAGCCCTCCTCCAGCTCTCTGATGACAACATGCACCCATCAATGAATGACCCCCGGGCCTACCTTACCCATTGACCAGTTACTGCACGCCACACAAAGCGCCACACCCCGCCAAACCCCAGCTCTTGTGCGCCAAGCTTAGGTGAAGCTGTCGAAGAAACCAGATCTCACCAAAAGCTCCAACTTTTTGTGTTTCGCGAAACATCAACCACTCCCCCTTCTTCAATTCCCTGCGTCGACCTCACAAACACCCCAAAACAGACAATGGCTCAAAAAGCGAAAAAGGACCGCGCCAAGTCCAACGCGGCGTCCCTCAACAGCCTGCACACCGGCACCCTCATCGTCCACGCGCTCTTCCTCCTCTCCAACTTCCTCTTCCGATCCCGCTCCCTCCTCGCGTACGCCCTCCTCTCCGTCCCGAGCCTCGTCTGCGAGTACATCCTCGAGACGTCCGGCCGGCCCAAGTACGATGCCGCGACGGGCGCCCTCAAGACGTCCGGCGAGGACCTGGCGGCCGCCGGCCTGACGGAGTACATGTTCGACGTCATCTGGGTGACGTGGGCGTCTCTCGTGGCCGTGATTTTGTTTGGAAACTGGGGCTGGATCCTGTTCGCTACTGTCCCTGCGTACGGCGCATACATGGGCTACGGACTGTTGGGCATGGGCAAGAATGCGCTGGCTCAGATGCAGGACGGGGGCAATGCCGGCAACGCTGCGCCGCAGGGAAACCGTCGGTCACGAAGGACTGCATAAACGTGACGAAGAATCTATCGATCTATTCAGGGCTGTCTTTCGAACAGATTGGGGAGTCAAACAAAATCAGCTGTCTAGCGTCTATCAAAAATCACTGTTCGCCCCGTCGAGGCCGCTCTCCTGTCCACCGCTCCAACACATCGTCATCGACATCACGAACCATGACGTGGAAATGCTCCAGAGTCCGCACGCTCTGCAGGGCAACCCAGTTCTTGAACCACAACACCTGGTCCTCCCCTCCCGGTCCAAGCGCGTCGACAATGTACTCCTTGACGAACCTCTCCACCCGCGCTCTGCTCTCAGGCGTCAAGTCACCCGAATCCGGGTCCGTTGGAATCGGGGTGCGAGACCAGACAACGATGTGCGTGATTCCCGGCGCCAGCCCATAAGGCCAATCGTTTAGCAGCACCTTGTAGTCGGAGGCTGCGGCAAAGGGAACTTCGGACTCAGGCGTGAATGGCGGTTGGCCCCATGACTTTGGTAGACGGTGCTGCAGGATGTACTGGGTCATGCTGCCGTACTGCGCCTTGATCTCTGCGGTCCAGGCCATGTAGCGGCGAAGATCCGAGGGCTTTCTCTTTAGCACGGCAAGGTCATTTGTCTCTGGAGAACGACATGTCGTGAGCTTTCGTAATCAATAAATCAGAAGTATCGTTTCCTTTGAAAACAACGAGAGAAAGCGTGAATGCACACTCACCGATGATATGCCTGAGATCCTCCCAGTCGTGCATCTTGAACTCCTCATCCGTCTGCGAAAGCACCCACTTGTCCACCTCTGTCAACGGAAAGGGCGCATCCTCAACGGCCTGCGGCAGGGAGCTCTGGTCCCCCATCGTATTATTCTTCCCGCTCTGCTTGGGATGAGATCCGACGCTGAAGGGTTCCGAGTCGAGTGATCTGAGGCCACGGACAGATGGTGAGAGCCCAAGAGGGTTCCGTCCAGCCTGACAGGGGGCGTACGGTCGAATCCAAGCTGACCAATGATACGCATGATGCAGCCTTGAAAGATTGACTCGTTCTCGTATTAGGTAACGCATCAGATGAAACCTGGCCATTTCGTACTCGCAATTAGTGAAATCCCAAGAGTGAGAATTAGGTAGAAGTCGCTCCATGTCTTCATCATCATACAAAGGCGACGCCTCGAAACATCCTTTACGCCTCGAAACATCCTTTACGCCTCTTACCTACACAAAAGACCTAGACAAGCCACTCACGTCTACCAACTCACTACAACTCAAGCTCCCTAGAAGCTCCAACCACTATTACTACGTAGCATCAGCATATGAATCATCACCACAAACGACACTTAGTTACCATCTTAAACCAATAGTAACACTATCAATCCGGGGGTCCTTCTTAATCGAGCAGCGGGGGGGCAGACCAGTCGGAGGATTTTTTGACCCTTAATATTGCACCCCAGATTTGCTGTAATCTGCGGCCCCCCATCCCCTTGCTTCCGTCCCGAAGTCTTTACATAGTTTTTTTTCGTTGAATTTCACCCAAAGTCTCGAATCCTGTTCTTTGCACTGCACCGCTCATCCGTCTTTGATTCCTTCGGCTTCGTTTCTTCCTGTATTACTCACTCACTCACTCACGCTCTTTAAACTTTCCTTATCTCATTGTACATCATCTTCACATATCTACTCAGCTTCTTCTTTTCTTGGCTTGTTATCCATTGCTCTTCTTTCCATCATCTCACTTCATCTTCTCATATTGCAAGTTACCTATCCAGCACTGTACCTCTCTACTTTCATTCACGCTCCTCGATCTCATGCCTCGCACTCCAGCCTCATAAACCAGTAACCCGCTATGCGCATCCCACCACCACCATGATCCTCGGTCCCGTATCCCTCATCGACTGCGTCGTCTTCTGCATCTATCTCGCCCCCCAGCTCCTCCGCCAAGCAGGCTTCGTCCCAACAGCTCTCGTCGTCCTCCAGACGATCCCGTTTCTTCGTATGTACCTAACACCCAGTTTCTCGCCAACTTCAACCCAATTAGGTACCTAGTTCTCCCCAACAGCCATATCTAACAATTATAATACTCCGTGATAGTCTTCGTCCTCCCTGTTCAATTCTTCTGGAACCGCTACTGCAGGAGCTACTCCTCCCACAAGTCTTCACACCTCAAGGGCTCCACAATCTTCGAAGACGTCGTCATCCGCTGCGTGCGATATGCCTTCGCCAGCATCCCCGCCAACGTCGGGCGCGTCTTCTTCACCAAGGAGGTAGCGCTGCCCTTTCTAAGGTGGCGTATGAAGAGGCATGGCTATGCCGATTTTCCAGTGTACTGGAAAGAGGAAACTATTGGAGAGGTTCGTTCGAGCCCCTGAGGATTAGCCAGACCTGCTTCGCACGGGCGAGAAGCTTTGACTTAACGCTTCCATTATACAGGGAGATGCCAAGGTCAATGGAATTTGGATCAAGCAGCATAGCGACCAGGAGCCGGACATCGTGATTTACTACGCTCATGGTAAGGGACTACTTCTTTGGCACATCATACTATCTGTTAGGGCGCATGCTAACACAAAGATGCTGGTCCTCAGGCGGCGGGTTTGCCATGGGATCGAGCTACTTTTACTTTGAGTTCCTTCTCGCCTGGCATAGCCTGCTGGTTGATGCCGGATATGAAAACCCTGCCATCTTTGCCTTGGACTACAGTCTCGTTCCGGATGAGGTCTATCCAACCCAGATTCTCCAGACGCTCCAGGGTTACAAGCACGTCTTGGATGTGGCCAAGGACGCCTCCAAGGTGTGCGTCGCTGGAGACTCCGCTGGTGGCACGTTGATCCTCAGCATGCTGCTCGAGGTTGGGATTCAAGTACAGAGCCAGCAGGCCATGGGGGTCAAGCTGGGGAAGAAGAGAGGGGTGCCGGGAGACTTCCGACCAGATTTTGCCATACCGCGAATGGCCATGCTCATCTCACCTTGGATAACCCTGGCCTCCAGCCTCCACTTTCTCTCTCCCGTCGACTACCTGAATCGAAACACTCTCTGGAAATACGGACACCAGTACGCTGGAGACACAATGATCCACGGCGGCATGGCGTCGCCCGGACGGTGTGACGATGTCAAGCTATGGAAAGCAGCCAGCCCCGAGCGCGGCTACTTCATCACGTACGGTGGAGACGAGGTCCTGGCACCGGATATCGAGAACTTTGTGAGCCGTCTGGGCGCCGGCAAGGTCGAAATCGAAGCTCGAAGGTTTGACGGAGGAATTCATGCATGGCCCGTGGCGTCGCTGTTCCTGTCCAGCACGAGGAGGAAGCGGCTGTACGGGCTGCGGACTATTGTAGGAGAGATTAGAAAACGATTCGACAAAGCACCGGCAGGTAAAGCAAGGCAGAACGGAAGGCTGTCAGATTAGATCAAGTTCAACAATGTAATCATTGGGCTCGATTACATGAAACGTCGGGAACCAGAGCGCTCGGGCTCGGCTTCGTCAATTCCAATCGAGCTCAGCATTTTAAAGCTCAGTCTTTTATCATCAAACAACCGGGGCGCGAGACGGGGAAGGAGGGGAGAGATAAAAGTCGCCGTTGGGCGGGAATGAAGCAATGAAATGCTGCTTACCTTAGTTCCTCGCAGGCAGAGATTCGATTCGGCGCCTGGTGCGGGTTCCATGCACAAAAGGCATGCATCATCTCCAGGCAGCTCCGGGCAGCTTTAGCGTCAGCTTTGGTAACAGCTAGGTGGCCAGACACGCAACTTGAATCTGACTTCGGGACCGGACTGGACTGGACACGACACGACACGTCTGCAGAATTTGAGGTTGCGTTAAGACAGGCCAGGGCGGGATGCGAGCCTGGCAACGGGGGGTGAGAATGCGCGCATCCCTTGCGTGCCAGGAGACCTCTTGAAAGCAGCCGGTGCGTGTACCACACAGCAGTGTCGTCTGGAAGCAAGACTTGCGATGTGCCGTTGAAGGAGACGCCGGTTTCAAGGTGTGAGGTCGTGTCGCCACGCCGTGAAGAGACTCGCAGAAACGCGCCGCTGGCATGACGACACCAAGACCGCGTGGGATGCAGGCAGAGGGAAACAGTGTGGTCCCAGGCTCGGAGTGTGTCATCCAAGAGCCGCAATCCAACGCCACACCATATGCGATGCCAGTCGTAAAGCCATGACCGCAAGCGTCGACAAGGAGGAAAATGAACGCCAGGCTGTCGCATCTTGCTGTGGTGACCGAAGCTCGAGGCTGCTCAGCCAGTCCGCCATCCCACCGCCTCGAGTTCATAGCCACACACCCCTCCCAGCACGACCATCAACTGGTGTTACTGCTCAGTGTAGCTCGAGGCCTAGGGCGGGCGCCAGTTGGTTCGTCGTGGTACCTCGACCGCCTCCCTCGCTTTGTGCCCCGAGCAGTTTGCGAGCTCGACTCGACTCCTTGTGGCGGTTCACCCCCTCCTCTTGCCTGGGCCCCTCGACTTGGTGTGCCTCGGGCCCTTAGCCCGGCTGGCCGACCTCAGGCTTAATGGCCAACGGACCCTGAATGCACATATAAACGGCCGGCCATTCCCCCCGAGCCTCGCTGGTATTGCCAACATGAACCGACCCCTCCACGCAAGCCTGCCAAAAACCAGACGCACCTTTTTCGCGTGCGCATCGCAGCCACCCCCATTTCCTGATTCGGCCCACGGTGAGCAATCAGTCACCGAACGCTGCCTGGTGTATTTCTGAGCCGTGTCGCGCCTGGTGTAGCTTCTCATTAGCCGTCGACATCTGACTGTATTCCGCCTCTTTTGTCTCTCACTTGCGCGTCTCTGCACTGTCTCCTTGCTGGGCAATGCCAGAATACTGCTTCTCCTGACTGAGCAAGTTGGGCGCATCGCCTTGCAGAGAGGAAATCAAGCGCATCGAGCAAGTCCTCCCGAGTTGACGCTCCTGGTCACTTGCGCCTTCCTCTCGAGCTGGAAGGGAGAGCACGAGACCAGGCAGAGGGCCCTTGAGACAGAAGGGGAAGACAAAGAGGAGAGAAGGGGCTTTGGGGACAATAGGCGACCTGGACTCAGACCATCGGTTGAGAAACCGGAGACCGGCCCTCCTTTCCCTCCTCAATAGCTAGTGTTCTAGCTTTGAATAAACGACCCTTCTCATACAGATAAGCTGGCCTCATCCGGCTCTCACCTTTCGTCCACATCGCCGCCTGCCCGTCAGCCACTCGTCCGACTGTCCGTCCGTTGTCCGCTTGGTACCATCAACTGAAGGCATGCCGCTTCAAGGCGACGCATCAAGGGCCAAGCGAGAAAAAGGGAAAGGAACGACGAAAGACCTGAAAGAAGAGCACTCGACCGGCTATTCGTGCATCAGTCCGGCACCAGCTCAACGCCAGCAGTCAAGGCACGAATTGCCATCAGCTTCAGCTCCCGTGACTCGACATCGTCTCGACTTTGACGGATCGGCCGGTTGGCATTGAATCGGAGCTGCGAATCGGCTGTCTTTACGCACTAGCGCATCCCAGGAGCGTCATCGCTGAAGAATAGGATCATCTTGCAAGGGGAGAGCGGATTTGGAGAAGGAAAAAGAAAAGAAGACTGACGACAGAGCTTCCCTGTCGGAAGAGATTCTGCGACCCAATTGCCCCCCTCCATTGTCAGCGGCTGATTCGCGGCCAAGTGCCCTGAAGCAGGCGAGGTTGATGCACTAAAGCAGCGCTAGACACCCGCTGGAAGAAAAAAAAACAATGGCCGAAGATTCGCCTTACGCGCCACGGTCGCCGGACCTGTCGTCGTTTTTGTCGGGCAGCCCCACCCAGGCCGAGCACCTCCAACACGGCCAGGCTGGATATAAAGTAGAGCCTCCCGCCAGCGACTTTGCGGGCACCGCTTCCTCTCCCTATGTCCCTCCTCCCTACGGCGCGCATCACCAGCAACCCCCCACGCCCACCAGCCAGCCCGTCTACGAGCAGTACTTCCCGCCCGTCCTGCGACAGCCCGCGCACAGCTTCGACGCTCAAAACGCCGCACCTCCCGCGCCGTACCGGCTCGAGCAGCGGGTCTTCAGACAGCCCCCGAGGCCGTCCTCTCGATACGACCCGTACCACAATCCCAACCACGCCCCCAGCCAGCCAGCATCGACATCGTCTGCAGAGATGCCGCCGCGAAAGGTAGTGGTGCCTCCCCCTCCTGCGCCAGCCGTCGAGCCGTCGCCAGTCAGAACCAAGTTTCCCACGGCCCGCATCAAGCGCATCATGCAGGCCGACGAGGAAGTCGGCAAGGTCGCCCAGCAGACACCCATTGCCGTTGGTAAGGCGCTGGAGCTCTTCATGATCCAGTTAGTCACAAAGAGCGCAGACGTTGCCAAGGACAAAGGCTCCAAAAGAGTGACGGCGTCCATGCTGAAGCAGGTGGTGGAGGCTGACGAGCAGTGGGATTTCCTGCGGGACATTGTGGGCCGTGTCGAGAACGAGAAGGAGGGTAGCAAAGCAAAGGCCAAGGGCGACAGCGAAACGGACGAAGAGATGGAGGAGCCCAAGAAGCGAGGCAGAGGTGGTCGTCGGAAGAAGGTGCAATGACCTCACACCTCACACAAACACACTTGACGACGAGCACGAAGATTGGAGTGACTGGCGTTTTCTGGCAAACAAAAACATACCATATCGTTATATCATACAACGGCGTTGGGGGGTCGGGCACATTGGCGGCAGCGGTTAACTAGACGGCCATGTAGCTGCGAGGCGGTCTCTCTCTTTCTCTCTCTGGATGGATGGACGCGGCAAGCTACGGGAGGTGCCTCGGTTCTGTAACATTTCACTTGCTCCTCTGTTTCAATAGGTACTATTGTTCTTCTGTTTTCCTTACAAAGCACTGTTTGCCGTATCTCTTCTATACCTACCTAGGTAGCTTGATACCAGGCAGGTCGTATCTCATTGTATGTATCTTCATGATGACAAGACGAAACGTCGCACAGCCTCAAACACTTGCGCCGTTTGTCTTTTCTAGCTTGGCATGCATCGTTACGTTTCCGTCTCTTGGAGTTACACAAAACGAATCGCCTCTTATGTTTGAGCAAGATTGCGGGTACAATGACATGGGACGGATGTTGCCGCCATGTCTCACCATAATAAGGGGAGCGACGGCAAAATGGAGCTGTCAACTGTCTGTAGGCATTGCACATCCAGCTGTGCCGTACGCAACCAATCAGTGTTGATAACATTTTCGATTCCGTATCAATACTTTACTGCCTCAATGGCGCCCAATTGGAGTCCCTTTTTTTTTTTTTTTTTTACTTAAAGTAACTTCACGAACTCACGAAAAACAAGAAGTCAGAGATCCTGTGCGACGTACGGGATGCCGCCCTTTATGCACGTGTGCGTCTGTTTGGCGGTACGTCGGGTTTGAGGCGGGGGATGAGCTGCATTGCATCAGATAGAGGTGAGCTGTATGATGTGCTGGTAATTTAATCAGACTTCCAGACTGGGTGCGAGTGACGGGAACCCACAGGTTGGGAGCCATTTTGTGGTGCGCTGCAGTGCGTGCAGGAGTCATGTAAGGCAACCTAATGGATGAATGGGCTTTTGTGGGCGAAGGGGGCCGAGTATTGCCTGTTCATAGGTAGGTACCTACTGAGGTGAAATACCAAGTAGTGATACATGCAGCCTCATTGAAGTTTGTGCGACGACTTCGGACAAAACACCCTGCACAAACACGTTTCAGAGGCAGAGGAGGCACGGCGAATTGCATCTGCCCCATGCCTCCTGGCCGAGGAGACGTATAGAGGTAGCCATTGTTTGTAGTTGATTCGTATCTAGTACTCGAAGTTTGTGCTCTGGCATAAGGTACGAATTGGAGACGAGAGAGGCAGCCTGGCCAAGACTCCGCAGAGAGAGATCCCTTGGCGAGAAACGCAGGGCCCCGATGTCCCCATTGGCTGTCTTGCATGCCGTATTGCTTTGTCTATGTATTTGCCGCATTGTGACGGAACTTGACGTCTGTTCAATCACCGAAAACCGTCTGCCTGGTAGGCATCCAAGCATCGTGACTGTTGATCCGGACGAATGACCGAGGGGGCCGGCGCCCAGGTCTGCAGTAGTATCAGGTATACTACCTTACTAGTAGTAGTATCGGATACAGGTGCTGAATCCCGTTTGAGTCGATGTGAAGCAGCATCTGTAAGGTAAGGTACCTGAGCAAGGAACCCCTCAGGTACGCCCACCTCAGCGGCGGACAATCTCGTGTTTCTGCCGCCATACGACCTCCCATGTCCGGCTAGAAGCTGTCATACGGGCCACCAAAAAAAGGCTTCAGGTCCAGGTGCCCGTCTAGGGATGCGATGACATGAGTTGAAACCGTGTCGCCGAATCTAGTACTTGGTCGAGACCCCTAGACAGGTACTCGGGAGGTACTCCGCAGTGAGCACTCAACCGCGCTACCGGTAGCCGCCAGAAACGTCAGGCACTAAGGCGGTACAAGAGGCCAGGTCACTCGCCCACTCCTCCAATTGTGTTGCACCAAGTACTTCGTTGTACGTGCCGCCAATATTCTGATTTCCACTCCATCAAAACCCATCTCCGCCTCGTCCGTCGCCTCTGCTTCTGCTGCTCTCCTCTTCTTCTCTCCGCCCTCGCGACTCTCATTTCTCGCCAGCAGCCTCGCAGCGCCGCTATCGTTCCTTTTGCCGCTGCCTGTCGCTCTACTTGCATGCGCTGCCCCGACGACGGCGACGAGACGAGAGAAGCCGGCTTCTGTCTGCAGTCCCCCGCTTCGAGAGCCATGAGAGACCGGCTGCATCCTGCAACGCCCTCAGCCCTCATCTAGATGAGGCTCCGCCTTCGCAACCGCCAATCCCGCCTGTCCGATCCTCCAGTGCCTGCTCGCAGCTTCGCGTGAACCAATGTCGTGGGACCTGCTGCAGCGATTCCTCGAATCCGACGTCTTCAATGCGAATCCTTTCCTCTCCGTCTCCTACCTCTCGTGAGTCTGGCAAAACACCTGGCATCTTCCGCTCTCAGCTATACCTGGCAGCAATGAAGCTCTGCGGAGCTCTGGCAGCTTCAGCCCCAGCCTTTTTAGCCGCAGTGAGAGTTTGATGTACGGACAGAGCTAACGTTCGTCCTTTTTGTTTTTAATACAAATATAGTCGCTACGCCGACCATGTAGGCATTCATTATGTCCTCTGCAACAAGCTACGGCAATTCCCGTACGAGGACATCGAGTTCTTCTTGCCGCAGCTATGCCACCTCATCATCAGCGTCGACAATGAGTCAATGGCTCTGGAGGAATTCCTGCTGGATCTATGCGAGGAGTCTGTGACTGCCGCATTGTTGGTACGTGATCCGTAGTCCGACAGGTCGCGAACACATGAGAGTCGCCGAGAACGAAATGAGGCCTGTTTTGCCGCCCACCGAGATGCTAATCTGGTCGTTTGATGCAGACCTTTTGGCTCTTCCAGACTTATCTGCACGACCTATCCTCGAACCCGCAGTCCAATGCCTTCCAGACGTGTCGCCGAGTCTACAATAAGGTGCAGCATATTGTCTTTGGGCTGGCAGACACTGCGCGCCAAAACAAGATCAAAGAAAATGTCCTGCCCGTTGCCGTGCTTTCCAGCTTTGTCCTCGCGAGCGTCGCTTTGCCAATGATACCCAGATGGGCTGGCCCTCTTGCTGTCGCGCAGGCTCGCAAGCCTCAGCCCATCACCGAAGATGCTTCAGACGGAAGTGAGACGCCAAAGCCCATCCCGGCCGCCTCCCCAACAAAGCCAACAAGAGCAAACACCATTGCCAGTCCAATCTCGAAACCCCGGCGCGTCAAGGAGCCAAAATCCCCGATCGCATCCGATCCCAGCCTGGACATGGACGCTCGCCCCTCGCCTCGACGAGCAGGCTCTCAGGTCCCAATATCTCACTCGCCGTTGAACCCGGCCTTTAACCCTGATTCGAAAAGACCGTCTGCGTTGGACATGAAATCTCTCGAGGCGAGGCTCAGCACCGCATCTCTACCTCTGCCGTCGCCGAGAGGCCCATCGCGACCATCAACTCCCGTCTCCGCAGGAGTCAATGCAAGGCCGGCGGATGGCATCCATCGACGACATTCTCACCACTTCAAGTCGCACTTAAGTCCGACGAACCTCTCGCCAGCGCAAAAGGCACAGCTTCTGAGACAGCATTATTTCCGATCGCAAACTCAATTCTTGTCTGCCCTGGAAGGCATCTCCAACCGGCTGGTCGCCGTCCCGAAACCCGCCCGCATGAGCGCTCTGCGAGCCGAGCTGGCCCTGATTGGCAGAGACCTGCCTGCTGAAATCGACATTCCCATCATTTGCCCGCCGACGCTGATTGACGGGGCGCCGGGCAAGAGTCGCCATCATCGAGTTGTGCGACTGAACCCTGCCGAGGCCACGGTTCTGAACAGCGCCGAGAAGGTGCCGTATCTACTGATGATCGAGGTGCTCAGAGACGACTTTACGTTTGATCCCGAGAGCCCGGACAACCAGCGGCTGTTGACCACACTTCTCGGTGGCAGCGGGCCTACCAAAAGGCTATTCGACCTCTCTTCCGAGATTCCCAGGGCTGCCTCGGCCGTTCCGCCTCCCGAGCCCATCATCGACAGCGTTTTCGAGCCCACTTCGGGTGATTTGGGGAGTTCACCGCTGCTCAAACCCTTTGACGACGAGCCCCCGTCCGTTGGTTATCACTCGAAGCACTCTACCGACCAGCGATTCTCTAGCGGAGCGACGACTGCGTCTACGACGCTGGATGCCATGACACCGCGCACGTCGGGGCCCTACTCTTCTCGATCGCCCAGTCCCGGCTCTCGACGCCGGATGACGCTCAACATGGCTCGCGCCGACCAGCCCGATTTCTCCGCGCTGGCCACGCACATGAGGACAGCCTCTCAGATGCTCGCCCAGCTCGAGGCCACGAGCGGCAAGCGGCCCAAGCACGAGGTGGCTGCGATCCGGGCCAAGATCATTGCGAGCATGCAGAGCCTTGAAGAGCAGAGCTTTGACGCAGACGAGCAAGGCCCCACGTTCGACACCATCATGGCCAAGGCCAGCACGGCCAGTGCCATTCAGGGTGTCGATCCGGATCTGGACGAGGAGGAGGCGCCGGTCGACCCCAACATCAACGCCAGCGCGGGCAGGGAGAGGATGGAAAACGACATCAAGACGGGAGGCGTCCAGCGCCGTGGTGATCGCGACGACCCTAGTGCGGCTGTCTTTGGAGAAGCCTGGGAGGCCAAGAAGGAGCGGATCCGCAAGTCGTCGCCCTACGGCTGGATGAAGAACTGGGATCTCGTCAGCGTCATTGTCAAGACGGGCGCCGACCTGAGACAAGAAGCCTTTGCGTGCCAGCTCATTAGCGTTTGCCACAAGATCTGGGTGGAAGCAAAGGTGGACGTCTGGGTCAAGCTGATGCGCATTCTCGTTACCGGAGAGTCGTCTGGCCTCATTGAGACGATAGCCAACGGTGTTTCGCTCCACTCGCTCAAGCGCAGTCTCACGCTCGCATCCATCGAGGCTGGAACGAATCCCCGGCACCGGATCGCCACGCTCAAGGACCACTTCATCAAGGCATTTGGCCAGCCCGACAGCAAGCCCTACAAGGCCGGCCTCGACGCGTTCAAGCGCTCACTAGCCGCCTACAGCATCATCTCTTACATCTTGCAGCTCAAGGACAGGCACAATGGCAATGTGCTCATCGATAGCGAGGGACACATTATCCACATTGACTTTGGCTTTATGCTGTCCAACTCGCCAGGCTCCGTCGGATTCGAGGCCGCGCCATTCAAGCTCACGCATGAGTACGTGGATGTCCTGGGAGGACTCAACTCGCCAGATTTTGAAGATTACAAGAAGTTGTGTAAACAAGCCTTTCAAGGTAAGCCATTCACAATGAGTAAAGAGAATTATCTCCATGCCGTAAGCGAGTTACCTAACAAACCGCCCCCCCCTCTCTCTACATTAGCTCTTCGACGCTCGGCAGACTACATCATCGACCTGGTCGCCATGATGGGCAGGGACTCGAAAATGCCGTGCTTCGCCGTGGGCGTCGCGCACGCCACGACGACGCTCCGCCAGCGCTTCCAGCTGCATCTCAGCGCGGACGAGGCGGAGAATTTTGTCGAGACGGATCTGATTGCCAAGTCGTATGGCAGCTATTACACACGACTGTGAGTATCCCTTTTTTGCCAAGTGGTGGTTTCCCCTCCCATCAAAATAAAGGATGTAGAAGGAGACTAGAGGAAGCTAACGGTTCGAAAAAAAAGGTACGATACCTTTCAATATCGCACACAGGGTATATATTAGACGTACAAAATCATTGTTCAAGCACGGTATCGCCAAGGCTCGCCCCTTCACCTCAAACGCTCAATGTTGATCCTCAAATCACTGGAGGGTGAAAGGAGGCAAACAACACAAAAGAGGTTGGGGTTGGTCAAACAGTTTCCAGGAGGGTAGATATCAATGTTGCGTTTGATCTTGAAGGAAAAAGAGGGCGTTGTGTGTTGCCCCATATATCATATATACCGAGAGGAAAGAATATCAAACATAATCTTGGCTACCTTACCTACCTACCTATATCCCTTATCTCCTTGTATGATCAGTCGCAGCTACTGATACTTGAGCCTGCCATCATATATATGCGAATGGCGTTGCCCTACCTAGAAGGCTAGGTAGTTAGGGGCGACCATAGAAGTCTAGCTGAGAGAACAAGAATATTACCGTAACTAACTTCCCTATGCGTTTACTCAAATACCTCTTCTTTTATATCTGCCAAACTCAACACGTGCTTACACAGTAATCATGCTTTTGATGAACCGAATGCAAATGTACCAATGGTCTGGATTCGATTAATACTACATATACATCAGACATGCATGCAATCGCAGCGCTTTCAGCTCCCAAAGCTATACTCGGATGAAGCCGGTTTCGCCCCATAACATCAGCCAGACCTGTCGACGACTCTCGCCATGCTCTCTCGTCTTCTTCCCAGGCCACCTGATGATCGCTGCTGGATCAACCTTCTGTCATCGGTTCAACGCAGGCTGTCCAAGAACTTCATGGCTCGCCGCGAGGCTGCACCCGTCTCACCGGCGCGCTGCACTGAGCCACCGTCCTCGCAATCCTCCTTGCCTGGATGCCGCTCATACCGCGCCGGCTGCTTGGCCTGTTTTTGGTCCGTCATGAAGGGCTTCTAGCCCCAGCGTCCCCCCTCCCTCTCGGCCTCGAGCCTCCGCATCCGCTCCTCGCCGTCTCCCTCGACCGCGTCGTTGCGCCGGCTGCGCCGTCCCTTGCGACCTCCGTCGTCGGCATCATCGCGGCTTCGCTTCGAGCCGGCCAGGCCTGCGAGCCCGGCCATGCGCTGGGCTTCTTTCAGCAGGCGCTCGCGGTTCCGCGCCTCGCGCTCCAGGGTGTGCGCGTCTTTCTGCGCGGCAGACGAGCTGCCCCCGGCAGCACGAGGGCCACGCGGGCCCGTAGGGGGGTCAAAACCCTTGTCGCCGCCTGGGGTGGCGTTGCCATCAGCCGAATGCTTCCTGCTGCCGCTGCCGTGCCGGCTGCTGTAGTCTCGGCCTCTGTCTCGATCGCGCTCTCGGTCGCGATCTCGGTCTCGGTCACGCTCACGGTCTCGGTATCGGTCCTTGCGATCCTTATCCTTGCGGCTACTGCTGCTATCCTTGTCGCGCTCGCGCTCCTTGTCGTGACGCCTCGACGAATACTCATAGTCTCCCCGGTCACGGTGTGAAGAACGGTGGCCGGATCTCGGATGGTCGTCCTCCTCGTCTCTGTACTTGTCCTTGCGCCGCTCATAGTCTCGATCCTTGTCCTTGTCCTTGCGGCTGCGGTGGCTTGAGCGTTTAGCATCATCGGGCGAGGCTGATCTGGACCTATCGCCCCCTTTTTCATCCTTGGCTCGTTGCGACGGCTGTTCGTCTTCGTCGTCGTAGTAGTGTCTCCTGCTGCTCCGATGCTTCCTCCGGCGATGAGAGTCGTCCTTGTCCTCCTTGCCTGCAGACTCAGAGCGCTGGCGCCGTTGCCGTCTGTGCGAGCTCCTATGGCCGCGACTGCGGCTCGGGCTGCGGCTGCTGCGGTCTAGGCTTCGGCTCCTACTACTGACCCTTGAGCCAGAGCGCTCGGGCTCTCGGTCTCGGGCACGATCTACTCGCTCTTGATCCCGGTCTTTTTCCTGAGCGCCTTGTGATCCTTCAATCTCCCCGCCTCGGTCAAGCTTCTCGTGCCTCCTGAAGTGCTCCCTGCTGCGATCACGATGAGGATCACGATCCCGCAATTTGTCCAGGTTGGGGGTACTACTTCTAGAGCCCGGCTGAGTAGCTGGATTCGACGGCGGCCCCTGCGACGGCTGAGATGGCATGGTAGCAGCCTTTTGCACTGGCAGACCGCTGTCTTCGATCTGGAAGCCCCGTGCTCGCAGATTCAGCAGGCTGGTGTTGGGCAGTCCCTGGCGCATGGCTTTCGGGCCCTTGGGAGCATTAATCGGAGCGTCCGGTGCGGACAAGATGGAGCGGATGGCCGCCACACCGTTTCGGTTCTGTACACTTGATCCGTCTGGCTGGGCTGATGATGGGCGCACAGGGCCGCCGGAGGACGCGTCGTTGCCTGGCACCTCGCGAGTTGCAGAGTCCAAGTCATCCTGCTTAGGCCCGTCGGTGTCGGCGCCCGCTTCGCTCTCTGATGCCTTGATCTGGCTTGCGCCTTCGTTGGCACCCTCGTCAACCTGAGCACTTGCCGTCGTGGATGTCGGTTGCTGCCCAGCTTCCCCCTGGCCCTGGAAGGCTGCTGCCGCTTGTCCTTGGTTGTACTGGGAGTATTGGCCCTGGTCCTGATAGTGATTCATGGCACCGGGGTGCTGATGGTAACCGCCCCGGCCGTAGCCTCCGTAGAATCCGCGCCCACGGCCGCGGCCCCGGCCGTAGTTGTTGCGACGATAATCATTGAAGTGGCCATAATTACCTTGATTGTATCCTGTCTGGAATCCTGAGTTAAAGTTCCCATAGTCACCAGTTCCCATGCCTGGGCCATTTTGATTGTAATTATTTTGGTCGAAATTCCATGACTGTGCACCGTTCCAGTTCTCATTGGAGCCTTGTCCAAAACCTCCTCCAAAGCCACCCATGCCGTTCATGCCCATGCCTTGAAAGCCTCCGTTCATGTACATGTTCTGCATCGGGTCCATGCCCATCCCCGGCATGCCTGCTTCATTGTCAGTCGTCTGAACGAGTCTGTAAAACGGGCGACGGGAGTCCTTACCCATCATAGGAAACCCGCCAAAGGAATTCGGCCCCATTCCATTTTGCATAGCCATCATCATTTGCATCTGGTTGAAATCGCCGCCGGGGAACATCATGTTCTGCTGGAAGCCACCATTGGTTGCATCTGCACCATACTGCTCTTGGTCGTTGCCAATTTGGCCAGCGCCATCGTCGCCTTCGCCCGCGCCGTCTTGCTCTTGGCTCTTGGTCGCGTCATCGGCTTCATCAGCTGGGCCTTCGGCGCCCTGGGCTTCAACGACATCTGATTGCTCGTTCGACAGCAACGGTTCTTGCGCATTGTCTAGTGCTGATTCCTGCTGTCGGCGACGGGGCACGTTAGTATGTGACAATGGGAGGCAGCGCATTGTTGGGCGAGTCAAACCTGCTGATCCTGCTCGTAGCCAGCGGCCGGTTCGTCAGCGCTCTGCGGCGCCGTTTCTTGCGCAGGTCCTTCTTCGCCGGCATCGACCGCCTTCTCTGCCGGTCCTTCTATCGGAGTAGCGACATCGGCTTCGGGCACCGACGGCTTCGGCGCATCAACCGGCGTGGGGGGCGCGGACTCGTTGGATTCTTTGGGCCGAGAGGCTTCTCGCTTCTTCTCCGCGGTACGCAGAAACACCCTGATGGTGGTCCGCAGAGACTTGTTAGGGTTGCAGTCTGCTGCGGATAGCGGAGAGTGCTCGCAGACGGGGCACGACTGGGGGAGGTTTGAGTGGCCTTTTGTGCGGTTAGAGTTTGGCCCAAAAGAGGCATTCAGCAAGAGCATTGCGACGTACAGGTTTCGCAGATGGCCTGTTCACAGCATGGCAGGCGGAGGGCGTTGACGGCCAGCTTGCTGCAATTGGCGCATCGCAGTTTGTGGGGGATATCGTCGGGAGCCAACGAGCTGAGAGGCACAATCAGTATCGTGAGTCTATCGGATACCTACTAGTGGCCATTGACTTCTTCAGAGGGCCGCAGGTCTTTGAGAAAGACACCCCAACTTACTTGATCAGCTCGGCCTGAGCCTCGGTAATGGACGTAGCCATCGTTGCCAGCGGGCACCAGCACCAGGTCTATCCGCGCTGGATCATGGGGGTTCGCGATAGTCGAGAGAAAGATAGGCCAAAGACCGTTAGAGGCACCGAACGAGGCGTTGTCCCGGAAGAGGCAGAGGCTGGTCACGTCACGGCGTGACTCAATGGGCCGCAGCAGCGCACTTCATTCACGCTCCGCGAGGCTGCAGGTTGCCAGGCCGCAATCCGTCCAGCCCGTACGAACAGCTGAGCAGAGAAAGAAAAGCTGGTGCAGGATCTGAGATTGTGAGGAGTTTGACGCGCTTCGAAAAAAAGAAGTGGATCTGACAAGTTGGAAGGCGAGCACGACCAGCAGCCGCTAAGCTGCGATTGGGGGGTGTCACGTGCCGGCATGCTTCTTATGATTATGAGGAGGCTGCAGAAGTGCATCTAATCGGCTGGCTGGCTGGCTGATGTTCAACAGTTAGAGTACCTTGTGTGGTGATGTCTGGTGTAATGCAACCTGAATACCTCGCTGAAATAGAGGGCGGTTGGCCTTGACTGGACCTCTGAGTAATACGTCCACTTTGAACATTGATTTATGCTTGAATGCCCCGTCACATGGTGACAGCTATACGTGGCGAATCACAGGAGGGCGAAGGGTTGACTGCAGCCTAACGTGCCGTCCTTTGCGCGAGCGAATCAATGGGCGGTCCGGGAACAGCGTCGCATGATGTAGTATGTCGAATGCCTGCATCGAATCATACTCAGGTGTGTAAGGTAGGTTACTATGAGGGATGCTACCAAGCGATACCTACCTGGTATCCTAAAAGATGTGAAGATGCCCATTGCAGGTAGACAACGCGCCACAGACGAATATCTATACGCAACCGTGTGCTTGGCGAAGCGATTCACAGCTGCTGCCAGGGCACTGCAAACATGCCTCGGTAATACCACAGACGGCCAACTGAGGACGAGATATAGTACTATTGCAGCAGGAAACTAGCAGACGTCTAGATAATAAACGACATGGCGCACTCAAAACTATAACAACGCAAATGACTCCCGGAACGCAAAGAACTCTGACTCCCGAATGACATGCCACAACAGACCCCGAATCTCGTCTGGCAGGCGGCGCAGTAGCAGCAACGGCAACCGACGGCATGATGCTTGTATCGTGTTTCTCGAACCAAACTGTCTCTCCCATCTAGCAGGCACATCCATCCTTGGCGCCCGCATCCCTCGGCCCTGACAGGTTGACCCGCTGCTCGTCTCCAGCCCGGTTCGCATTGCCTGCTGCGCCGGGTCCTCGGGCGCTCTTGAGCGACGTCTCGGGGATCGCATTTGCAATGGCTGTGAAGACCTCGGTGACGTTGTGGCCCGTCTTGGCACTCGTCTCGAAGAATAACAGGCTCTCCTCTTCGGCATATGACTGGGCCTCCTCCGTCGACACCTTGCGGGCATCGCCGCCGTCCTCGCCCTCGGCTTCCTCACTCGCACCCTGCGACTCGCCCGCCAGATCCAGCTTGTTTCCCACCAGGGCGATGACGATGCCAGGCGAGGCCTGTCGCTGCAGCTCGGCGACCCAGTGTCGGGCCTTGACGAGGGATGTGGGCTTGGTGATGTCGTAGACGACAAGGGCGGCCTGGGCATTCCGGTAGTACATGGGGGCCAGCGAGGCGAACCGCTCCTGGCCGGCGGTATCCCAAATCTCAAACTTGATGGTCCGCGTGGGCAGATTGCACTTTTGCGTCAGGAAGGCAGCTGAGGGTTGAGAGTGAGCCGATGGTGACCAGAGCGCAAGGACTGGCGGGAGGGTCGGGAGACGGATGGCTTACCTCCAATGGTCGGCTCTTTGTTTTCCTGAAAGTCGTTGTTGACGAATCGCAAGACGAGGGATGACTGCGGAAAATGTCAGCATGCGAAGCTATCGACATGAATACCGCAGGGCGAGATTGGCGACCTTTCCAACGGCGGCTTCGCCGAGGAGCACCAGCTTGACGCTGCTGCTGGGCTTGGGAGCTTCCGCCATCTTTCTTGCGACGCCTGCTGGAGGGGGCCTTTAGATTGCTTGTAATAGCAGAAGCGGAGATGAGTAGAGCAAGCGGTTTAGCGGAGGTTGTCGGAGAGGCGGGCGAGGCTGGTGACGATGGAGGATTTGCTGGCTTTGCAGCTGCGGGCGAGAGTTGTTTGTAAGTGCAGAGTGCAGGCCACTGCAGGTGATGCGCAGGATGGCGCTGTTTCTGGTGGCCAGTGGCAGCAGCAAGCAGATTCCTGGTGGGTACGACGTCGACTCCAACTGAAAGCACCGGTTGCATTGGATGGAGCAGCGGCCGAAGAGGCGCAACGATGACGAGGGCCTGCGGACGACAGACGGGGGAGCACCAGCCACTCACGGCCGGGGTACTTGAGGCAAAGCTGCCTGGGAGAGTACAGTACTTATCTTGTGCACCAGTTTGCTAATAAGTTTCAGTACTGACTACGCCATGCAGCTGCCCGCATAGGTACCCATTACTGTCCAATCCCAGCTCACCATCTAAAGCGCTTTCGGCGGGGCTGCCTCGGCCAAACGTTGCCCCTACGCCCGGCCGCTCCCCGCCAAACTCTTTGGGCCTGATCTGCCGGCAGAAAAAAAAAAGTTGGTACGGGCCTAGAGGTTGTTTCTGCTGCAGCCGCGGATTCTCCAAGATTCAAGGAACTTTTTCCCCTTCTGTTACCCACGATTCCCGCCAACATTGACGCCTCATTGAGTCTTTCTTTTTAGCTCAGCAGACTGTTGGAGGCTGATACAGCTGTCACAATGGCTGGGCGGACATCCCAGGCGGCAACCAAGGACAAGCCGTCCAACTCGAACAAGCGGAAGCTCCTCGACGACAGCGACTCAGACTCAGACGATGCCGGAGCAGCAATTGGGAGCTCCGGCTTCAAGGTGAACGAGGAGTATGCGCGCCGTTTCGAATACAACAAGAAGCGAGAGGAGAAGCAAAGATGTACGTGCCAAATAGGCCTTGCGTGACCCAACCAAGATGGAACTTGCATGCTAACGTCCCCAAAGTGGAGGAGAAGCTCAAGAGAGAAGAGGACGACGATGACTCCTCTTCCACAGACGAGACAGAAGACGAAGACGGTTTCCTCGCGACCGAGGATCTGGACGCACAAATCTCCGCCACACTACAAGCCATTCGAAACAAAGACCCCCGCGTCTACGACAAGGATGTTACTTTCTACCAGCCCGACGACGAGACCACCGCCGCCGCGACCAAAGAGAAGAAGGAGAAGCCTGTATTCCTCCGCGACTATCAGCGAGAGAAGCTGTTGAGAGGCGACATCGGTGGAGATGAAGAGGAGGAGGCCCCCAAGACATACCAGCAAGAGCAGGACGCAATCAAACAATCACTCCTGTCCGAGATCAACGCCGCCAAGGCCGAAGAGGACTCGGACGACTCGGACGAAGACGAAGACGGCTTCATCAAGCGAAAAGAACCCGCAAAGACTGACTCCAACGGCGTGCACCCCTCCAGAGCAAAGGCCGTGAAGCTGTCAGAAGTCGACGTCAACAATGCGGACAAGGACCCGGAAACGTTCCTGTCCAACTTCATGGCGGCGCGTGCTTGGGTCCCCGAGGATGGCTCGAGATGGGAAGCATTCGAGTCCGACGATGGTGAGACCGACGACCGGGCGGAAGAGTTTGAGCAAGCCTACAACTTGCGATTCGAAGACCCCGAGAAGAGCAACGAGGTTCTCAAGTCATACGCCCGAGACTTTGCCGCCGCGCGATCCGTGCGACGAGAGGAAAAGACGGGGCGAAAGCGCCAGAGAGAGCTCGAGCGCGAGAGGAAGGAGGCCGAGAAGCAGCAGCGCCGCGAGGACAAGGCGCGGTTACGAAAGCTGAAGCTCGAGGAGACCGAGGCCAAGCTCCAGAAGATCAAGCAGGCGGCCGGGGCGCTTGGCAAGGAGCTGACGGACGAGCAGTGGATGAAGTTTTTGGACGACGCGTGGGAGAACGACAAGTGGGAGGACGAGATGAAGAAGTGGTTCGACGAGGAGTACTACGCCATTAACGAGGCCAACGCCGCTTCCGAGGACGAGGATGCGATGGACGTGGACGGGGGAGAAGAGGGCAAGAAGAGCAACAAGAAGAAGAAACCCAAGAAGCCCAAGTGGGACGACGACATTGACATCAAGGACATTATCCCCGATTTCGAAGACGAGGCCAAGCCCAAGATTTCTCTCACCGACGACGAACCCCAGGACGGCGCTGATGAGGAGGAAGACGATGACGCTTCCGCGGAAGACGAAGAGCCCGCAGCCAAGAAGCGCAAGTCATCATCAGACCACAAGCGCGCCAAGCAAGAATCCCAGAAAAAAGCCCGCCAGGAACGCTCCAAGCTGGAAGCCCTCGTCGACGCAAAGCTGCACCTGACGGACCACGACATTCTCAAGAAGCAGGAGAAGGAGGCCAGTAACAGCAGCAGCGGCGGCGCGGGCGGGTTCCGCTACCGCGAGACGTCGCCGCAGGCGTTTGGGCTGACGGCGCGCGACATCTTGCTTGCGCCGTCGGACAAGGTTCTCAACGAGTATGCGGGGCTGAAGAAGCTGGCCACGTTCCGGGACGTGGAGAAGAAGCGCAAGGATCGGAAGATGCTTGGGAAGAAGGCCCGGTTGAGGCAGTGGCGCAGAGAAGTCTTTGGCGGCGAGTACGAGAGTACGGGGCCGACGTATGGGTTTGAGAAGCTGGTTGGTGCGGATGAGGCTGCGGAGGAGCATCATCACAGCAAGAAGAAGAAGAGGAGTAGTAAGGACAAGGGCAAGGATAAGAGCAAAGATGGGGACAAGGAGGAGAGTAATAACATCATTGGGGATGTTGACGGGACGAGGAAGAAGAGGAAGAGGTCAAAGGGCAAAAAGGGCAAGGCGGAGAGCGAGAGCTGACGGCTTTGATATCTCTTCTGCCCTTTCTTTTTCTTTGCATTGTTCCGTCTCTTCTTGTCTGGGAGTGTATAGGTATTTTTATTTATTTATCTGCAGAGGGGAAGCAAAAAAAGTACGGGATACATAATGGTGCCATAGATTGGGGGGGATTTATCTAGACATTTTCACTTTTCGGACATGAGATACCATAGGTACTTGTTCGAAATAAACTAGGAGCCTTTTTTATTTTTCGTAACGTATGGCATGTCTTCTCATACACGACAAATCAACATCAGCGACCCCATCCACATCAAATGAAGAAATCACACCATGAAATTAGTAAAAAGGGAATAATCATGTCCTGTGAGAATAAACGTTATGCATATACATGAGAATACACACAGAAGGGGGTCCATCACCACCATTTATCCCCCCCCCTCCCCTCCCTTTCCTCTCTCCTCTCGACTTTGTATCCGTCCAACTTCCCAAATCACCTTCCTCCACCTGCATCCACGTCTTTCCTCAAAGAAAACATCAAACTCATGAACATGAACAGAAAACTCCCCAAATAGTCTTCTTCTCTTCTTTTTTCGCATCACGGGTTCAGCGTTTCATCACCTCCTTTACATGAAAGAAAAGGGGGAAACAAGAAGAAGAAAAAAAAGAAACTCCGCCGCTCAAGTACATTCAAGAGACAGAAGAAAAAAGCAAGCAAAAAGAAGCATTTAAAAAAAAGGCATTCCCGTCGTCATCTCCCATCTATCGCCTTCCTCAGAACAATTCTTTCCCCCCATTCTCTGCTTCAAGAATAACCATCAGGAAATGAAAGCTCCAGAGGAAAACAAATACACTCCTCGCCCAAACAGTTCGGCTAGGAAAACACAAGAGTAGGGGGTGTTTGGCGAGTAAAGTCAAAGTAACCCACCCAGAAATAACGAAGAAGAAGAAGAAGAAGACAGGAGAAGAGCAAAATGCAAAATGCAAAAACCAACGCAGCGTATCATCAAATGTGTATCGACTAAAAAGAGGTCCAGGGCTTTCCGTTGCTCTCTATGGTGCAGATGCTTGGCTCGCTAGGATGAAGAGGAAGAAACTGTCGAAAGCGTATATCATGGCAGGAACAGAATCGGTGGCAAAGAGGAAAGAGGAAAAGCCGACGGTGTTTTTTATGCTCCCAAGGAAACATGCCTTATCAACGCGTTGGAGGACGAGAACGACGATAACGAGAAATTAGAGGGACAAGGCACAAAAGCATTGCCCCCCCCCTTTCGGTTCGATGCAAATGCAGTGCCTCGGGAGGGGCGTTCGTAGTCGTAACAAAGGTCGTCATCCGCGTTCCTATGTAACATGTTCGTTGCGGAAGAATATCCAACGCCAAAAGAGGGAAATTCAGGTGCTTCGTAATAAGGGTGAGAGATTCGGTGAGAAGAGGGCGGCGAGGGAGAAGAGGCGGCGGCTGTGGCGTCAGTCGGTCCCCTAAATTCGACTCTGGCTGGCGCTGGTGCGGCTCCTCTCATCCTCCTCCTCAATGACGTCGCTCAGCCGCGTGGGGTGATGATGCCTGGGCACCGTGTCCCATCCCGGAGTCCCGTAGCCCTGGCCGGAGTAGTCCTGCGGGCTGGAGTAGGCACCGGTCCACTGGGGCTGGGGGCCCGATGTTGACGAGGGCATGTTGGCGCCGCTGGGGTTTGTCGTGGCCGGGGTGTCGTAGTCTTCTGGATCCAAATCAGAACCTGTATACGTGGAGGGCGGTGCAGCGAAGGGGACCCTGCGGCCGTCCCCGTCGAGGATGAAGTTCCCCTGCGCATCGATAAGGTACTCACCTTCGCTGTAACCGCCCTCGGAGCCAGCGCCTGCGCGACGGCTCGGATCATCCTGGTGGCCAGAAGATTGGTATTGTCCCTGTCCGGAGCTGCTGCTTCCCGCGGTGGTCTGTCCTCGGCCCTGGGCAGCCTGCTCGATGGAATACGCCGGCCGCTGGTAATCGGACTGGTAGCCTCCGTGCTCCCTGGTGCTACTGTGGCGGCTGGGGCCGCCGCCCTGGGTCATTGGCACTACCTGGACTCCGCCCACGACGGTGGGATGCCCGGACTGGAGCGACAGGGTCCTATCGCGTTCCTCCTGCTCGCGACGCCCGAGTTCCTCCCACGCCCGGCGCGCTTCCTCCTTGGAAATGGCGAGCTCCTTTCTCATCTCTGCGAGCTGCTTCTGGGTCTTGGACACGCCGCGCTCGTGGTCGATGGCTTCGCGGATGGCCTGCTCGCGCTCCCTCCTCTCCTTGTCGAGGGCCGCCTCCAGCATGGCGTTCACCTCGTGGGCGCGCTCCAGCTCGGACCGGGTCTCGAAGAACCACCTTTGGAACTTCCTCTCGGAGCTGGCGCGCAGGCGTTGCAGCTCGACCACGGCGTGGAAGAGGTTGGCGCCAGCCGCGGACAGATCCGTAACCTGCCGTGCCAGCTGCTGGCTCAGGGGGTCGCGGTTGATGTCGTCCTTGTTCTGCTCGAGCTTGCGGATCCAGTAGCTCGTCAGCCCTTCCCAGTGGGCAGACAGCGTCTCCCACCGTTCAAAGGCATGGGGGAACGAGTTGCGCGGCTTGGTGGGATCGACAGCCGCGTCGCCATGCTGTTGCGCCGCTGGGTTCCCGGCCGGGAATGCCTGGGGAGGGGTGTGGTGTTGCTGGTTGCCCGCCATCTGCGCTGGGCGCTGCTGGGACGGCAGGGCCTGGTTGGGCGGGACGGCAGCTCGCGGAGGATGTGACGGGTCCAGGGCGGTCTGGCCCATGTGTGAGGGATTGATGGGGTGCTGGCCGTCGGCAGTCATGCCTTGGCCAGCAGCAACGCCAGCAGCGCGCCGTTCGGCATTGCGACGCTCCGTTTCCTGCTGCACGCGCGCCTCCTGCTCGGCGCGACTCTTCTCCAGTGCCTGCTGCTCAACTTCGGCTCTCTGCCGGGCTTCTGCCCTCTGGCGCGCTTCTCTGGCTGCTCGCTCCTGCATGATCATCCTAGGACCCCTAATGCCTGACGGTGAACTTGTGGGCGCGGGCGCGGCGGCCGGCATGCGGCCAGGAGCAAGGGCAGCGCCATTGGCTGGGTGGCCACCGGTCATCAGGTCGGACATGCTGGCGGATTCTTCGACCTCGTCTGCTGTGAAGGGGTGAGGTCCACGGAGAGCCTCCTCTAGGGCGAAGAGGATCGCGTCGTGGGTGTGCTTGGAGATGCGAGGGGTCTTGAGCTTTGGCTGCTGCGCAACGTCACTAGGAGGAGCCTCCGGATTCTGGGCTTGCGCAGTGTCCGGGGGATCTTGACGCGATCGCTGAGTCTCCGACTGCTGGCGCTTCTCCTTGTCAGCCTCGTCAAACAGCGATAGCCCAAGCCCGGTGAGGGACGAGTCGGAATCAGCAAAGGAGACAAGGCTGGGGTAGAAGCCCGCGGAGGCAGCGGCGATGTGAACGCGACGTTCCGGCTGGGGGGGTTTGGACGTGGGCGCAGAGTCGAACTTGGGGGTCCGGCGGAGAGACTTGTGCGGCGTAGACGGGGTGGAAAGCCGGGTGAGAGGCTCGTGAGGAGGCTGCGACAGCGCGTGTTGCTGTTGCTGCTGCTGCTGGCGTTGCTTGGGCGAATGCGTGGTCTCGTGGATCGCGTTACGGTCGTTAGGGGCGGTAGGAGGTCGTTGGGACAAGTCTGCGGCGCCGCCTCGCGCAGGGGGGAGGAGAGACAAGTTGAACGACGTCTGTCACCGCCAGCTGACCGGCGGTGATGGTAGGAGGCGCGGGCGAGGACCAGGGCAGAGGAGCTCGCCGTTGTCGCCGACGGAGGCCACTGCAGTGAGTCGAGTCGAGTCGTTTGGGGGTGGTTGAATTGAGTGCTACAGCCAGCTCGAGCAGCGACAGCAAGGGGGAGGGGGAAAGGATACAAGGAGAGGCTAGAAGTAAGGCGAGGCAAGGCAAGGTAAGGTAACCATCCGCTGCTTAGGTAGGTATCCAGACTCGGACCAGCGACGAGAGGTGACTTTGCGCCCAGGTCCAAACCCAGGGGAGACGCCGATGGCGATTCAGCTCAGGGCAGCCGAGCGTTTGCGCCTTGCCAGGGGGTTGAAGCGGCGGCAGGAACAAGCAGCTGGACGCGAGATGCGATATGCAACTATGCACGCAGGTGAATCGTGCAGCGAGGAGACCCAATTGCCCGCAGAAGCCGTGAAGGACACAAAGAAAAAAGGCGGGCTTCAGCTCCGAGGGCAGAGAGAGACGGAGAGACAAAGGCGGACCAGGGGGCGGTGATGTCAAGAAAGAGCCCGGGGGAAAAAATTAGGAAAAAGCTGGTGGCAGGGGGGAGGCAATTGGAGGCGGACGGTGGAAAATGGGGGGCTGGAATCGCTGCAAGCGCGGGCACCGCAGGGCCTTGAATTGGCCGGGATTGATGGCGGCGGACCTGGCTGTGATAGAGGTGCAATGTTATAGCGGCTGGTCGGCGCCAGCAGTTGAGCAGAAGAGGGTGCGGTAACGATAATAATAATGTGGTTGACCGGGGGAGATGAGTTGAGAGGTTACGGTGGTTGATTCGAGGTGGTTGGTTTGGTTTGGTTCGCTTTGGTTGGGTTGGGTTGGTTTGATCCGATCTGATCTGGTTGGAGTCGGGGAGACGGATTATTGATGATACAAAGGAGAGTAACACGGAGCAGACGGCAGATGAATTGATGCAACAGACGAATTGGATCAGGGAAATGTGCAGAGTCGCCAAATGCTCTGTTTCCGTTGCCTCCAGGTCCAGGAGAAAGGAAGGCTGGGCTGATGGATTGATGACTGATGGAAACTGATTGATCGTCTGTCGTCTGTCTGTCTGTCTGTCGTTGTCGTTGTCTTCTTCTTCTTCTTCTTTTAAGCTTGTCTGCTGCAACGGCCCAACAAAGAACAACACATTGGATGCCTCCCGCTGACTCGGGCTCGTGGCCCCAAGCAAGGCCTTGATGCGCCCAAGAAGGGAAAAAAAAAAAAAAAAAAAAAAAAAAAAAAAAAAAGGCTACACAGCAAATGGGCAAAGAGGAAAGGGAGAAGAAAAGAATTGAACAGGGAGGGCGGGAGAGAGTGTGTGAAAGGGAGAGCAAGGAAGTGAGAGAGCAAGAGAGCGAGAGAGCGAGAGAGAGTGAGAGAGTGAGAGAGAGAAGGGAGGTGACGACGAGATGGTGTCGTGCGTATGTGTGCGTGCGTGCGTGTGTGTGTGTGTGTGTGTGTTGGGCGAGGCGTCGACGTCGACCTTTCGATCGATGCGCTGGTCTGGCCTGGCCTGGCCTTGCCTTGCTTGGCCTGATTCTGGTGCTTCGGATCCCTTCCAAGGTCTTCGCACACAGGATGGAATCTTGCAGTCACCACCGCGCCTTGCCTTGACAGAGGCAAAGACGGCCAGCAAAGCTCAGATGGTGGAGCGTCGGGCTGCAGGCTGGCGTCTTAGTCGGTGCCGGTATGTACATACATGGACTACCACCTACTAGTTAGTATGTAGTACTATATCCGCTGGCCAACCTGTTTGAGGCCCAATGCAGTGCTGACCGTTTTCGAGGCCGGCAGGACGTTCGTTTCCAGGGGAGGGGGGAGGATGGATGAAAGAGGGTCGAGCACAGGAGAGGCGAGGTGATTGATGATGCTGCTGCTGGCAAAAAAGGAGGCGGCGCTTTCTGGAGGCAAGTTGCGAGACTATCATCAGTGACGGAGGATCGAAGAGATGAAAAGGCAGATGAACAGGCAGATGGAAGACAGAGGATATACAGGAGATATACTCGAGAGACCTCCAGTCATGTCCAATCTTCTCCGTAAACGGCACACGAGCAAGTCCCAATCACCGCGCGAAAGGCAAGCAAGCACTCAAAGGCCTTTTTTTTTCTCCTTCTTTGTCCTCCCGCCTCGCCCATGATGTGCCTGGCTACTGTGCTTACTACTGTAGTAATAGCTGGCTGTATGAACGAACGAACGAACGAACAAGCATGACGGTGATGCCACGCCACGCCAACCGCATCTCGACGCCCCATCTTTGGCGACCTCATCCTCCTTTCGCACTCACTCGTACCCAGCAGGTTCCCCGGCCACGGCAGGTACATGCACGCTCTACCGCGACAAGGCGTCTGCAGCACGTACCCTCGCAGCGGCGGCGACCTGTCTGCAACCCCAGCTGAGACCCCGACGGCAAAGCCAAGTCAAAGAAAAGATGGATGCTCGCTCGAATCAAGGAGGATCCAGCCGGTGAAGCAGTGCTGCTATCTAACAAGAGGCTAGACTCCATGTAGGTACCTTAGCAGATGGACGCTGTGTGGGCCGGGGGGACCGCGATGCGCATCGCCGACAAGGGGCTTGACTTGACGGCATCTTGGGCACGTTGTGCGCTGGACTTGGTAGGGGTTCAAAGGTGTTGTCTTCTGGGGTGTGGCAGGGCATCCCCTGCCTCTGACTCGGGCTCTGCTCTGCTCTACTACTCTGTTCTGTCTGGCCTGTCTGTCTGTCTGTTACATTGTTATGTTCCAGCCCATCATGACCTGTCTCTTTGTATGCATGTCTGGGCGGGCCTGTATGTAAGGTCCTGTCTGTGCCTGATGCAGTCAATTGTCCCCTTGCGTGTTGTGTCCATGTTCATGACGGCGAAAACGGGCATCAACCAAGGGAACATCCCGAGGCAAGGCACATGAGACTCAATCCCCCACTGCCCCATCATCATCACGCCGTCGGCCCAAGGCAGACTTCTTCTTTGTTGACGAAAAAGTAAACAAAGGGACCGGGACCCCTTCTTCCCTCGATAGATACGTACCGTACCGTAGCATGAACTGGACTGACGACAAGCTTCCAGTCAACGCAAAGTGCCAGCGAAACAACCACCACCCACCACCCACCACCTTGGGGATCTCCCGCTAGGTGAGGCTGATGCTGCCGCCGACGCCACGTCGCGAGTGCGCCACGTCTGCTCTCTGGGCTTCTTCTTATTCTTCTTCTTCTTCTTCTTCTTCTCGTGTGTGTAAAAGTATGTACTACGTCTATACTTGCAGCGCCCACACTCAGAGGCCGCCCGAAACAAGTATCTGGTGGGTATCACATGTGCGTCTAATGCAGCATGAAGCCCGCCATGTCCAAGAAAGTGGCTCGTTTTCCCTCACTCCAACGTCATGCAAACATACGTACAAGTAGACACTCATTCTACCGTGACTCTGTAATATCTGCCGTACAATATGTACAACTCATCACCGGGCGTTGCGCCTCCCGAGTTCTGCGCGAGCCGTGGCGGCATCTTGTGTTGCCATCAGCTTCAGCCACAACCCAAAATACATACATACATACACCACTCGCCTCGCCTCACCTCACCTCGCGCCCAAAGAGTTGAGATCTGCCATGTGTTTGCTGAGCCTTGCCCGTTCAGGTATCCATTAGCCGGTGCCTTGAGTCCGTCGAATAGAGACGTCCTTCTCACGCCTCTGCCGTCCAATTCGCTGTCCCTGCAGACATTGTTGTACCACAACGGCAACACCTACAAACACTCAACTTGATCCCCAACATTTGAGATTACTTGTATCGCAGTCCCGGAAACGGTGGCGGCACGGCTCGGCCCTCCCAAAAATAAAATTTGAATATGAATACCTCTGATACTGTGCTATGAGCTCAAATGGGCCAATCGCTGGCGGTGACCCAAACTTTTGGGGTTGGGGTTGGTCTTTAGCAGACAGCTGGGCGACGTCACGCTGCTTGAAATAGAAGCGCTTCATGCAGCTTTGCGGTGGATTCTGTCCTTTTTGGTGCACCATGCGGCAATCGATGGTGTCATGATACAGAAACGCGGCCCTCTTTTCGTCAATCCCCGTCACCATGGTTTTATATGCTGGAGCGTGGGTGAATCGGTCAGCTGCGACTGCAGAAAGCACAGCGTCGACTTGTCCAACTGTGAAGTTTGATGCATCAGCATGTCGAGTATAGGGTAGGCTACCCAGGTCCCTGGCGAGACTAGACGACTTACACCAGCGACGCGCAGGCAAGCAGAACAACACATGGCTATAATCAAAGCACATGCAAAACCATTCTATTACAAGTATCTACCATCAATCAAAATATCACTCTGATCCAACTTAACTCACCAGATCTCGTGCCTCTGGTGGCTGCATTATCAACACAGGGCACATCATCCGGTTGCACAAAGACGTCTCTACCGGCTCCTCGCACTACCCGTGCTCCTCTTCCCATATGCCAATGCGAAACACATCAATTCTCCTCACCAAGATACTCACAAAAACCACATCAATGCTAATAATACAATATCTCACATCATAATCAATACCAGCCAGTATAAGACGCTTCAGATGAACACGCAAGTCCGCGATGCGCGGGCACTCCACGTCCACGAGGTCGTCCCCGTTCGCGTTTCTATTTTCTGCCGTCTCTCCCCACGCATCATGCCTCTCACCAACAGCAACTGTAGCCATAGAGACGAGTATTTTTTTACATTCTTTAGTTTTGGGCATTAACATGGCATGCCATCGTGTTGCGCCACGTGTGGATGGGCCGATTGCCTGTGTCACCAGCACAAGAGAGCCAAAATACCGAGCAGCACCATGAGTGATTAATACAACGTACTATAACTCTCCAACAACTTGAAGCTTGTGCGTTGCCCGGTGAAAGAGAAGAGGGCCGGTGGACTCTTGGGTTAGGAGCAAGATGTTTCGCGTGTCGAGATCAGTTGCGGAGCTGGGGAGGGACCTCAAGGGACCGGATATGTCGCCCGGTAAGCTTCTACCTTACCCCAACCACTGTCAGGTATACGCGAAGAGACGCCAAGGGAGAAGAGAAGAGAAGAAAGAGAGCCAAAGCAGTCAGCTACTACCTAGCACAGAGTACGTAAATCTGTTGTTGGATTTCTTTTTTGAAGCGCGTCTTCAAAGCGCGTCTCGAGGTAGTAGGTATGGGCCTATCCACAAGTCAACCACCCACAAGCAGTCTCATCCCGGAGCTTCTTCTAGTATCTTACTTGCCACAAAGAGCACTGCAATGTACTACTACGTCTTTTCCTACATCTCGCGGCAGAGCGGAAGCAAGCCGGACCCGATCCAGGTCTCAAATCAAATCTTGCCCGTGCGCGTAGTTTTGTACTCTCGTCGTAGAATCTGCATGTCTCAGCTTGGGCATCCCACACGAGTAGTAGTACTACATAGATAGGTAAGTATGTAGGTAGTAGTAGATAGGTACAGTACTGGACATGTCTGTCGTACGTCCAACCACCCTGGCCCTTGTCCGAGGATCCCGATCGACCGGGGCATAAACCAACTGGGCTGGTCCCGATCAGACGGCAGGATGGGAAGGGCGAAGGGGAAATTGACGGACAGGGATATCCCCTCCACGGGAGGCAGGGCCTCAATACTCCAGGTCTTGTGCATATCCATCCACCTCTCATGCGGAAATCCAAAATGCCCTTGAGAAACCTGCACTCTAGTATCAGTTCCCATCTATGCTCTACTACTACTACCTAGTCCTTTTTGTATGTATACACGGTGGTTGGCGATGAGAGACCGTCTGAAGGTAATCTCGGTAGTCTCCTAGGTGCAGATACGAATCTTGTTTGTTTACTTTTTTTTCTTTTTTTCTCTGCAACGTGTAACTCGCTTGCCCGCCTTGTAAGGATCGAGCTGAAGTGCAAGTAAGCTTCCTTTTTTTTTCTTCTGCCCGGGGGGTTCGTTGCAGATGCAGGATTCCCATGCCGTTTGCTTGGGGCCCTTTCCCCCCCCCCCCCCCCCCCCCCGGAGCTCAGCTTCCGGTGAAGAAGTTGGGGCGCAACGGCAAGGCCACGAGATGGTCAGTGTGCCTCTGCAGCTGAAGAGTTCCAATCTGATGCTGGTAGTAACACTGATATTGATTGAACTGGTACTCGGAGGAATATTACTGGTACTATCCCTTTCGGGTGTGCCAGGGCAGATGTGTCGATCTGGCGATGGTCGGAATCCTGCTTCTTTCTTTAGTGTGGGACATTGATGGAATTGAGCAAAGGGAGCGTCTAGATTGTATGTATGTATAGATATTATCAACTTCTTCCAGAACAGGTGAATATATTGTCAATGGACCGTTTTACTACTCTATTCCATGAATCAATCAATGGGCGATAAACTCATCACCCATCCCCTTGACCAAGAGAAGCCACCATTTATGCTCCCCTTTGATACCAAACTTCACTTTCCTGTCCATTTCCTCCACCCTCTGTAAAAAGAGAATCCATCCCTCATGTTTGCTCAATGCCCAAACCTCCGCCCTCCCGCCACACGGCGAGCCCGCCGCCAGAATGCAAACGAGGTACCCGCATAACCCGACCCCCGGAGAGCAAAAGAAGCACTTCCGGAGTGGCTTGCAGAGAAGCCACCAGAATCCACAACCAAGCATCTCCCCCCATCCCTGAGAGGCAAGATTTGTAGTAGAGTAAGGTAGAAAGGAAACGCGACGCCCGCTTGGAGCGGGGACAGAATGTCCATGTTTGCTGCGTCAAAAGCAAGGAATGCTTCCCGTGTCAAGGGTCAAACCCAGACATTTGCGACGCCACGTCCTTTCTCGATTGAGCATGAGAAGGAGGAGAATGTAAAAAAGGGAGGAAGAGGAAGAGGGGGGGAGAGGCAAAAGAAGGGTGGTGGTACAGTAAGGTAAGGGAAAGAATCTGTACCACCTACTACAACTGAGATGGTAGGCCTGCCGCCGCAGGCAAAATGTCTCATCTCATCGAGAGGGTGCATGTCCTCAGCAATGCATGTCTTGTTGATTTTTCGCATTTGTTTACCACCACTTTTCTTGTACATCTCTAAAACTTTGCTACGAGTTCTTGTTCCAGGTTGTGGATTGGAGACTATTTGTATATCATACCACCTTGCTCCTTGTTTTCCTTTTGCCCCCCCCCCCCTCATTCACATAGAATCTCCCTACGAACGACATACCTATGTTCTTCCCAACCACCAGCTTCCCTCTTACTCCCCTCATCTCCCTCCTCCAGCCTTCAAGCACTCTCGACAACAAGATAACAACACGTCCACGTCCACTTGCATCCCGGGCCTTACACAGAGAGAAGAAAGCAAAAGAAAACCACGAACTCACCCGGGCAGAGGCCGCAATGGAGCGAACAACAACAACAACAACAGCAACAACCAAACTCGCCCATCCCATCCTCGTATCGAAATACCACCCCGTAGCAAACTACTCCTACCCTCGCAGCGAGGCACCCTCCTCCGCCTCCTCCTCCTCCTCCTTCGTCTTCTCCCGCACCCCCTACAGCAGCAACGAGCCCAGGGCAGCTCCTATATCACCCCCGCCAGGCCTGGTCGACGACCGCAGCACCTACGACTCCGAGGCTTCTTCCTCCACAGACGACGACGACTTCCGGTACCACGTTCACTCCGGCGAGCTCTGGGACAGCTTCCTCGAGGCAGGCCAGCACCCTCTACACGGAGTCTACCAGACCGAGACTGTGGAAATGGCGGGATCATCATCATCATCTCTGTCTGCTTCTTTCGAGGCCTTGTGCGTCGCTCCGCCTGTTGTGCCGGCAAAGGACTATCCGGCCTTGATCACCGCCGCCGCCGCCCCCCCGCGCATCAAGAGACGTCCCGTACCAGCTCCCCCTCAACAGACCCCCTGGCCGCTCTCCGACCACGACCAGAGGAACCACCACCCAAGCCAACCCCGGAAACCATCGCCAACATACTCTGTGTTCCCCAAGATGGCCACTATCCCATCATCAGGCACATGCACAAGGAAGAGCTCAAGCTCCCAACTGTCCACCAGCAGCAGCAGCACAGACGCCCCTTGCCCTCCTCCTGCCCAAAAGGCCCTTCCTCCTCCTCCTCCTCCTCCTCCTACATGTCTTCCTCCGCTGCCTCCTCCACCCCAAAGATTGGCTGCATCGCAGTATCATCGCTCAGAAAGCCCCCGCCGCCCGAGACGCTTCTCCCCGGCCTCATCCCTCACGTCGCTCCAGCGCCCCGGGACTTGTCACGGCTCGCGGCCGGCCAGCCCCATGGGACTCCCCTATTCTCTTCCTCCTACTCCTCCGCCAACCGCGCCGCTACCAGCTCTGCCGCCGCACTCGTCGCGATCTCATCACCCATCCACTGCCATGGCCTCTAGAGCACATAATCTCAGTCATGCCGAAGCAGCAGCTCCGTGTCATCCAGCACCACCCCAAACCCGCCGCTCATGCGCGTCCTCGACCAAGCTGCCCACTCGTCCACCCCCAGAGCCTCTCCCTCGCTCCGTCTTTGAATACGACACAGATTCAGACGACGAAGATGGCAGCCGTAACAACAACAATAAATACAACAACAACAACAACAGCAATGACTCCTCTTCCTCCTCCTCCTCAAGAAGCTCCACAGATTCCCCCACACTCTCCTTCTTCCGCCTCTACAGACGCAGTCAGAGCCCCAACACAAGCAGCGAGGGCATCCTCTCTCGTCGAAGGGGCTCCGCGTCCAAGACTCCGCTGCATCAGGCCCAGAGCCAGCAGCAGCAGCAGGAGCAGTACTTTGTTGACGCGGCGGCCACTGCGGCCAAGGACCGGAGGAGGAGGCGCAAGAGGACCAACACCATTGACAGCTTGCCGCCGCTGGTGGCGAAGCAGGCTGACCTGGTGCTGAGCAGGATGCTTGGACGACGGAGTCGCTGATGATGTTTTTTTGTCATCCTCCAGTCCAGTGTAGTATCTTGTAATTTCTTTTTCTTTTGCTCTTCCGTTCAACGTACATGGAGCTTCCTCTCTCTGTTTTTGGCATCTTGGATGGCGCAAAGAACTCAGGCTCAGGCATCTACATGCACTCGATTTTCACACTCATTGTTCGAGCATCACGCTCATTATCCTACCTACCTTACATGTATCATCATCGCATCCATTGCTCAGTCTTCATCCCGTTGTGCTATACACAAAGCAACGGGACCACGGACACTCATTATCGATCTGCTGTACCACAACTCTGTACTTTTCCCATTCTTTTTTTATCTCAAATTTTGTACAATTGGGCTTGAGGGTCTACGGTAGCATAGATAAGGAGTTCAGGTTCTAAAGGGGAGGTGTCGGATTCTGTTTACTACAATCTACTATCAATGCATCTGTATTACCATCTCACTTGTAGTTGTCATTTCTTCATGTTGTAGACTCACAACACGAAAACAACAAGCTTCCATTCCACAGGTGAGTTCCTAAGATACCTATGTTGAGATGGTCGCACCCAGGAATTGCGTCCCCGTATAAACACGTCTCCTCCGTGCAACCACCAAGACATTCACATCTCACACATGTTTCTCACCAAATCGAACAATCTTAAGCCACGTCTAACTGGTATCATTTTGGCATTACTCTGTACATCGTCTCGTCTTCCAACCATCTGCAGCCACCATGCAATCCACATTCCACGTTGTATACTCGTCATTCATATAAACCCATTGCGTGTCATGTACCTGTCGCTCGTACACATCGTCAATGTCAAATCGCGAGAGCTCTGAAACTCCATCTGCATGCTGAAAAGCCATGCCATCGTGCCCAAAACGCCATGCTCATTTTGTCCGTTCTTTCAGCGAAAAAAAGCACAAGGTAAAGTGGCAGAAGTAAATGCAATCAAAGGTAAAAGGGAAAAAAAATACAAAAGCAAATCATCATGCCATGGATCTGGAAGAAGTTGGCAACTTTTCCGTAAAATTGTTCATGCGCCGTATACTCGCCAGTTGCCGGTCCCTTCCTAGCACAATGCCAAAGAACCACGAGCTCTCGTCCCGGGAGTCGTCGCGTCCGACTCCGAGTCGGTTCTCAAGGTCCCTCCGACCTCGAACGGACCGAAATGCGGCGTCTTGGATGAGCTCCTCGGCAGAGCAGAGGCTGATGATGCCAGCGACTGAGGTAACGGGTCGAGGGAGGAGGAATTGGCGTCGGCCGGGCACCATCAAGCAAAGTCCGCCTACATAGAGGACCAGGAATGCCAGCAGGACACCAAAGACTGGCATGCTGGGATACATGCGGACCGTCCTGTTGGGGCCCGTCAAAGCCATCAGTAGCCCGCCTCCGAGAACTGGGATGAAAATAAAAAGCGTTGCCAGCAGTGATATGACGGCCACTCTCCAGTGACCATTTCGCAGTGCCCTCCATGTCACTTGCAGTGGTAGACAGGCTGCGTAGTCCGCCAGCAGAGATCTTGAAGCTGGAGAACCGTTTACATCGTGTAGGTCGGCCCACGGCTGAAGAATGCGCAGTGATTGATCAAAGACCTGGAAGTGCAGGAAGAGCACCATGCCAGCCATAGCCGGTACGAAGCTGAAAACAAAGTTGGCGGGAGAAAAAGCATTGCGGTCAGGTCTTGCATTCAACCCTGGCAAGAAGCCATCTTCGAGTCGTGTCTGTGGCAGGAAGGAAACTACAATCAGAGCTGCCAGCAGAAGGAAAGTGACCGCGATAGAAGCGAGAAGCGGGCCATTGCGAAGGGGGAGCGGCAGATATTTGCCGCGAGCGTTCTCCATGGAGTTACCGAGCGCCGCCTCTTTCACGTCGATTGACGGGTCGTTGCTAACTCGTTTACCCATCGAACCGGGCGCACTTCCAGAGTCTTGGTCGGGCGGCGCCCCAATCGTGTACCAGATACCCCCCGCGGTCGCATCTTCAGCTTTCCAGTATCCCAGTCGATCAAACCATCTCTCGCGCAGTTGGCTCTTAAACACCTTGGCATCCTCAGCGAGATCGCTGCGTCTGTAGCTCGACATGATGTTGCTGCGGTTCAATAGGGGCAAAAGGTCTCCGATTGATCGAATGTCCCAAGTAAGACCTGTCCATTGTACGAACCAGTACACCATCAGAATGACTGTCGCCAGTAGTAGGATTCCGTATAATCCTACAAGAGCCCATACAACTGGTCGGACAGTCGCCCAAACCCACTTGTCATGAACAAAGATGCATGTAAAAGCCGTGCTCTGCAATGGGATCGTGAATATAGCCAACCACGTCGCAACATCGAAAATCTTGAACTGCCACGGCCCAGTGAGCTGGGGTAGCAGAAACGAGGAAGGGTAGAGTCTCTGAAAAGGGGCCAAATATCTCGCCCGTGGATCCTCGCTAGCCATTGCAGTGAAAGGCAGAATGCGCAAGGAAGCCTTGACGATGCTCTGCGCGTAGATAAAGATGACGACTGCTAACAACTGCGGCAATATGCGAAATAAAAAGTATTGGCCCGAGTATATGCTGCCTGGGTATGGCGTCAGGCCAGAATGCGCGAATGAATACCTGGCTGAGAAGATGAGTGCCGCCATCATAAGGAGAATCAATATAGCCAAGAGTGTCATCGAGACTACTCGTAGAATCCATGGTTTGGAATTGAGGGGCTGAAGTGTTCTACCGTGGGGGTCAAGATCCTTTTGCATGTTCTTGGAAACAGGAACCCATCGTGAAGAACTTGCTCCAGTTGGGTCGAAGGAGGCTGTGCTGCGTCGCGGAAGCTGTCCAGGGGTTGGAGGCCCTTGGGGAGGAGGCGGTTGAGCGTCTTCATAGTCGTCGTCTCTCGTGAGGCGGTCTTGTTGAACGGGTGAAGTATATGCTGCGGATTCGTCAAAGCCGCGCATCGGCTCATAGCGATCGGAATATCCATCAGAGGAGTGAGAGACGAGGTGTGACGGGAACGAGGTACTCTGACCGCCTACCAGGGCATGAAGAGCATACTGAATGTACGGCGTGTCGTCCACTCCCGGCGTGACTCTTCCTGCCGCCAAAGCCAATTCATCCTTAATGTTAGGCATACGGGAAGCGTTGTCCGCAGCAAACATTGCCAACTGAGCCTCGTCAAAGCGAACTATGGGGTCTTCTTCTTCCGGCTCAATGGCATGGTACCCCGCAGGTCCGGTATGTGGCTTCGGGACGGACTGGTCCGTATATTGCAACTCGGACGATCGCGATTTGATGATTCTCAGCGGCGCCACTGTGCCATCAAAGGCATCGTCAGTCTGGATGCTGGATTGGCGGGTAGACCGTCGACTCGACTGGGAGGCGCGCTTCGTTCGTCCGCTTTGATGGCGCTTCTGGCGTGTTGAGGGGGAGGCTTCGCTGTCGGGAACGGGCTGATAGCGAGCATTTGACGACCGCCAGCCTATGTGCAAGTAGATGTTAGCAAGTGCGCTGCGAGTGTGTAATGCTGCTGATGCTGCTGATTAGCTGCGCTAACATACGAGATGTCTCTGCATGGTCACGGTCTGTGTCTTGGTAACTCATTCTCAAGATGTTCGACGCAGGTCAACTGCGCTAAGAGAGAGTTTGACCAATTGGTCGTGCAGCACGCAATGCAAGAGTGAGGAAGAAGATGTATCGGTGTGGAATGGGATACCAGGTGTCTGGCTAGGTTTTAAACAGGGCTGGGATTTTGACGCAGGAGGGTGTCCCAGCCACCGCAAGATGCATGAAGCGCCGCAGCGCACGGGAGCTGTTCCATTGGACGGTGCGGCGCCGAATATAGAGAACCATTGCAGGCAAAAACTTGCATAAGAGATGTGTCCCAGGACTGACCTCACAAGAGTCAAAGGCAAAGTATAAAAATAGCTGGTGAGGCTGATTTCGAGAATCAACAATGGATTATGATGCTCGTATGCATGATCTTCTGCTGATCTGCTTAAGGGCAACCCAATCGCCCGTGTCGCCTCTGGCTGGCGTTGTACGGGGCCTGTTGGGTCGGGCTTCGGTGGTGAAGGCCTAGCAAACGGGTGGCGCAGGCTGCCGCCGGAGGCCCGCAAATTCGGGTGGCTGGGGGGTGGCAAGGGTCGTAGACGGACCGGCCAATAGAGCTGAAGCTGTCAATGAAGCCCTCAGAAGAGCAGTGAAGAGCTGGGAGAGGAGAGGATAGGATAGGATAGGATAGGATAGGAATGGGTAGAAGAGGAATATGATTGAATGGATGGAAGGCATAAAACTTGTGTGACGGAGGGATTATTGCTGATTTAAGCAGTGCAGCACAACTGCCCGCGAGGGGTTCCTGCCAGCGCACTCGCTTTTGCCCAGGTCTTCCTTCCCGGGCTGAGTTGGCGATGAGCTGGCCGTGGCCCACTTTATCTGTTATCGAGCCAATCAATCTGCTGCATCACAAGAGATGTGGGGGTTCAGATCAAGGTGGTTTCTTCTCGCTCATGGAAGGCATGAAGGAAGCACTGGAATTTGCATTTGACAGATGGAGGTGTTTGTGACGAATCTCTGCTCGAATAAGTCAGAAGCGTCGACTGAGAGTCTGTATAAAGCGGCACTTATTGGGATGCGTGTATGCGTTGGGCATCAGAAGTGGTTATTGGGAAGCAGTTGTGTTACAACTGCATATAGACGAATCGGTTAAAGGACCTGGGGTTGTGCTGCATCCAGTGTCACGCAATATCTCACTTTCGAATGAAACAATGTGTTTTGTAGTCATCAGTACCTACCATTCACAATACATTAGGTATGCCTGGTTGAACCTTCCATTCAGATAAAGTGCATTCAAATCTCAGGCGTAATATGTGGAGTGCATGAGTGGGAAGCGATTCTTTTGGAGATGCCTGCAACTGACTTGATTTGGTGACTTAGTAAGCAGCTAGACAGGTTATTCGCAGCATCCGTACCTTGACGATCTCAAGGTGGTCGTGAGTCATCAATCTAGATCCTCAATCACTACAGCTCCGGGAATTGGCGTAGAAGATTTGGAATAACCCACTTGAGGTTCTGCTTCAGGTTTGTGCCATTTTCATCGATATGCTTCTGTGGGAAGAATGGGAGTCGAACAAATACCGAATTCGAAGCCCATTAGAAAGGCTAGCGTAATCCTTTGACATTGGGGTTTTAGCGCATCTGGCTTGTTGACTTGCTGAGCAAAGCTTTAGTAATAATGAGACAACCAAAGCGGCGAAACTCTAAGCAGACAGACTTCACGCGCCCATTGTTAGCTTTAGAAATTTCTCGCCAATGTATATCTTGAGGCTTCCTGTTCTCTGCTTTTGTCTTCTGAAGAATTCTGTGTTCTTCGCTTGCTAGTTGTGTGCTCTTCGTATGCCAAGTATAAATGAATCGGTCCTCTCTCGCCTTTGCAATTTTCGTTGCTTCAATTTCAACCCTCATCTACTACTTCCTATCATCAGCGGAGCATCGCACATCATCTTACTACAAAGCCATTTTCAACCATTACGCTTCTACATCAGCCACAATTTTAACAACGGCAACATTCAACCGCTCTGCTCTCGGAAACGCCACAGACATGTCGAAATCAATTCTCCGACAGGCCAAGATCACGCCTCACCTGTCCTCAACCAGGGGTCACAACTCACTAGGATGGCTGGACACTTACCACAGCTTCTCCTTTGCCCACTGGCATGATCCCCGGTTTACGCACTTTGGGTCCCTACGGGTCCTGAACGAAGACAGAGTCCAGCCCAACAGTGGATTCCCCACGCACCCTCACCGGGACTTTGAAATCTTCAGCTACATCCTGTCCGGAGAGTTGACCCATCGAGACTCTATGCTCACCAAGGGCAAAGAAGGGGGCCAATCAGACAAATTCTTTCGCATGCACCGTGGAGATGTGCAGTTTACCACAGGCGGCACGGGCATAGCCCACTCCGAATTCAACGAGCACAACAAGGACACGGTCCACTTCCTGCAGATCTGGGCGATTCCTTGGAAGAGGGGACTGACCCCACGATATCACACCCGTCACTTCTCGGACGAGGACAAGAGGAAGGACTTTGTAAAGATCCTCAGCCCCCTCAAGGCAGGCGAGGATGCTACCGCGCAGGAAGAAGCCGAAGCCGAGCCAACCATCCCCAACACCATTCCCATTCACGCGGATTTTGTCATGGGTGCCGGCATCATCGCGCCGGAGGGCAAATTTGAGTGGACGGTTGGAGGTGGCGCTGCCCAAAAGAACCAGCGGAAGGTCTTTATCCACCTGCCGATGCTCAAAGGTGGAAAGGCCAGGATTCGGCTCGACGGCCGAGAGGACGCGGAACTCTCTGAGGGTGATGGCGCCTTTGTCGAGGGAGTCTACATTGGAGACCGACTGATAGTGGAGAGCATTGGAGAGGAAGAAGCCGAGGTGATTGTGCTAGACACCGCTTGAGCGGTCACGTCATGTTAGTATCCCTCACGCTTGTGAGGTGAGGTGACTGTGAATGGTCTTTTGAGATATAGAGTGTTCCCAGCTTTGTATTAAAAGCACAACGGAGTATGCTAGGATTACCTGCATTTAGAATAATTCACCATGACACATTGAAAACAAAAGGCCCGTACCTGCAATAGAAAGTGTGACTCAAACCAGAAGACGGCACGGAGATGCCTAAATCCAAATTGCCATATCGATTAAAGAGGCAACGGCCGAAATGTAGTTGACAGAGCACAGCGAATGTTACGTAGCAGCAGGTTGACGAGCCTTGTTCGAGATTTTCCGGCCCAGGGTCCCCTGTCTGCAAGATCCAATCGTGTGTCTTGGCGACGCAGGCACGCTCGCACTCGGCATTGTATGGGCTGCGACCTGTGCAGACGCAATTTGCTTTGCATGCAGCTGCAAGGGGCGAGAAACAGAAGAAGAGCGCACCACAGTATTATCAAGCGCTTGTGAGCTGCTGCTGATGATACCTAGGTACTGCACGGCGTGATGTTGAGCCTGAGGATGTTGTTGGCGAGATACCCGAGTATGGGCCGAGAGAGAGCATGATGCTGTACAGGTAGAGCACTAACATTAACATCTTTTTCCCAAGAACGAGGCAAGTTGGCAAGATACTTTATGCTTAGGTAATGATACCTAAATCATGGCAGGAGGGCATGGCTATTTCTGGCAGGTAGGTGCTGTCACGTCAGAGGCAAGAGCTGGAGATAGGGTGTGGACCTGGTATCGTGATTTAGTAATGAGGTTGAAGGGGAGAAGAGGAAGAAAAAAAAATCTGACGGTCCTGGATCAAAGATTGCTCGTGCCTCGTGCCTCGCGCCTCGCTTCGATCGCTTCCAGCCTAGCAGATGCTCCGCCGTTCTCCGACCTCCGCATCTGCTGCCTGAGTGCCAACCAACAGCAACCGCCCAAAGTGGAAGTGGCCGACTGAAATGAAGCCCACTTCCAAGGAACCATGCATGATCGATGGTGGTGATGAGACGATGGCAGCTTGTCGAGGGAGTCGAGCGTTTACCCCGGCTGACTACTACTCGCAAATCGTATATCCGGATTTGAGGGCTTCCAGGATGCCAACCAAAGGTTGAGCACAGTACTGTACGTGTATGTGTTCAGTTCCTGCCGCCACCGTGTCACAAAAGCCTTCATCCTGGCCCGCACACGTGGGATGGTCTGTCTGTCATGCTCGTGATAGGAAAGTCTCTGGACAATCCGGCTGAAATCCGAACTCAGGCCCCCCCTGTCCTGCGAGATCTAAGCGCCTGCGTCTTTCAGGAACGCGGCGTCGACAGCGGCCCAGTGGGCTTCCTAATTGGACGGCTTCACGTTAGCCCTACCGGAGGAGCAAGAGAAAAACACACTTCGTCCCTCCGCTAGGAGCAGTCTACTGAGGCACGCCACGCACTAGACGGAGCCTTGCCCAGCAGGGGCTGCGATCCCGACACGACACATGCAAACGAAGACAGCCCATTCTGCTGCCGCTCAGCGCTGTGATTCGCCAACTTACGCCGGGGTGGGCGAGCCCTTGTCCCGATCCTTCGCTGAATACGCTCTCGGCCACACCATCGCGGGAACCTAATAGGCGAGACAGAACCTCTTACCTTTCACGTCGCATTTTCCCGTCTTTGGGTCCTGGAGAGGAGCCATGAGCGGCGTCGATGGCTTCTCAGATGGGATGCTGATGAACGCTCGAGCCGAGTTGACATGACCTTTGTTTCGTGAAACCTGGTGCTTGATGGTCCGATATATAGTACTTCTGCGGATCATGCCTACCTTATTGGAGAGGTTCGGCCTTCAGCTGCAGTGAGTTTGGAACTATCACTGCGTTCTAAGCACTACTGCTACCTAGTCTTACAAGCGGCCAATCAAACTGACAGCTGGCAAGGTAGTTGTTGGTTGCGAGGACCAACGGTCCGTACGCAGCCAGCCGTGTGCCGTGTTGGCCATTGCGTGCAAAAAGACCGCACAACTCCAGGCGTCGTTGTCTACGGATACAACGGGAATACACATCCTGAGCTGCTCAATCTCGGCCGGAATTCCTAGTCGTGACCAATGGTGGCTGTTGGCTGAGTCGTCGGCTCTAGAGATGCAGAAACCGCCATGCCTGTTCCTGGATTCTGCAGCGTTGGCCGCTTAACCCATGTGTCCTCCGCCATGATGTGCCCACCATCTTGCCGTTTGGCTTGCCGTCCAAAGGCCGCAAATGTGTATGCATGGGCAGCCTAGCCATGCTCTTGTCATAGCTTACTCCGGAAGTTGAGCCAAGACCAAACGCGCACATGAGCCCAGTCCCGCGGTGCAATCAGGTGGGCTTAGTGAGGTGAGGCCCTAGGGAGGGCCGAGAAGGGAAATGGCCGAGTCCACGATGAAGCACTTTGGGCAATGGGCCGAGCTGTTAGTTCAGAGTCAAGCCCGAAGAAGTGTGGGCAGCTAAAACCTGGGTGGCGGCTTGCGAGCCGTTTGCCTATTCTCTCTTCTCCTTCTTCTTCCTTCTGTCTTCTTCATCAACTCAAACTCTGTCAACCTCAGAGACGGCTCGGTTCCTAGGCCAAGTTGCAGACGGTTTCGTTTGCGTCCTTTCGTTGATCATTGATCATCACCACACTCATTGTCCCTCAGGCTTCGGCCACCTTACAGTCCTTTTCTAGGTAATCGAGCCAGTCAGTCCTTTCAACATGGTTTCCGCTTCCGCTGGTCTTGCGGCCGTTGGCCTCCTCAACGGCTACTGGGTACGTGTCTCGCAGCCGGCTCTCTAAATCCTTCTTGAATGACCGGCCAAATCGCTGACAATGTATAGGGTCAATACACCACCACCGAAGGCCTTCGACCTCACTGTGATAGTGGCGTTGATTCCATCACCCTTGGTTTTGTCAACGGTGCTCCTGATGCCTCTGGGTATCCCAGCCTCAACTTTGGACCCAACTGCTGGGCAGAGTCTTATCCGGGCAACCTTGGCTTGCCCTCGAAGCTCTTGAGCCATTGCATGTCCCTCCAGTCAGACATTCCTTACTGCAGGTCCAAAGGTGTCAAGGTTATTCTGAGTATCGGAGGCGTATACAACGCTCTGACTTCCAACTACTTCGTGGGAGACAACGGAACAGCAACCGACTTTGCTACATTCCTTTACAATGCTTTTGGTCCTTACAATGCGAGCTACACGGGCCCTCGCCCCTTTGACGACATCACTACGGGCCTCCCCACCTCTGTCGATGGCTTCGACTTTGATATTGAGGCAGACTTTCGTAAGGCTTGACCCCTTTACTTTTTCGATCCCTCGGTCATTGGTTGAGAAGACTGACCATACAATAGCCAACGGGCCTTACATCAAGATGATTGAGACGTTCCGCTCTCTCGACTCCTCCATGCTGATAACCGGTGCTCCTCAGTGCCCTACTAATCCTCAGTACTTCGTCATGAAGGACATGATCCAGCAGGCGGCCTTTGACAAGCTGTTCATCCAGTTCTACAACAACCCGGTTTGTGACGCCATTCCTGGCAACACCGCCGGCGACAAGTTCAACTACGATGACTGGGAGGCTGTGATTGCTGGCAGCGCCAAGAGCAAGTCGGCCAAGCTGTACATTGGACTTCCCGCTATCCAGGAGCCTAATGAGTCTGGCTACATTGACCCGATCGCGATGAAGAACCTGGTCTGCCAGTACAAGGACAGGCCGCACTTTGGTGGATTGTCTCTGTGGGATTTGTCACGTGGTTTGGTCAACAATATCAACGGAACCTCGTTCAACCAGTGGGCGCTCGACGCGCTGCAGTACGGATGCAATCCCATTCCTACTACCACCACCACGACGTCGACGGTCTCGAGCACGACTGCGGCCTCTTCGACCACGGCTTCGTCGACAACGGCCTCGACTACCAAGGCTTCAAGCACCAGCAAGGCTTCAAGCACCAGCAAGGCTTCAAGCACCAGCAAGGCTTCAAGCACCAGCAAGGCTTCAAGCACCAGCAAGGCTTCAAGCACCAGCAAGGCTTCAAGCACCAGCAAGGCTTCTACTACCTCGAAGGCGTCTACGACTTCTAAGGTGAGCACGACCTCGAAGGCCTCCTCGACCTCAAAGGCAAGCAGCTCCACCAAGGCTTCCACAACGTCCAAGGCTTCCAGCACCTCAAAGGCGTCTACAACTTCTAAGGCTTCCACAACGTCTAAGGCTTCCACGACTTCCAAGGCTTCCACGACCTCGAAGGCTTCCACGACCTCGAAGGCCTCCTCGACCTCAAAGGCAAGCAGCTCCACCAAGGCTTCCACAACGTCCAAGGCTTCCAGCACCTCAAAGGCGTCTACAACTTCCAAGGCCTCCACGACGTCCAAGGCTTCCACGACGTCCAAGGCGTCTACAACTTCCAAGGCTTCCACAACCTCGAAGGCCTCCTCGACCTCAAAGGCAAGCAGCTCCACCAAGGCTTCTACGACGTCCAAGGCTTCCAGCACCTCAAAGGCGTCTACAACTTCTAAGGCTTCCACAACGTCTAAGGCTTCCACGACTTCCAAGGCTTCCACGACCTCGAAGGCTTCCACGACCTCGAAGGCTTCCACGACCTCGAAGGCTTCCACGACCTCGAAGGCTTCCACGACCTCGAAGGCTTCCACAACGTCTAAGGCTTCCACGACTTCCAAGGCTTCCACAACGTCCAAGGCTTCTACCACCTCAAAGGTCTCCACGACCTCTAAGGCGTCTACAACTTCCAAGGCTTCCACGACCTCGAAGGCAAGCTCTACTTCCAAGGTTTCCACGACGTCAAAGGCCAGCACTACCTCCAAAGTAAGCGCAAAGGCAACGACCTCCACCAAGGCGTCAACTACTGTGAAGCCGAGCACCACGTCCAAGGCTTCCACAACGTCCAAGGCTTCCACAACGTCCAAGGCTTCCACCACGTCCAAAGCTTCCACAACGTCCAAGGCTTCCACTACGTCCAAGGCTTCCACCACGTCCAAGGCTTCCACCACGTCCAAGGCTGCTACCACTTCTGTCAAGCCAACATCCAAGACCTCGACTTCGAGCAAGCCCAATGTGTCGGCTTCCAGCTCCAACGTTGGCAGAGACGCGACTTCTTTGGTTGAAGCTTCCACTTCTACCTCTGCTGCTGTGCTGTACCCCACGACAACCAGCAGGTGGTCCAACTCGACAATCACTCGCAGCTCATCTCTGACGACTCCTATCGTCTCTGATCCTGCGTCACTGACCACGAGCGTTGTCTATACCACCTCTGTACACACCGTTACCAAATGCCCGGCATACGTCACTGACTGCCCGGCTGGAGGGTACGTGACCACGGAGACGATCCCTCTGTACACCACTGTTTGCCCTATCAGCGAGGCAACCCAGACCGCTGCGCCTACAGTGACTACAGAGGCTCCCCAGCCTTGGACGACCAGCACCGTGTACACGACCCGAGTCTACACCATCACTTCTTGTGCCCCTGGAGTGGTTGACTGCCCAGCGAACCAGGTGACGACGGAGACGATCCCGTGGTATACCACTGTATGCCCCGTGACGGCAACAGCCACGCCCGTCGGTCCCGGCAGTGTCGTTTTCCCTCAGAACACCGAAGTCGGACAGCCTTCTCTGGTTGGCCCTGTTGTCGAGGCTGCCTACCCTACCGCCTCCAGCAGTCTTCAGACGCTCGTCAAGCCCGCTACTTCAGTCGGTGTCCCCCAGGGTTCCCCTGCTGGAAGTAGTGTTGCCCCTGGCTCCTCCAGCAAGCCAACGGCCCCGGCCGGTCCTCCCAGCTACCCTACCGGTGGTTCCGGCAACGCGTCGCCTTCTGGAAGCTGGAGCGGCGTGCCTGTTGGGCCCTCTTCGGTTCCTGGCATTCCCGAAGCAAACGCTGCCTCCGTGATGAGTGCCAGCTTGTTTGGCCTGGTCATTGTGATGGCCGCTCAGGTTTTTGTTCTATAAGGGAGCTCGCGCTGTAAAACTAGACATGTTCAATCTTGTGCATTTTACGGATGGGTTTTCCCGGCAGGGCCATTTTTCTTCTCAGACATTCTTACTCTAAACAAGTCCTCTGAGTTCTGTATTTTTGGACTGATGAGGCACTTCTTTATTACATACTTTTATTTTCTTTATGTCGATACGGTCTGGACATGTGTAAGACTTGCTGTATACCTTAGCTTATGACGATGATTTCGCAGCCATTTACGGAGCGCATCCGGGTTTCAATATGTTAGAATTCTACCTCGTTGGCTGGTCTCAGTGATTGTTTGTGAATATCTGTCGAGCTGTGGCTGCGACATCTTATTATATTGACTTGAGGACAACAATTGCTCAGTCATAAAGCGAAGTCTTTGACCCGAGACACCATTGCTGATGGCTAGATATTAAAGGCCCACTTCAGCTCAATTACCCAGAGCTGGTGTTAAACCCGGCAATATCTTAATAACAGCCTCCCCCGCACCATCTGCATGCGCATCGTCCACGCACTCGTCCACGCCCTGAACCATCTCATCATCCTATTGCCAGCACAAGCCACACGTCTTCTTCCCCAGTAGTCTTCTTACCCTTCAGGCCTCGAAATACATATACAATCAATTCATGAAAATGGCAGCCCAATCCCCCGACGGCACACCAATCGACCTCGCGGAGAACAGACTCCGGATGGCCCGCGGCGAGCTGTACTATGCCTTTACGCCGGATCTCATCGAGGACCGGAAGCGCTGCGCGAGGGCATGCAGGAAGTTGAATTGTGCTGAGGATCCGACGAGGAGGGAGTTGGTTGAGATGTGGAGGGAGTATGTCTCCTTCTGTCTTTACTTTTTTTTGCCCTTTACAGGTTTGGTGTGATTTGGTTTACTCTGAGAGGATTTGCTGGACGATGATGATCATGTTAGTGATGATGTTGGTGTGGTTGTTGTTGTTGATGTGTTCCTTGTAGGATAACGAGAGACTCTGATCCACTTCCTGAAAGAGCTGCTACGGAAGAGCAAGATGAGGCTCTGCTGGAAGATTATCCATGGGTTGAAGGGCCCCTGAAGATGGACTATGGCTACAACGTAAAGTACGCATACCACCCTCCTCCTTCTCCCCCCCCCCCCACCCCTCAAAGTCCATCTCATCTCTCACCCTCATTACCCTCCCTCAAAACTCATCTCATCACAAGGCCACCTCAAAACTCCCATCAGATATCTCCAACCCAAAACCTACTCACAAGCTTACGAGATACACAAAAAAGACTCGGTCAAAACGTCTTCGTCAACTCAAACAGCACCTTCATCGACACGTGCCTCATCGCCATCGGCGCCCGCACCCTCATCGGCCCCAACTGCAGCTTCTACTCGGGCACGCACCCGCTCGACCACCGCGTGCGCAACGGCACCCGCGGGCCCGAGTCCGGAAAGCCGATTGTCGTTGGCGAGGACTGCTGGCTTGGAGGCGGCGTGACGGTGCTGCCGGGGGTGACGATTGGTAAAGGGGTTGTGGTGGGCGCGGGGAGCGTCGTGACGAGGGATGTGCCTGAGGGGGTTGTCGTTGCGGGGAATCCGGCGAGGGTGCTGAGGAAGACGGTTTGATGGGGAGTACGTGAGAGGGGGGAGGGGGGCTGGGGGGGTTTGTAGAGTATGTTGTGTTGGGTTGAAGGCAAGGGGCAGCTTGGAGCTGTGTTGTTTTTCGGCCATGAGCAGGGGATATATATACAGTGTATATTGTTTATTAGAGTAGCGAGTCGTGGCTCGAATGTGGTGGCGATAGAGCCGGGTATCTTTGTTTGAGAACCTAAATAGACCCTTCCTTCATCCCTTCCTTCTCAGGCGTCATCGTTCCGCTATCGTCATTGTCCACAGCCATGGTGACCACTGGCGCTGCCTTGCCCGTCGCGATACCCCTGAGCACTCTGGTCAAGGTCGCTCTGCTCTCCCAGATGGGGTACAGCCCGACGCAGATGAAGGAGCAAAAGATCCAGATGATGCCCACCGTCACCCAGCCGGTGAAGAAAGGCTTGGAGAAGATGTAGCCAGAGCCGTACATGGGCATCGGCCAAAGAACGAGGAACGCGAGGGCCCTGTTTTCCATGTTTAGTCACGGCAGATGATGGAGGAGGAGGGGTGTCTGGGCAGTAAGATTACTTACATGAAAACTGTCACAAAGCAGGCAATCTTGAATGCCTTGTTGAGCTTCCGGCGCTCTTCCTCGGATTCCGTCCGCTCCTGGTTCCGTTCCAACTCGCGTTGTGCTTCGCTGTCAAGCCCTGACGCCTGGATCATGTCGTGGTCGTCCACCTTTCGAATTTCCATCATGGACTGCCAGTCGTACTTGTCCAGGCCAAAGACGAGGCTCAGCAGCGGCACGAAGACAACGGGGGCGAGCAACGCGGTCACGTTGCCAGCGAGCATAGGATCGTTGGAGCCTGTGCAGTCGACGTCCAGCTTGCCGCACGTCTTCTTCGCAGTCACCAGCCAGGCGATAATGGCACAGATTGTGCCCAGGATGGGAGAGATCACTGCGGCCCATCGGTTTTGGCCGTTCCACAGAAGCGTCAAGGTAGCGGGAATTACCGCAGCCGAGATGAGCACGCCCATGAGCAGATACAGGTAGCCCATGGAGATGCCGTTGTACCACAAGCCCGTAGATATGCAGCAGACGATGAGCATATAAGCCACCATACTCATGTGAGACATCCAGACAAGGCTCCTGCTGCTGGCACTAGGGCGGAAGTAAGTCCGGTAAATGTCGTATGTGAAGATTGTGGACGTTGCCACCAGCTCAGCACTAAAGGCCGAGGTGACGGCCAAGAAGAGCATAATGAGAGTCGCAATGGCACCGCCCTTGCCCATGAGGGCTACCGCAGCATAGGGTAGAGCCAGTCCAGCCGAGACCTCGGAGTCTGTCAGGCGGTTGGGGTACGTCGGAAACCGGGGGCTGGATTCGAGTGCGAGCGCCGCCAGGCCGAGTGTCGTCGCCGTCAACCACGGAATTGCGAACCACGCCGCACCTCCCATGATGTATCCCGGCAAAGCATGGATAGGAGAGGCTGCTATGGATTTATTGTAATAACCATTGTCTAAGAACACGGTTCCGAAGTTTCCAACGATGTTGATGACGAAGAAGATGGCGCCGCCCTGGGACTTCATCGTGAGGTAGCTGCCGTCGCGGTTGCCGGAGACGGGATGGGCCTGGGCGGCTTTGACAAGCAGATCGTACACGGCCGATGGACTGCCAAGAACATCCGAGGTGGCGTAGGTTTTGAGCGCGAAAATCATGATGATGATGAGAACGGCAAACGTGTGGATATAGTCCGTGATGAAGGTGGCCTTGAGGCCGCCAGAAACCGTGTAAGCCACCACGGGAATGGGGATGAGGAAGATGGCCGCCACGGCATGCATCCCCGTCAACGCATTCACAGTGGCTGCCCCTCCCGTGATGAGCATGAGAGAGACCAGCATATTGGTCATGAGGCCAAACACGATAAAGGTAAAGTGCGCAGCCTTGCCGTACCTGGCCTTGATGACTTCCAGGAACGTATGCGCGTTCGGCGCTCGCTTCTTGAGAGTAATGGCTATTGTAGCAAACAGCAGGATCTGGACAGTGGCGCCAGAAGCGTACCAGAAGGGGCCGGAGACGCCATATCGGTAGCACACGCCGGAGCTCTGGAGGAGAGTCGCTGCCCAGGTCCAGGAGGAGACGACCGCCGAGGCAACCAGGCCGGATTTGACGGTACGGCCAGCCGTGTTGAACATTTCAGACGTTTGGACCTCATTGTTGAACCGTTTGAGGATGTGAGTGAGTGAGATCTGCGCAAATTTTTGCTTAGCACCTATCGTCTGAACAAGTCTGATATGGGGCGAGGACATTTCTCACCATGAGAATGGCAAAGGCAAACCCGAGGCCGAGGACAATGCCATAGCCATAGGCCTGGCTCAGCGGGGTAGAGCTCGAGCCAGACATGGTGCTGCCCAGAATGAATTGATGCTTTACCAGGAAAGCTGCGGATGCCTCATTCGATGTGTCTCAGATTTGACGGCGAGTCATCGTGGCCCAATCCGGCGGGCAGAGAAGAATCTATAGGTGTCAACATCTTGGAGATGCTGTTGCATTATCTAGGTAGTCTGAACGCAATCATGGCCATTGCAGCTTCGGCGAGCGCCGGGCGATGACAGAGTGAAGCTCTGCCAGGACCAACCGTATCTCGTCGTAGAGCGACGACCCCCAACTCTCTAGCCTTGCGAATTCTTCCATCTTTGTGAATGAGGCTCCCCAGCCAGAGCGATGCCGGCACGATAAGGCTCGAGACGACGAATTGCATCAATCATGGAAGGAATCGAAGCTGCGCAGCTTTGCAATGCGGCAACCTGATGCATGATGCGGGCATTCCAGAAGCAGAATCGTAGGGCTGCGATCGGCAGTGAGGTGTACGAGTATTACGAGTTATCCAATGCAAGTTCCGGGGTACCGCTGACGGCTGCAGGGGAGCTGATATGGGATAAAAGGCCTTGCCCAAGGCAATTCGTAGGCTGAATGGCCAAGTGCGGAGGGTGGAAGATGCTTATCAGTGACAGCCTTGGTGAAGTGAGGCTCTGGTTGGCTCGAGGCTGACCAGATGTTGTGAGGATCATGTGTGGAGAGATAAGGACAGGCCGGGAGATAAGATGGGCCTGCATTGACCCCGGTAAAAGGCAGCAGATACGGTATTACGGCTCCCCGCAAAGTGTGTATTACCCCATGCTCTAAAGAGGTACGATTTGACGTGAACAAACCGCGGAGACAATCTGACGGGATCTGAGCATTCCTATCAGACTGGATGTCCTGTATCAGAGATAAGCCGAAATGTCACCAGATTGCTTGATAACAGTCATCAGGCAATTAATGGCCCTGTTATCCCGGGTATCTCTACAGATGCAGTTGTGCTTTCGTTGACGAGGTCGCAGTGCGAGAAGAAGACGGATAAGAGATCATTCATTCCTCTCCCCCAGTCGTCACCCCGGATTTTGAGAGATAAGCTTATGGAGGACGAATTGCATCAATCAGATACCTGACAACGTCAATGATACAGAGGAAATGACAATCTCTGACGATTTCGGATGATTGTTTTTGTCAAATGATCGATCTTCCTGAGGCATCTCCTCACAGAGATTGCGATTACACGTAACAGCAATTGAGGGTGCGAAACATGGTGATTATGGCACCGGCTCATGTCTACCGTGGGGGTGGCATAAGGTAGATTTCGTAGATACCTACTAGTAGATAGGCGACACACAACATCACCAAGGTACCTATGATAACAATTGGCGGTCACTTGCAAGTATGGAGTATTCATAGCAGCGAGCCCATGGATTTTCCCATCTGTTACTACTTGAGAGTGCAACTTTTCTGAAGACGAAGTTTATTATCACTTGCCGTGTGAGACGATCACACAAAGCTATCAGTCACGACATCATGTCAGATATTCTGCAGATAACACAGGGGATATCTGTTGTCTGTATATTAATCGCGGTGATGTGATTGAGCAGCTACCTACCTGGTACATTCGTGGTAGACGTTTTCAGATCTTGTATGGCTATATGTGGCATTACTACGGCCTACATAGTACTTGAGATGACCTCCAGTCAAAGATATTGATACGATTACGGTACCTGATGAATGAATGCTGTCCTGAGTAACAAAAAGGTTGCCTTCATGAGTCACGTTTATTGTAGTCAAACCTGAGAGGCCTCGTTCATTCAAGTAATTGCCGTCAACTAGGATTCCTGTTGCTCTGTCTAGGGTGGTTAGGTCTGCGTGTTCTGACAAGTGACAGCATATGTACCTACAGCTTCTTGATTGTATCATCTCATCCGGCACGGAACCGCCAAACTCAAAAACGAGGCAATGGGTATAAAAAAGACGAAGAGTCATCAGTAGGAAAAGCTAATTGTTGAAACAGTAACTTTTGTCTTTGCTTTTTCCCGCTCAACTTGTCTTTCATCTCGTCTCTCATTCGCTTCTCAAAACACGTAGGTAGGTGAGGAACTCAGGCAAATGGCAAGCGGCTGTGCCTCGCATCTTCTTAGCACAAAAAGACTCTTTCGGCTGTTTCAACCTTCTGCGACGAGGGCTGCGGATAAGACGGCCAGTTGTTCAGAGGCAGGCTATTGTATCCCTGTACGTTTCAACACAGATTGAGTGATGTTTTTAAACAAAGACGCGCATCTCTAAATCGCCGTGAACTTCCATCAGTATTCATGTCCCGTGTCATCTCGCAGTTTGGCGCTGCAGGGTGATCTGGGCAAGTCTGGTGCTTCTGATATTAGAACGTCCATCTTGATCACGGGAAATCAATTAATTCACCATGCGCCAGTTAAAGACATGGCTTGCGATCTTGTCTGTCAATTCACGGAACAATCGGTATCAGGGCAACAAGTGTAGATAATACCGCACGAACCTCGTATAACGAACGCCCAGAGAGTGACGCGCTTACGACGTGTAAAGAAAGACTCGACAACGAAACAAACAAAAAAGAACCGCAAGCATTTCAAACTTCAACCGCAAAAAAAAAAAAAAGGCCGCACTCTCATGATCATTACACACACACACCGAATCTCCCCGTCCGTCTCTCCGCGCCCGCCGCCATCATGCTCATCAACAACCTCGATCCCGCCTTCAACCTACCTCCAGAAAACCCCCCTCCCTCTCACCACCACCACCACCACCACCAAAAACCCATCATCGTCCCCTACAAACCCCCCCTCACCCTCTCCATCCAGGAACACGCCCCAGCAGATCCCTACGGCCACGGCTACCTCATCACCACCAACTGCCCAGCAAAAGCCGACCGCCAGACCCTCAAGCGACACACCAAACTCAGCTGGTGTCTCCTCAACAAACTCACTCGGCCCTTGTCAAACACCACCAACAACGCAAAGCATTCGCACCAGCTGCACATCACCAGCCAAATCGCCTGCGGCGACAACCGCGGCGCCCAGCTCGTGCGCTGCCACCTCGACCAGGACCGCGCAACAGCATACGTCGCCAAGATCTACGACCCTCTGTACTATGACTTTGCCGACAAGGCGGATAGAGAGATCCCCGTGGACGTTGCGTGGCTGGCGGAGCACGACTACAGGCGCGAAGCGGCTGCTTATGCGGAGCTGAAGAGGTGTCGCCAAGACGGCCGCTTTACGCCAAGGTACTTTGGTTCATGGATCTTTGACATGGCTCATGGAGGCGGCCCACAAGAAGAAGAAGAAAAAGACGAAGAAGACGACAGAGAGGAAAAGGGAGAGGAAGGAGGAGAAACAAGACCGGTCCACATGATACTGCTCGAGGCCCTAGATGGCCGTACAATGTTCTCCCTGCTCGAGAGCAAACAACATCTAAAGCTCTCTCTGCGATTACGCCTCGACATCTTTGCGCGCGTCCTCGAGGCCGCCACCGCATTGCGCTTCTACAACGTAGCCCAAGACGATCTCGCCCCGAGAAACGTCATGCTCACGGGCCTCGACTTTGACTCTCCTCATCAATCAGTCGACAGGGTGGTCCTGTTTGACTTTAACGAGGCGGTTGTTCTCACGCATCGCAAGTGCCGCATCGTCCACGACAAGATGGCGACGGACCGGCCTACGATGAGTCCGCGCTGTAGATTCTGGTCCGACTTTCCGTATGAATTCGGGGATTGGGTGTATCCCTTGTTTCAGCGCAAGAATACGTTTAGATGCTGGCTCTTGAGTCGCTGGGGGGACGATGAGACGTTCGGCGGGCCCCCGACGGAGTCGGAGAAGAAATCGAGGAGACAGGATCGTTATGAGGAGCCACCGCCGCTGCGGGATGACGAGCTGGACGAGAAGCTTGTTGAACAGTTGAACGAGGAGCTGGGTTGTGACTGGCGGCGTTTCGTCTGACGCCGTCGCCGTAGAATCTCTCTTTCGGAGGATCTGTATATGTCTTCTAAAGCAATCAAGGGTATACACAGCCAGTTTCGTCCCGCCTGGTGAGTGAAACACCACGTCTTCCCTTCCTCTTGAACTACCCTAATGACAGCAAGCACGTCTGTCACCGTCCCAAATCAGCGCCCCTTCTCGACGCGTCCACCAAGCCCTCCTCAAAAATCGCCGCCCATTGCCGCGCCAAACCCTTCAAATCAAACACCCTGCCCTGCGCAGCACCCCCCAGCTCCGCAGCCACAGACGTCGCCCGCTTCCCCTCGAGCCCGCACGGCACAAACCGAGCCCACGGATTCACCTCCTCGGTGCCCTTGACGGCGACGTCAATGTTGATGGCCGTGCCGAGCGCCGTGACGTACCGCCGGTGGTGGACCCCCAGGGCCGCAATCTTGCGCGGCTGGCCGGATGGTGCGTGGACCCAGACGCCGGGCTCGTCGCGGTTGGTATATGTTTTGATGTCGAATAGGTCAGAAAGGAACTGCTGTGTTGTGGCCTCGAGGTGGCTGGCAAACGTAGAGACGCTGTACTTGGGATAGAGCGAGGAATGCATGTCCAGCACCGGCCAGAGGACAAGCTGCCCGGGGCCGTGATACGTGGTGAGGCCTCCGCGGTTCGTCTTCTTGACCAGCGGATGAAAGACGCTGCTGATGGGTTCGGGATGCCGCAGGAGATGAACGTCCAATGGCCGCTCCAGATGCGCCTTTTGCTCTGCGGTGAGATCCTCTTGTCGACGGCCCAAGGTGAAAGTCGGCGTTGATTCAAAGGATAGCAGGAGAGGCCGGGGACAGTCCTCTGCCGTCCTCGACGTCTCGGGAAGGCCCTTCCAGGTCAGGAAGCGAGCGCGATGCTGCTCCTGGGCGTCCTCGGCGGCTTCATAGCTCGTCAGGCCGGTGGCTTCGTCTCCGATGAGATGCCGGTGCTCGAGCAGGGAGCTGGAAGCCTTGGACGCCTTGGACGGCGTCGTCTGCCATCGTCTGCTGCCAATTGACAACGGAAGGCATCTCAACGAAGCTGCCGTTCTCAATGGCAAGCGCGGCACGTGCCACATCTTGTGACAGGGCCGATTGAGTGCATGTGCATGTGCATGGAGCACATGGACGGAGATGCAGCAAGAGATTTGAAGTCGAGCAAGGTGTTTGCTGCACCAAACGTTACCTTACCTTACCTCTGGCGATGTTACTAGGTAGTAGCGCCTTGCAGACGCTAAGGCTGAGGTGGTGGATGCTGCTGACGTGACGCTGCTGGCGAGCCTGGTGACGAGTCCAGCCAGGCCCTAGCTGCAAATCAGCCATAGTACATAGACGGTCTTCTGGTGGCGCGAGGCTCTAGCAAGCACGTAGAACAGAGACAGACGCCTCAGCCATTGCCAGCTGCACATCATGACCAGCTGTGCATGACATATTAACAGCCCATTGAACCTGCTGCCAAGCAGGCTAGCAAAATGTAGCCCCGAGGACGAACCGCCTCTGGAAACAAGCTTGGAATGTGATGGCGTTGAACACAACAAGAATTCTGAATGGCCTCTCGGCTCTTGAAAGACGAGACATGTCTACCTTATGCCTAGTCAGATAGGAACGTATTTCAGCATCCCCCCGGAAGAGGTGTCACAGTATCCCATTGGCGCATGTGAAATGCCACACAAACCTACTACTAAGCAGTCGAGACAATCGTGTGTGCAACCTCGGCAGGCATCTCGGTGAATGTGGGCTTAAAGTACAGCATCATGGCCAGTCTTGATGCCTCAATGGAAATGGTGCAAGTCTCAAGGCAGCCTCTCGAAAGCCTTGAAAACTTCCACAAGGCATGTTCAAACGGTTGGTGACAATATAGCTTCAGAGGATGAGGACAGCATTTTTGTCATGTCCGATCATCTCCGGCGCCCTTTTGGTCTCTATCACGGTGTAAGCGTCTCACGTCGACGTGGGTGCCACATGTTCTGGGACCCCTGCGGCTGTCTTTTGTGTCTTTTGTGTGAGACGTTGACCTACTCGTGATCAAGTCTTTTATTGAGATCCGGTTGATGGTATTCTGTTCAAAACGGTGTTTTGCCACCTTGGTCGACGGCTCTTTGTGTGAGCTGTCCCGGCGTTTGGTGCACGAGTGCCTTATCGAATGCCAAATCTCTCTGCTTTGCGTCATGGAAAGCCCGCCATGTCTGAGCAGGTTCTTGTAGAGACTTTGGGAAGAAGTCCGCCAGTGGTTCGCCGTAATGCACTCGCCATCAACCCGTCGCAAGCCCTTACGCAATCGCCGTTTACTGCCGCGCGTCATGACAGTAAAGGCACCACAATTGCCCAGCGCAATGGCTCGCTGGTATTAGTAGATGGTCGTCGTGCCGGTCGGTAACTGTCGGCTGCGTGTGGCGAGATGTGGTCCTTCAGCTCGTCGCATCTCCACCGATAGCATGTCAAGACGTCTCGCCGATGTCTGGGGGTTTAATAGGAAAGGAGTGATGGAAGGGTCAAGGATCAAGGCTGTCTAATGCCCGCCAGCAGTTGTCTGGTATTTTTGCTTCAAGATTGGATCACGTGTTCTCTGGCTTTGCATTGGATTTTTTAACCGCCCCGTCTGACATCTCGTGTTGACATCTATGTGAATTTCTGTAGACGGGCATGATAATAGACTTTCATCTTCACCTTTTTCCCGTTGGCCACATGCGAGAAAATGCAGCCTAGAAAGAAAACGACCTGACCCAAAAGCTGACGGGCTTGCCCAGGCCCCCCAATAAAGAGTGATGAACTGACGTCCCCAATCTCATCTACAGTCCAAGCACGGCGCGGCCGGAGCCGCAGATGGGAAACGGGCTTCATTCTTGCTTTTGAGTTGAGCCGGCAAAACGGGACGCAACCAACCACAATCTCCACTGAAATGACTGCAGAATCTTCAAGCCCTCGTACGAGTTCATACATACTTACACCATTAATTCGAGGGTATCATTTGGCCCATCTGGCCCGTGTCGTCATCGCCCTTCCCCACGCCTCCATCCGCCCATCCCCCATCAAGCCGTAGCTCCTCAAGCCTCTTTGCCTGCCCCCAGTCTCCAGCGCTAGCATCGGGAGCTGCGCACAAGCGCGATCGTCAGAAATGCGAGTGACATCGTCACGACTCTAACCACCAAACTCAGTCGCAGTCCCGTCTACAAGGCTCCATGCGGCGACGAACCGCTGCTCCGGACGTAGCCGGTACACGCCATCACAGAGTAAACACAGCTATGGTAAGGTATTAGAAGCTTGAAGCTTTTTTTTGAGGTGTGGATTGCATGGCTCAATCACTGCATCATCATCACGCCCCGCCGGCTTCGACCTGTTCTTGTCTCTCTTTTTCCTCCTTCGGCTTCAGCTCTTGTTCTTTTCCCTTCTTTCACTCTTCCACGTCAACTTCCTCACAACTCTCATTCTTCAACACACTCCTCAACAACGACAACAACACACAAGATCTCATCTTGATCCAAAACCTCCCCTTTCATCTTCTTTCGTCGTTTCCTTCTTCCTCAGCGTTACCTACCTAGTTCAGTGCATGATAATACACCGACAATCCTAGCTGAAGCGGGGTCTCCTGCAGCGCCGTCTCTTTGTCGACATCATACTTGCAGCATCCGCCATCCTGACATAATACCGACCTTTTGCTTTGCTTCCCATCACTTCGCTCGTGCGACTGATAGCAGTCACACTTTGCTGCTTGACCGACACAGCTTCTCCTCACCGAGACTCACCCTCAAAGTCCTGCATTCTCCGTCTCCTCAAGCATCAACACCAAGAAGCCGCAGCAGCAATGGCGCTGCCAAAGAGTACGCTCAACCCTCTTACACATCCCATCACCACCATGACGGACAATATCCCCATCGACTAACCACCCTCCAAAAAAACAGACGCCCTCCTGGGCACCGCCGGCCTCACCCTCCTCTCGACCTCGCTCCTCTTCATCTGGTTCCTCATCCTCCCCGGCGTCGCAGACGACACCCCCTTCCGCAAGACATACTACCTCCGCGCCGACACCAGCGGCATCACCGGCGCCCGCCCCGTCTCCCAATGGACCTACTTCTTCATCTGCGGCCGCGACAACCAGGACTGCGGCGACGCCCATCCCGCCATCCCCTTTGGCTTCGCCTGGGACAGCAACGCCCAAAACGTCCCGCCCGGCCTCGGCGGCTCCCACGGCAGCCACACCACCTCCTTTCACTACTTCTTCATGTGGCGCTTCGGATGGGTCTTTTTGCTCATGACGCTCTTCTTTGAGGTCCTCGCCCTCTTCACCGCCTTCATCTCCTGCTGCGGCCGTCTCGGCGCCGCATTGGCCTTTGTCGTCTCCTCCATTGCCCTCTTCTGGTACTCTCTCGCCGTGGCCCTCATCACGTACGTTTTAACAACCCACTCCCCCTCCCCTCCCCCAATCTCTATCTATCTATCTATCTATCTATCCATCCCATTTTGCTTCAAATCGATCTACCCAAAGACACGTAGCTAACAACCCGCAACCCGCAGCGCCACCTTTGTCCAAGCCCGCAACCGCTTCCACGACGCCGGCCGCTCCGCCCAGATCGGCGCCTACGCATTCGGCTTCCTCTGGGGCTCCTACGCCGCGCTCCTCATCGCCGTCGTCCTCTTCGCCCTCGGCATCCGCAGCAGCTCGGGCTTCGCGCTGCCCGGTCGTCGCCGCAGCACAAAGGCCGGCTCGCGCGGCCGCTCGTACGATGGCCGTCGCGTCAAGGACGATTACTCGTAAAACAGCAAAAGCAAACAAACAACCAGAAGATGTTCTTCTTTACGCAGACAAGACGCAACACGCACGTACATTGACGACGCCAATACGAAAAACACACGAGACACAGTAGTTAATGCTAATTATACCAGCTTTTGATGCGTCAGCTGACGACGGAGGGCTCAGACTTGTTGAGCCAGTTAATGGATGGGGGAAAGAAAGAAGAGAGCAAAATGAGTCTATTCTTGATGTAACTTTGTAAAACTGGACTGCTCAATTGGCATGTCCGTTGTGTATTTACTCATGTATGTGTCCTGGTTCTTATACAAATACCCACACTCGTTGGCAGTAGGCAAATATGATATCGATTATTTCCAAGTAAGAAACATCTTCTCCTCAAGGAATGGCATTCACTCAAAGTCTGATTGAGATTTGCAAGTCTGCTCAGCATTCATGTTTGATGTATATTATTGTGCATGTAATTGCCCTCGTATGCTTGGCCCGAATCATCTTTCATATACGTACAGAAAGGAAGGAAGAACAGAAGCAATCGCACACACGCACAGAAACAAACCAAGCAAAAAGACTATGAAGGAAACAACAAAAAGAAAAACTCCCAAAAATGTCCTTCCCGCCGTATACACCGTATACCTAGCATATCCTCGGGCCCCCCTCCAGTCCACCTCCTCCCAAATATATATCCCTTCCCCTTCCCAAACCCATCGCCGGTCCCCAGTTCCAGACCCCTCCCTCCTCGCCACGTAAACAGGCTATATATGCATATATATGTGTGTGTAAGATGAGAGTGCAAGAAAAGGACACCAGGCAACAAAAGGGAATCGCAAAAGGAACAAAGGAACAAAGACCGCGCCATGATTGATGTTGAGAGAAACAAGACGAGCTCCCTTTGACGTAAATAAAATAAACTGATGAGATAAATCCCCGTCTAGAAAATGAGACTCGGTAGATGGGTGAGGGTGCGGGCGGGTGACTGATTGGCTTCGCAAGACTTTTGAGGACATTGATGAGCAGCTCTTCTTTTGGTATGCTCTCGCTTCTCCTCTCATCGTTTTCTTTTAGCATATTGCTTCGTATTTGTACAGAGGAAGAGCCGTCGACCCGTGAACGTTTGTCTGCTGTACACGCATCCTCCCGAAATGGTTGCTTTTGTCTGATTCATGTGGATAATGCGAACCAACGCAGATACCAGCTCCTGTTGGCGTATGTCATGGCGCCGACTCCTTGCTTTTGTGTAGGCCAATTCGGGGATATTTATTCCGCCTGACGGTGCAATCGGGGGGAAGACAGGTCTCTACCGTGATATTCCGTCATGATTCGTTTGGTGACTCGTGATCCATGTTGGGTTAGTTATTCATCGGCCTTGGTGCAGAATCGGACTTCCCAAGGGGCTGACGCTGTCCAGCGGCGCGGCATGGAGTGCCGGCTTGGTAGGACCGTCCCCATTCTGCCCCTCTGCGTTCTTCTTCAGAACAGACTTGACCCATTCAGCGACCTCGGCATCTTCAGTGCCCGAGCTGAGATCCATGTGGCCCACCGCCTCGGCCACCTTGTCTGCGGCCTCGCCTTCTTCCGCAACTTCATCGATCGTCTCGGGTTTTGACAGTGACTGGATCCAGGGATGCTTGAGCAGTGCAGCGTATGTCGGGCGCATTTTGGGGATCTTGTGCAGACAGCCCTTGACAAAGTCCTTTGCTAGATCGCTGTAACCTTCTTCGGGCATGGCCGGAGGCTCGCCTTCCACAATCGCCTGGGAAAAAACAACATAGTCAGCAAACAGAAGATCGCCTCATCAGTCAGGTCTTCAACTTACATTCAGCTGGCTAAAAATGGTGGACGAGGCCTCGGGCGGGTATGGATACTGGCCCATGGCGCACTCAATGATTGTCAGGCCCAAGCTCCAGACGTCACTCTGGACGCTGTAGGTGCCGTCCGAGGTGCCTGGCGCCATGGCGCCACCGGATATCCGCTCAGGAGCCATGTAGCTCTGGCATCCAATGTTTGTTTTCGCTATGCTGGCCACGAGGTTTCCGCTGACGCCAAAGTCGCAAATCTTGACCTGGCCGCGCGTGTTGGCCAGGATGTTCGTCGGCTTCACGTCGCGGTGGATGATGTTGTGCTCGTCCTTGAGCGACTTGAGGCCCATGATGGCCGAGAAGGTGATCTTCTTGAGCACGTTTTCGGGTATGCCGCCGGCGTAGAGTTTGTCGATGGAGCCGCCGTCCATGTACTCAATGCACATGTACACCGCGCCTTCTTGGAAGAAGGCTCCATAGAAGTCGATGATGTAGGGAGACACGCACTCGTGGAGAATGACTAGCTCCTTGAGGATGGTGGTGAACTTGGCGTCGTCGAGCTCGAGTCGAATTTCCTTCATGGCCATGATCTTGCCGGTCCGGCCGTCAAGCGAGGCGGCGTCCAGGACCGCCGAGTCCGATTGACTGCGGTGCGGATGCGGTGCCAGCTTGGCTCCGGACAATCCTTGCCCAAAGCGCGGCACGGCCGGCTTCGCATGCTTGACCTTGTACACCGTGCCGTAGTTGCCCTTGCCGAGCTCGTCCAGAATCTCCACCTCATCGAGGGATATGCTGAAGGTCTGGCCGTTGGTGAATTCGACTCCCGTACGAGTAATCGTGGCAGCACCGTCAAACGTGATCCAGCCCTTCTCCGCATCAATGTACTTCTTGAAGTCGTCCAGCTGAGATCCCAGCGAGGGTTTGCCGTTGGGAACGCTCGGGCCATTTACAGAAATCCCCGCGAGCGAGGGAGCACCGGCTCGGCGCAGTCCACCTGTAGGACTGGCGTTGCCGCCACCGCCAATGTCCGAGAGCTTCATCCCCATGCCCATGTTGGCTCGTCTTTCACTAAGAGACGGTTTCGGGATGACGGGGGCGGATCTAGGGTGCGGCACGGCACCGGGGCGCTGCATGGCTGGGGGCATGCGCAGGTTAGGGAAGCCGGCTACTCCAGCAGCTCCCGGCGAGGGCATCGGTGAGACGGGCGAGCTGCCTGACGCGGCCATGCCCTTTTGCATCCGCTGCTGATGCAGAGCGCGCGCCTTGGCCATGACGCTGTTTTCCATGGCCCCAACGCCCCCGACGAATGAGGAGGTTGGCTGCGGGGGATGCCTCGCCTTGCCCAAGATGCCCAGGGCAGTCGAGCTGGGGTTCATGTTCCGGGGGTCGGCAAAAGTGTTCAATGACGGAAGTCGCTTGGGGGAGTCGCCCACTTCGTCGCCGTTGGGCGTGCCGGCCACTGACGAGTCTTCCGAGTATGGCGACGCCTGCATGGCAAGCTCCCGAGTGCCATCGGTTACGCTGTCCGGCGTGGCCGGGACGGAGCCGGAGCCGCTCATTGTGACGGTATGAGGAGAGATGGAGGTGCGCGACTACTGCTTAGGGCGGGCGCGAGAGGAGGAGGGAAACGGAGACGCTTTCGGATGGGGGCCAAGGAGCTCCCGGTGTACAAGGGCAGCAACCATACACCGGAGCTGCTATGCTCGATCGAGGGCGAGGGCGTCGCAGAGGCAAGGGCCGCCAGCGACCCTGGCAGGAGTGACGAGGCGGGAGGCGGGAGACGACGACGACGAAGACGACGAAGAGAGTGTTGCGGTGGACGACGACGGTCTGCGCAAGCGGGTGGCCGGAGGTGGAGGTTTCGAAGCTCTCGACCAAGGTGGGGGTGATTTTTTTTCAGAGGCGAACACGATGCTTCGTCGCTGACAATCGCTCGGCGGCCGATTTGCGGGAGGCGGACGGCGGACGGTTTGGTCCTGTGCGGCTACGCTCGTCGAGGGCTAGGCCGGTGCAGTTGCTGGCAGAACTCTGGCGGCGGGCTGGCTGGGCTAGGCAAGGCAAGCACACGGTGGACGGGAGTCAAGTGTGAATGCTGCTTGTCGCTGGCCTCGGCTGTCGCTCGGTTTATGCCGCCGGTGTGCCTTGATCTGGCTGCGTTTGCCTGCTTCTCGTCTGTTCTATGGGGTTGGCGGGGTGGGCGCGTTGCAGGAGAGACTGACGGCGAGAGGCTGAGCAGAGGAGGAGGACGAGGAGGAGGAAAAGAAGAAGAAGAGAAGAAGGAAGGTGAGGAACAAGGGAAAAGAGCTCAGGATAGACGGCGGAGGATCAGGATAGGATAGGGCGACTGCTGCAAGACAACGGTTGGTTAGCCGGGCTTGGATATTGTTCGGGATGCGATCCAAGCCAAAAAGATGCCGGCGGCAGCAGTCCAATTCAATCCAAGGCTGTGGATGAAACGGCGCTTGCCTTGTTTCTGCGCGGACTAACTGTGACCTGATTTGATCCAAACGGAGAGCCTTTTTAAAAAATCAGCCCCAGTTTGGCCAAGTGAAACAAGCCCGGCCTTGCTCGGGGCTCCGTTTTCTTGATTTTTTTCTTTTTCTTTTTCTCTTTCGCTCTTTTTCTTTTGTTTGCTTGTATACGAGACGTCTTCGTGGACACGAAAGTTGCGAAGCAAATGAAAAGGTGTAAATCAAGAAGAAAGAGAGAGTAAAAGATGGAAAAAAAAAGTGGTTTGTGTCTTACTTTTCTTTGCTTTCTGCAGTGGGTTTGATCGTCGTGGCGAAGTACCGCAGTGAAAAGGAATGGCAACGTTTTATATCAGGCTGAAGCATACAAGCAAGCACGAGCACGCTTGTCAAGGCAAGGTAGGTAATTCCCTAACAAGGTAAGGTACGTGATACCTATTGCACCTCGCCGGTGTGAGGCGGCAAACGCAAAAAGCAAAAAGCAGAAAAGCTACAAGCAGCGTCAGGCAAGGTTAGCAATCCACCAAGGCACCAGGGCAGAGACAGCGGGCAGAAGTGGCTGGAAGCAGAAAGCATTGGAGTCTCACCTCCCTGGCCAGCAGTCGGGGACGCCCGTTGGTCAATTCCCTGTCCCGACGTCTATTTTTGGTCGCGTGAAGGGAGAAGAGAAGCCGCAGAGAGAAAAGAAAGAGAAAAAAAAAACCTGAAGTTCTATCAATCAGGCCGTGTTGGTGATTCCTCGGTAGCAAAAACCCTTGTACTCTGCAGCTGGTGCTAAGCTGCTATGGGACCCTCGCAGCGGTGCCGAGATAGCATCAGATGTTTGTGCGGGGTTTCTCCAAGGAAAGGCGACGGGCAGCTTCCCTCGTTGGTGTGGAGTTTCCGAGCTCTGCAGCGACGATGACGACGATGATGCGAAAGCACAGCTGCCGCGCCGTGCGTCCAGCGGGCCAAATAGCGCTACCAGCTGCAGGATATCGTCAGGAGGCGTCTCTGTGCCGGCACGTCATGTAATAGTACATACTTACAGGCAAAGCAGGACAAGGGCTCGCTGCATGCGCCGTTGCCGTGGGATTTCAGCCCTGGGATTGGGCCGCTGGGCTGTGGCGATGGTGCTGGGTATAGCAGGTGGTCGGCAGGCGACTATCGTGACCTGAATGGGGGCATCAGTTTGCTTGTCCATGGCACCATGTCATTGTCGCCGGGTAAAGAGCACTCCAGGGGGGGGGGGGGGGGGGGGGGGCTATTGACCTATCATCAATGCCACGGCTGGGCAAGTTGGGTACGGACAGAGCGAGAGAGAGAGAGAGAGAGAGGCAGGCCCTGGCAAATGCAAACGCGGCGAATGAGTAGGCTGTGAAGACAGACCAGCCTGAAGCTGTGTGACGTGATGCAACACGAATGCCAGTGAGTCGCTCGTCAGCTTGGGCTCAGCAGTGAGGGAGCGTGGGAGGACCGGAGACTTGGGGTCCAACGTTGGGCGCAAAAGCAAGCAAGCAGACACAAGCAGACGCAAACAGACAAGACAGGAAGAAGGATCGAAATGAGGAGTGACGGAAGAGAAGGAGGAGAGAAGTTGGGATGGGTGAAGTTATGTAGGTAGGATAGGCAAAGTTCTGAAGGAGACAACCGTGAGTCCTATTGGTGTTATTATATATCGCTTCAACTGTAGTATTTCCCAAGCGCACAACTCGAGACGCTTATTAACAGCAATCACAACCCGACAACAAGCACTGCTGAACCAGGCGCCGGTCTGCCGCTACTGTACGCTCGCATGCATCTCTCGACAAGGTCCAGACCAAGCAGCGAGGGCATCGACGCTCGATTGCGGCGGGCTCAAGACGCCCTGCGGCTTCGACGCTGTGTGATAGGCGACCAAGCGACTCTGAGGCCTCTTGAGTGGAATACTCTGCTGTCCTTTATTCCGCTCATGGTGGCCGTCCGACTCCACCCCAGCGGTGCTCTGGGCAGCTGCTCTGTTTCGCATCTGCACCTCACCATCTACGAGACAACATCCGGCGCAGGCCGCTGCGGACCGTCCAAGTAGATACTACTACTATCGCCAGACCAGGCCGGTACCTGCTGGAGGGCGGGAGCGTGGCCGACGATCGATATCAGACAGATCTCATGATGAAACAGGCCTTTGGTCCCCGAGCCGTGCCTTGGGTCATCAGGCGAACGGGCAGTGGCCTATCACGGGCCGCAGCAATGACGGGCCAATTCGCCTAGAGGGTCGAAGAGGGGGCCCGAATGTTCCTTTTTATTCATCTATCTGCTGCTTGACAGGATTCACGGATGGAGGCTGTCATATTGTACCCGCAGCTAGTATACTAATACCCCGGCATGTTGCTGTTCCGGCTTCTCTTTGCAGACGGTTGACGCTGTGAAGGAAACCGGGCATCTTGAGCATGTCGCTAGTATGTAGGTATTTGGGGGCTATTGAGGTGAGGCTGCATGGGAGGAGCAGTGGCTGCCTGGGAGCTGATGTTGGCATCCAATGGCAGAGTCTGGCTTGTCCTGCCCTTGCATCTGCTGTCTCTCATCTATTGCTTCTGCCGCCTGTTAGTTGGGTCACTTTGCAATCTCGTTTTTGCGATGGCGCAAAAAGAAGCCCAAGCTTTTCCAGCTGCGCGCTTTATCTTGGCGTACCTTGCCTTACCGTACCTTAGCTGAGATAGGTAGCTATGGGGATGTCAGTTGTGCTAATTGCAGTGTAGAGGTATATAAGAGTACAACAAGCTGCACATGTTGAAGCATCACCTTGTACAACCATTTATTACAACTGCTACCTACCTAAGGCACAGTAACGATGCGCATGCGAACCAGATGCCATTGAACCGATTCAACGTACTACCTAGATACCTAACTCATGGACGCCTGTTGTGTCACTGCCGATAAGCTCTGCGCAAACGTGGCATGATGCATCATAACTCTGGACCCGTGGCAGCGATCGGCACCCGATTCGTTTCAAACAGATGGACTCTGCGTGCGACGTCTGATGCACATATTGTCACCCCCTCCACCATGTACATCATGACGTCTCTACTGCGAAGACATCTGCCCGTCTGCTGGACGCATCACGATCGAGGTTGAGGCGATGGCCACTGAAACGCCGTCGACGGCTGCACAACGCGCGAGGCGATTTTCAGGCGCTTTCATGGTGACGACAGAGACGAGACGTCGAGATGTTCGGTTTGGCGATGCGCCTGCTCCCGTTGTGAATTGTGCTGTGAATGAGGAGGGAATTTATTGGTGATCTGGGTACAGTAATGTAGTTGTATCCATACCTTATGCTCAGTCTACGCAGAGGCATCCGATGCATGGTCTTGCCCTGTACGGGTATAGAGGCGATGTTAGAGAAGAGTCTCCCTTGCAAGGCGTTGAATAGCCGTCAAGAGCGTGCTGGCAGCTTCTCATTGGCAGCCTTTTTTTTTTTTCTTTCTCTCTACGAAATGAGGCAATCTCAGGCGGATTGTCAGCCGTCTGAAAATTACCTCTACTCCAGTGGACGACGGTTTGCTGCTGAAGCTGCAGTAAAAGTAGCCCGTAGGTACCTGCATGAAGGTGTCTGGACGATTAGGTAGATGTGGAACGAAAGCAAAGGTGATCCGATGCGTAACTCACTCGCACCTTGCATTCAATTGCGGGTGCTCTTGCATTGGCATGCCTCTGCCAAGGGTTGCCCGCATTGTCAAACATGCATGGAAAAGGCCCCTTTATCTTTCCGAGTCTCACATGAATGCCAGCATCGAGCTCCATTGAATTTGTAGGTAGTGACCTTCAGTTAAGGTACCTTATTACTACAGCCACAGACAGACAGATAACAAGCCTCTTGGCGGCAGTGGCTCAGTCGCTGACTGACTTGACGCAGCAGCTGCAAATCGCTCGCTCATTGGTCGCTTGTACCTTATCTGGAATGGAGGCCGCACGTGACTGCAATCTCTGCAGCTTCTGCAGCTTCCGCAGCTGAGAAAAAGGTGGTTGCGCAGCCTCTCCCCTCCTCCTTTCTCCCTCTCCATCTGCAGTTTGCTCAATCGATTGATAGTCCTACACCCCTGACACGCCGCTTTGGGAGGGCTCATGGTCTGAAGCTGTGTTTTTATTGGCTGACGGAGGCCATCCCACGCAGAGCACCTGGCAGCGCACACCCTCCCAGAGTGACATCAGCAGCGCCATGGCATGCCTGATGGGAGCCAAGAGCGGACCAACAGCACCCAAGAGGACTCCAAGCAGGGCACCGACAGGACACCAACAGGCCCGCTAGGCCTGCTAGAGGCCCCTGGAAGGCCCTAGGGGCGCCAAGGCACTGCTAGCGGTGGGGGCTGGTCTGAAGCTTGTTTGCGTCCACATCAGGTTCCGCCTCACTTGTGGCTGTCTCATGTCACCGTTGCGTGTAGCGCGACGATTCGCCTCTCTGCGCTGTGGCATCGCACACGTTCGTCATACCTTGGTGCGTTATGGCATTGTTCGAGCAACTGCCTGTGTCCTGCTGCGAGCCTAGGCTATGATTGATTGATTGATTCTCTTGGCCCGGCCGGCTGTCGTTGGGACCGACCACAATGGCAGAACAGACGCTGCCTCCATTCCGTCGCTAATTCACTCGCAATTCACTCGTCACTGCAGCCCATTTAACCTGCAGTCTCGCACCGTCGCCTCTCGGCTCTCGAGCCAGCGCACGATCAATTGCTTGGGTCTTTGCTCGATATCTGCCTGACAGGTACCTCAGCTCCTCGTACCTGACCGACCCCGGCGACATCTCAGCCACTCATTGCTCCGCCCCTTGCGAGACCACGCTATCAAGTACATCTACCTCCCTTGACAGTACTTCCTACCTATACTTGCTCGCTGACGACGCTTGCAACCTTTTTTTCGCCAACAGCCAACCGACACTTCCCGGTCTTGCCAGTCACCTTTCATCACCGTATCACCAATCTCACGTCCTCTTTGACTTCATTTCACTCTTCTCTTCCACTTAATTTTTCCTTGCCGGCCCCGGATTTCGACTGCAATCCACTCCCCTCAATATCCGGAATTCTCTTCGAGACAGCACGGTACAGCTGTTGCTAATTCCCTACGCGCCGTATTATCCGACACGATCCAGCACGAATCTCCTTGATCGTCGCATAAACCAGCATCGTCCTGCGAACCTCGACCACAGTTGATGGATCCGGCCGTCTCCCTCACGCCGCCGACATCGTTTCGGCTGGCGGTGATGGCCCAGAATGCTTATGAAATGCCGCTCAAGGTCTTCCAGGACCCCGCGCCATCGCATCCCTCCCTGTCGCATCTCTGCCTGCTCGTCTTCGAGGCTGTCTTGGAGGTGGTTTGCGTGAGCTTGCCAGGCTACATCGTCGCGCGCATGGGCCAATTCGACGTGGACAAGCAGAAATTCTTGGCCAACCTAAATGTCATGCTCTTTACGCCCTGTCTTAGTATGTTACTCTACGCTACGCTCCCTTCTTCGCAAAGGTTGAATCGCGCTCTAACCATCGCCCCCCTTAGTCTTCACCAAGCTTGCCTCCCAACTTAATGCCGAGAAGCTGTCCGACCTCGCCATCATCCCTGCCATCTTCGTCGTCCAGACACTCGTGTCATGGACCGTCTCCATACTTGTTGCCAAAGGATTTCGATTCAACAAGCGAGCCTCAAACTTTGTCACTGCCATGGGTGTCTTTGGCAACTCTAATTCGCTGCCGATTTCCCTTGTCCTGTCCTTGTCGCAAACGATCAAAGGCCTCCACTGGGACAGGATTCCCGGCGACAATGACGACGAAGTCGGCGCCCGCGGCATCCTGTATCTACTGATATTCCAGCAACTCGGTCAGCTGGTTCGATGGAGTTGGGGCTATCACGTTCTTCTCGCCACCAAGGACAAATACCCCGAGTATCGAGAGGACTTGGCCGAAGAGGGCCAGTACCGAGACGAAGAACCGAGCGACCCGGAGCCTGAGATTCTCATTCACGGCCTCGACGGCGATACCGAAAACGATGGCGAGGGCGATGATTCCGAAGGTTACATACCTGCCGGACGAACACCCCTGGCAAACACTTCTCGAGCTTCTCTGGCTGGTTCTTCTGTCGACGACTCCGACATGGTCAAGTTCAAGAAGGGCAACTACCCTGCGAGTGGCCAGACGCTGGCGGATTCTGGCCTGGAGGACGACATTCTTTCTTTTCCTCGGATCCGTCTCCAAGACGAGGCTGAAGTCGAGCCTGGAATGCTGAACCGTGCCAAGACCTGGTCGAAATCTGCTGGAGAGCGTGCAGCTGAGTTTTCAACTCGCCAATACCAGCGACTTCCCAAGCCTGTGCAGGCTGTTCTTTCGTTCCTCCAAAGGTCGGTCACCAAATTTCTCCACTTTGCCTGGGAGTTCATGAACCCTCCCCTGTGGGCCATGCTCTTTGCGGTCATCGTGGCGTCGGTGCCGAGGCTTCAGCAGCTGTTCTTCGAGGACGGCTCGTTTGTGAAGAACAGCGTCACCAACGCGGTGCAATCTAGCGGGGGCGTTGCCGTGCCCCTGATCTTGGTTGTCCTCGGCGCAAACTTGGCGCGCAACACGGCCGCTCAGGAGGGCCTCGTCGATCCGGAAGAGGAAAAGATTGGGACCAAGCTCCTGATCGCCTCGCTGCTGAGCAGAATGGTTTTGCCAACCGTCATCATGGCTCCCATCTTGGCCCTCACGGCAAAGTATCTGTCCGTCAGCATTCTCGATGATCCCATCTTCATCGTCGTCTGCTTCCTCCTTACCGGCGCGCCCAGTGCGCTGCAGCTGGCGCAAATCTGCCAGCTCAACAACGTATATGAGAAGACGATGAGCAGGATCCTCTTCCAGAGCTATGTCATCTGGTAAGCAACGAAAAAAAGCTGTCAAATATTCGATCCGCATGTCGCTAACAGGAAATCACAGGATCCTTCCCTCAACCCTTGTACTTGTAATGATGGCGCTCGAGGTCATCGAGTGGGCTAAAACGACTTAATTTCCCCTGTCCCGTCTGTGGACCGGACATTTGATGAGAAACGAGCTTCTTTTCTTTTCTTTGCTTTCACGAAATACATGTATTACTGGCGTTGGGCTTTGTACTTGTGCTTCAGAAGCGGTACGCAATCTGGTAGGTATATATAGATCGGCATGGACTAGCAATAGCGGACGAGAAGGAGGTTAAAATTGTATGATTATCGGAGGATGAAGCGAGCAACGCTCTTTTGCCCCAAATGAAAGGCTTCCAGGAGAACAGTTCTGCGGACTGATTAGCTGAATTGAACCACATTGAGCATTGCAACAAGGCACGGACTTCTTTGGAAATGCTGTCGTACTTGACAGATGATCTTGATTTTACTTTTTTTTTCCTTTTGACTTGGCCAATATCAAACATATCTGTCAAATCCCAGAGCCTAAAGTACGCCTTAGTTATCCCCATTGAAGACAGCCCATCACGCGCCGTAGCCATAGTGAAGTCCCCATCAGGCACCCCCATTCAACACCGGCGCATCAGGGACCAGCTCCCAGTCCCTCACCGTCCCCTTCCAATCACTGATTCTCACATTTCGGATATCAACCACAATGACACGCACCTCCTCTCCAGCCACAAACCGCCCCCCACTACCACTACCACCACCAGTACCAGCAGTATCGTTATTACTATCTGCTGCCGCAGCAGGATTTGACGGAGGCTGAAAGAGCGGCACGCCCTCGGGCTCGAACGTGTTATTCTCCAAATGCCTCTCAAGGTAAAACTTCTCCTCGGCGGACCCGATGGGCGCAATGCGCGCAGCGCCGCCTATCGTCGCGCTGATGCTGGACACTGCGGACGTGTTGAGGTTGAGCAGCAGGGTGGCGAGGCTGGAGCGGGATTCGGGCGTGGGAGAGCCGCCGCCGCCGCCGGAGAGGCGGCGGCCTTGCGCCGTCGTGGACGGAGGGCGGTGGGAGACCCAGTCGTGGACGAGCAGGGAGACGTTGGGGTTGGTGGTGATGTTGGTCGTCTTGCGGGAGGCGGCGTTGGTGGTCATGATGATGACGGGCGAGGCGGAGTAGGGCGACGAGGGGAGGTAGGTGTAGTTCATGAGGGAGACGTTGGGCACGTTATCCGTGCAGGTCGCCAGGTGAAGCTATATCCGTTTGCAAAAGAGGGCATAGAAGAGTTCAGTCAGCGCATAATGATCTTCCATCAGCATCTTCACGTGTTTGGGCATCTGAGAGTCGGGACGTACGAAGCGCGCATTCTCGAGGCATTGGACCACCTCGGTGGGCAGCGTGCTGGTCTGCCGCTTGTGCGTGTCGCCCTCGGACGCCTCGTAGTTGAGCGGGATCTTGTCCATGGCGGCCAGTCTGTCCAGCTTCGTTCTTATCAAGCCGAGATGTACAGCCGTGTGTTCTAGCAAAAGGGTTTCGTTCTGCACTTGGTTTCCCGATCAGCCGATGGAAGCTCGAGCTAGCAATGTCACGACCAAGTTTCAAGTGGGGTGACGGCGATAAAGGTATCGACAGCAGTAGCAACACACAAAACGGAGTCTGCAACAGGGAAGACCTGACTACCTCTACTGAGGCGCTACCTGACCCCATACGGAGCTTCTCCGCGAATTGCAAGTACTACTCTTACTCGTACCTTTCCCCATGGCGTCTAAAACGGACCAGAAACGGCATGACGTCGCCGCATCCCCCCCCCCCCCCCGGCCAGCCTTTCTCGGACCGTTGAGGCTTCTCTCCAAAGGGCACTCAAGGAAGGAACCGCGGCTACTTGCGGCTTGCCGGCGCTCGGCTCTATCGAGCATCTACCCGGCTGAAGCCTCGACAAGGCGATCGTTGGTTTTGGCCCGGGACTCTGCTGGCACAAACCCTCTTCCTTTCGATCCCCAATTCCTCTTTCAAAGGGGCCAATTCCTCCTTTTCTTGCTGCTTTGCTTCTCTCAAGAACTCCTTCTCTGTTTGTTTCCCCCCTCCCCCTTTGTATCATCAGCCTTGCTTTGCACCTTTGTCCCCCGTCTCGCCCTCAGCAGCCCGCCATGCGTTCCCTCCGATCCAAGCGCCTCGCCCTGAGGCCCGTCCCTCGATTCCTCTCCACAGCGTCTTCCACTCCCTCGTCGTCGTCGTCGTCGTCCAAGCCGGCGGCGCTCAGCTCCGTGCTCATCGCCAACCGAGGCGAGATCGCGCTGCGCATCAACCGCACCGCGGAGCGCATGGGCATCAAGGCGACGACCGTGTACACCGACGTCGACGCCAACTCGTGGCACGCCTCGTCGGGCTTCCAGTCGCTCGCGCTCGGCCCGGCCAACGGCTACCTCGACGGCGAGAAGATCATTGCGCTGGCCAAGAAGCACGGCATCCAGGCGCTGCACCCGGGCTACGGCTTCCTGTCCGAGAACTACAAGTTCGTCGAGCGATGCGAGGAGGAGGGCATCGTCTTCGTCGGCCCGCCGGCCACGGCCATGGCCGACATGGGCAACAAGGCCCGGAGCAAGGAGATTATGAACGCCGCCGGCGTGCCCTGCGTGCCGGGCTACCACGGCTCTGAGCAAGGCGAGGCGGAGCTGCTGGCGTACGCCAAGGAAATCACATTCCCCGTGCTGCTCAAGAGCGTGCGGGGCGGCGGCGGCAAGGGCATGCGCATCGTCATGAAGGAGGACGAGTTCGTGACGCAGCTCAAGAGCGCGCGGGCCGAGGCCAGGGCGTCCTTTGGCGAGGGCGGCGAGGTGATGCTCGTCGAAAAGTACATTGTGCGCCCGCGCCACGTCGAGGTGCAGGTCTTTGCCGACAAGTACGGCAACACCGTCGCCCTGGGCGAGCGCGACTGCAGCGTCCAGCGGAGGCACCAAAAGGTGCTCGAGGAGTCGCCCGCGCCCGACCTCGACGAGGCCACGCGGCAGGACCTGTGGGACAAGGCGCGCAAGGCCGCCGAGGCCGTGGGCTACGTCGGCGCCGGCACGGTCGAGTTCATCCTCGACAAGGACAGCGGCAAGTTCTACTTTATGGAGATGAACACGCGCCTGCAGGTCGAGCACCCCGTCACCGAGATGGTCACCGGCCTGGACCTCGTCGAGTGGCAGTTCCGCATCGCCGCCGGCGAGAAGCTGCCGCTGACCCAGGCCCAGGTCGAGGAGCAGATGAGCCAGCGGGGCGCCGCCATCGAGGCCCGCATCTACGCCGAGAACCCGGAGAAGGGCTTCATGCCCGACTCGGGCAAGCTCATCCACGCCGTGCTGCTCGACGCCGCAAAGGCCGACCCGGACATCCGCCTCGACTGGGGCTTCGGCTCCGGCAGCGTCGTGTCCGAGGCCTACGACGGCATGATTGCCAAGCTCATCGTCCGCGGCGACACCCGCGAGACGGCCATTGCCAAGCTCGCCGCCGCCCTGCGCGCCTTTGAGATTGTCGGCCTGAGCACAAACGTCGAGTTCCTCAAGCGCATGTGCGCCTCCGAGGCCTTCATCGCCGGCGACGTCGAGACGGGCTTCATCGACAAGTGGCGCCACGAGCTCTTCAAGCCCCGCCACATCGCCAACGAGGTCTTTGCCCAGGCCGCCCTCGGCGTCCTCAGCAACCAGACGCACAAGCACAAGCACGCCCCCGGCTCCGGCTCCGGCTCCAGCCCGCACGGCCTGTCACTCGGCTTCGGCAACAGCAACTCCACCAGCGAGCGCCGCCTCGCCTTCAAGGTCCTCGACGGCTACAGCGAGAACGAGGGCGAGGTCGTCGAGGCCACCGTCTCCCAGACGGGCCACAACGTCTACACCATTGCCGTCGCCCGCAAGGGCTCCTCTTCCGAGCCAGAAGTCTTCCGCAACGTCATCAGCGAGCCCACCATCTCCGGCCCCGTGACGAAGCTCAAGTCGCGCTTCCCCGGCGAGCGCATCGAGTCCACCGTCGTCCCGCAGGAGACGGACACGGAGACCAAGCTGGCCATTTTCCAGCACGGCGTCAAGACGGACCTGGCGCTGCTGCCGCCGTCGTGGTACGAAAAGGCCCTGGGGCTCAAGGAGATGACGGCGTCCGTGGCTGCGCCCATGCCGTGCAAGATTTTGAAGAATGAGGTTGAGGAGGGGCAGAGCGTCAAGAAGGGCGAGCCGCTGGTTGTGTGAGTTTTCCTTTCTTTCCTCTTCCTCCTGTTCTGTTCTATTCTCAGTTGTCTTGTTCTGAGTTTATTGTGTGATTTGTTTTGCTAACAAAGAGTCTTATGTCTATAGTATCGAGTCAATGAAGATGGAGACCGTCATCCGGTCACCACAGGACGGCGTCATCAAGAAGCTCGCTCATAAAGAAGGAGTAAGTCCCATTCCCCTTCAACGCTATCCCTTCTCCATCTTTCCACCTCCTCCTATACACTTTTCAGCTCTAACAAAGCAACTTTTTACCAGGACATTTGCAAAGCGGGAACTGTTCTGGTCTTGTTCGAAGAAGATGCCAGCAAAGAAGAGTCATCGTAAACTGGATTTGGAAATATGAAGGGCGTTTTTTTTTTTTTTTTCAATGGGAGGTTATGAATGCATGTATATTTTTGTACTTTTGGGGAGAAAGAGCAGCTTATAATGATCCGCCTCTTGATCAATGATTTCGCAGCGTCGCAAATGAGAGAAGAAATGTGAAAATAAGTTGTTACCTTCACCACCTTTTTTCGCTTCATCACGTGTCGGGCTTCTCTACCACGACGTATCCGAATCTTTGTCCTTTTTTGATATCCCCTTTTCCTTCTCTTTGTGCAATTAAAACGCCATGATAATGATGGAATAATCAACGCCTTGACCCAACTCCCACATAGCAAATGAAATCGTCGTGCCATCATGACAACCTCATACGCCCCCCTCAACGTCGGACACGATGAAGCTATCCGTCCACAGCCATTTTGATCAGCCAGATTCCCAGCAGTCTCACTATCCGTCCTTCCTTCGAAAGCAAGCCTAGTAAAGCAGTTCAAACTCTCTCTCAAGAATCGCAAGCAAATGTCATTTTGTCTGCATTTCCGTGTACGTCTCAGGCAGATGCCTGCTCATCCGCGACTGCTTAGCCGCTTCCCGAATCCGCTTCCACCATTCCTTGGCGAGGCGAGGCCAGCTGGGATCCGTGGGTGGAACGTAAGAGTAGAAATGGTGAAGAAGGTCCTGCGTTGGAAAGGATATCAGTAAGCGAGATGACTTGTAGGTATCCCGTAGACGAAATTGATATATCCCCCCTCCCCTTCTTCCCCCCTCTCCTTCGCCTCCTTGAATCACCGTTTCCTTCATCCACATCTCACCGTCGGGTCCAAGCAACAACAGTATATGTGAAAAAAGGGGGGGGCGAAAGCAGTTCAAAGCTCACCTCTTCCTTCGCCAAGGTAATGAAACCCAGCACAAAGGCTACCCAGGCCAACGTCCCCTTTGTGTTGAGAAATTGGTTTCCGCCCCGAAACTCAATCGTCCCCGTGCACCGTCTTCTCCTTCGCTTCGGATAGATGTTCTGAAAGTTCCACAGAACGTAGCGGTTGCCCTGCATGTAGTGGCACAAGTCTGCCTTTCGCGTCTTGGACCGAATCTCGGCAGCCACCTTGTGCAGAGCGTCTATGCTCTTCCCCCAGCCCAGCGTCTTGTTCAGGCCGGAGTCGAGGCTCTGGCTGTTCAGCCGACAGTAGTGATTGTCGCGGCGAGCGGCGGGCAGCATCTCCGCCACAAAGTCCTCGTACACGACCGTGGCAAAGGCGATCTTCTTGAGGGTCCTGAGCGAGAACTTGTTCTTCAGGTTGACGGGCGTGACGTGAACATGCCCACCGCATGACTCGTCCTCCTGAGGCTTAAAGTGCACGCGCATGGCCTCCCAGAAATCGGAGATGATAGGGCTCACGCCATGCATGGTGTCAAGCTTTGGCGATACAACCTCCATGCACACTTTTTGTTTCCAATTGCCATTTTGTGTCAGCGCATATCTCATCCTGTGCGTGAGACACATGCAACAAGCACATGTGGTTCGTACATGAACTGCCCATCGTGCAGCACAGATAGATTGGGTAGAAGCCGGAATTACCAACCATATGGCCGTGGCCGCTTCAGCGACCCGTCACGCGTGACGAACCACTTCCCTCCGTAGTACTCGGGGTGCTTGCTATACTTGGAGCAATCATCATGGACCGCTTGGATGCCCCTGTTGCGTAGCTTTTGCGCCAGTTGTCGATACCAGTCCACGTTGGTGAAGCTCTCGCAGTTTCCGTACGGCCTAGTAACAGCTTCAATCTCTACGCCAAAGTTGTAATGCCTAACAGCATGTGGCATCTTTGCCAGGGCTGAGTCCGTGCAGGCAAGTCGACAGGCAAGACAAGGCGGATTCAGACCAAAGATCCTGGGAGGATGAGGCTGAGGCCGCACTTACAGCCCAAGCAAAGTCCAACGACAGGTCCACAAAGCAAGAAATGGTCGGGTTGGGGATGAAGCGAGATGGAGATTCGAGCACACGGGTGAGAAAAACAGCCTATTCGAAGGCCGCTGATATCTGATTTCGAACTCATGCTTCCTAAGTCGCTGGCCACGTCTTGGCTCTTCCTGTGCTTCTGAACACCACCAAACCACGCTTGTGCGGATAATTGGTCGGTTGTTGTTGTACATTAGACGCATGCAGGCTCACATGACATTGTCGAAGCCTCGTCAACGTTCCGTTTTGTGCGAAGCATAGCAGCAGCCATCGAGCCCGTGCTATGTGTGCAGAGTGATATTGCACGTACCCTTACAGTACATGCAAGAGCAGCAGGGATCGAAGCCATGGGCCGGCATGGCCAGCCACCGTTGCGTTGTCAAACAGTCTTTCTCCCCCCCCCCCTACCTCGTCGGACTCCTATTGCAAAAAAAAGAAAACTGTTTGTATTGCAGCTAATGGCCTTCCCGTGGAACCCACAGGCGGACAGCGGTTCGCCTATAATGCGGTGGCGCTCTGTGGAGGAGGTGGTAAGGGAACGTGGCAGCGAGGGGCCGCGCATCATGCTCCGTGGCCGGCCATGTCCGGGGGCGCTCCCTTCAAACAAATGCTGTAGAGACAGAGGCGCCCACGAGTGTATGAGCTCATTGCCACGATGGAGGCTCCCCGTTGCTTCATGTCGAGACGTGGTGAGGTCCAATTGGTGCCGGTAATCCCATGGCCTGCATGGCGGCCGTCATTTTGTCCCTTTGCTGCCCAACCTGTTGCACAGCATCAGGAGATCCACAACCGAGGCAGCCACACTCCAACGGGATGTTCTGGCTGGCTGACGGGCAACCGAATGAGCCTCGAGCCATGACGCTTGGTTTTATGCCTCATGGTTTGCATCACTGGCATCAGTTAGCAATATGTAAGCCCGTGGTGTTGTGCGCAAGAAATGAGCAGACAGTCCAGGTCTCCTCAGCGTTCAAACCACCTCGTAGACCTCTGATCTCCGAAAACACGACAATTCTCTCAAAGACGACTGGGTCTCCCCGCCAGCCTCCCGATTCGACAATGGAGGCCGTCCGCAGCCAATCAGTGGGGAGGAAGAAGACCAAGGTGCCGACCCAGAAGGCAGCGTCAGCGTTGTCTCTAGACCGCCGGCCAACCAAGTTGTACTTTGCTTATGGGAGTAACTTGCACGTCAAGCAGATGAACCGTCGCTGTCCCAATAGCAAGTTCATCGGCAAGGCCCGTCTCGCCAACTATCGGTGGCAGATCAACCAGCGTGGATACGCCAACGTCATCCAGGCCGAGGGACACTGGGTAGACGGTCTCGTATATGAGATTGATGATATCGACGAGGCCAAGCTAGACATAAACGAGGGCGTTGCAAAGAACGCTTACAACAAGCGATACATGACGGTCCTGCTTCATCGGGCGCAGAGCGCCCTGTATCGCCGTCCCGTTGCGTGGATTGTGGAAAAGGGCGGGCCGGCTGCCGTGGGTAGGCAAGCCAAGCTCATGGCTCAGGGGCGCCGAGAGAACTCGCTGCTGCACTGGCAAGACGATGTTCTCATATACGTCAGTCCAAATTGCACGATTGACAGCCATCCCAAGGAGGAATACGTCAACCGCATCAACCTGGGCATTGCGGATGCCAGGGCCCTGGGCGTCGACGAGGATTATATTCGGAACTGCATCCGCCCCTTTATCCCGGAGACGACCGAAAAATCTCCCTCGGTCCCGGCGCTTGAGACCCCTAGGACCAAGATGCTAACGGTCGCCCGGGGTAGAGATGCAAGCTCTCCCGCGAGGTCTGCTGGCCGCTCCCCGGCGCGCAAAGACCGATCGGTGAGCCGGTCCAAGCAGCATCTTGAACGACGATCCCAGTCCTGGCAACCCCCTAAGAAAGAGAGCAATCAGAGATTCGACCTGGCGGCAATGTCAAAGGAACCACCACCCCTGCCTCCGCGACCAGAGTCGAACCAACCCCGTGACATCCCTATCGTGGCCGTCCAGGAGGTGCACGTCTCGAGCTGGGGGTGGTGGCCCTCATTTTCATGACAGAAGCATGGAAGGAATGAGAGGCTGCATGGCAACCTGATGCGGTGAAGACTGGGTCTGGTTAATCCATAGTGATGTAAGTGTCTAATTGTTGTGAAATCTATATCTTTGCCTCCGTTATTGTTCAATTTGGCCAGTATTGCTGACGCCTTCTATAAGATTCTAGGAATATCGCCAAGATACTCGTCGGTTTTTTTTCTTTTCTTTCTTCCTTTTTTTATGTACCCCTCCTCTTCTCATCAGCTCCATTTGCCGTCAGGGCATGTTCTGCAAGACCAGGGGCCATGAATCAGAGCTTTGAGCGATGCCGCCTCAGAACAAGGGGCTTACTTTTGGGCGGTCCATTTCGCAATGGGAGGGAGGATCGTGCTTTTGATCCATTCGCATAATCCCACAAGAGCCTTGCTAATGTCATGGCCTGTTGGGGGATATCACCGCCTTTTTCTCCTCCGTAGACCAATACTTTTGGCCTGCAGACGACCTTTACCGCAGACTTCTTTGCTCCACTAACTGTCTCCACAAAGAGACCCGGGGCAATGTCGAAGAGGTACGAGGCGTTCTTGAGAGCTTCGGATGGTTTGCTGGCCTTGTCAGACCCGATGGTCTCGCCGTTGCTTGCGAGGTTGATGCACTCATAAGTGTCCAGTTTTGACCTTGCGGTCCTCGCAGGCCACTTGAGAGTGTAGATGTCTGGTGAAAGCTGAAGTCGGTGGGCGAGGTCAGCTGCCGGGTCAATGATGTTTGTTCGGAGAGAGCCCTGCAGTTCTGCCGCAGTAAGGTATGGCACTACAACCGACAGAAGAGATGCAAGGTCCTCGGTAATGTGGTTGAGATATGCGGCCCTTCTGGATTTGAAAGACTTTTGACTAGTCAACGCTGTGAGAGTCTCAGCTCTCCACTCTCTGCAGTGGGAAATGTCTAGTTTTCCCCATTGGTTAGCCATCTGTTTCGCTGTTTTCTGCATAGAAGCATCCTCTTTGGGGGTTGGCAGCTTACCTCGGGGTAGTTTTGCTATCGCACTCTCGAGGTCATCAAGCCATGCAGCGGTAGTCTCGCCGTCGCCGTCATCCAAGGGGCAATAAAAGGACCTGGAAAAGAACACCAGCCAGAGGTACTGCATAATGAGTGCCATAAAGTGGTATTCATCGGAATGCCACACATTTAGGCAACTTGTCGCCGGCTCCCTCAACAGTGATACGAATCTTGTTGACTGAGACGGGCTGGGCTGACATCGGAAGTGGCCGCTGGCTAGATCGTCCAGAACAGGCCGTATGCGTTGCTCGACCCAGCGCTGGACATTGTCGCATAGGACTCTGTAGGCTTCCTGTGCTTCGGCCTCCGTAATGTCTTTCCTCCGGGGAGCTGGGCGAGTATTCTGGTCCTTGGATCCCTCGGCCGCCTTGTTCTTTTTGGTGGACTGGCTGCGAGCCAGTGCGAGCTGCCTCTGGGCTTCTTTCAGTTCCTGTTGTAGAGATTCCAGCTTCCTCGATAGGACCGAGTTCTCCCTCTCCTGTACCTCCAGCTCTTCCTGTCGTGAATCGAGGACCTCCTCCGTGAAGTGGCGCAGTCGAACCTCATCTTCCAGTTTGTCCTTGTCGTCCTGTTTGCGTGGTCCTTCTGTTTGGGTTGGTGCCATTGCTGCTTCTTTATGACTTTGAACTCGTAATTTCCCTGAATGTGGAATGCTTCAGACAGTATAAGTGAGGGAGAGGAATTAGCGGGATCGTGCGTGTGTCGAATTCTAGAAGTTTATGGAGCTAGCGGCGGAAGCAAATAGATTGACCACGTCCGTTATGTCTCCTCACGGCGCGTATATGGGTTCCTTATTGCCAGTCCCTCAATCCTTGTGCATTGCACCCGCGACCCGGCAGAAGCGTCAAGTCGGACTGGGTGGCCAGCTCATGAATTGTCGGTGCGTAGCCTGACCATGTCATCATGGTGGATCTTCTTCCCCTTTACCGGCTGGATGGCATCTTCGTGCCCGAAGCAGGTAACCCGTTGGGCTCCACCACATACCCGGCGATGAGGGTGTAGGGATCGGCTGTGTACATGCATGTCGGGGGGGGGGGGGGGGGGGGCCTTGTACGAGTACGCAAAAGCGCGCGTTTATGCCGGGTGGTTGTCACCTAATGCCAGACCAATGACTGCGTGTACAGCCAGCTTAGAAGTTCAATAGGCCAGCATAAGAGTCCGGAGCTTGCCTTGATTCCATCCTGATATCTGGCGGGGAGCCCCAGCATGGTTACCGGAAGCATCCCATTGGCACCATCGGCAACAGGACGGCAGCCCCAGTTCATGACATGCCTGGTGACAATGACTCTCTGCTAAGCCACCGCCGTGTGTAGCGCATCCGACTATTCAAACTGGGTCATCGTCTGGGAGCCTTCCAACCACTGACAGGGAAGTTTTGGTGTCGTCTACATCGAGAACCAAGGAATTGCCAAAGAAGGCATTCCTTTTCGTGCCGAACAGCCTGAGCATGGGCGAAGAGAGAAGAATTGTCGTTTCTATTGACTTTGGAACCACTTTTTCAGGCGTCGCTTGGGCAGAGACGACTCAAGTAAGTATGAGCAGCAGCACACGAAGAGTTTCATGCCGCGCTAAAACCTCCAAGCCGGATGTCCAGCACGTATTATCCGACTGGCCGTCACTCGGTTCGTCCCGGAATAGCCCCAAGGTCCCAACGGAGTTGCGCAAGATAGCAACTGGTTGGCAATGGGGGTTCCAAATTCCGAAAGCGGCAAAGAGGAATAGGTTCTTCAAGCTGTGAGTTGCCTATCGTGTTCGTTAGAGGGGTCTCTGAACTGAAACCAAGACTTTTAGAAGATTGGATGAGCCGTCAGACACAAAGACGGACGGAGAGTCGGCCCAAGAACTTACAAGGGTGTTCCTAACATGTCTCTATGCCCACTTTATCAGCGTCCTAGAAAGCCATCTGTCGCCCAGCGTGGTGCAGTCGACACCCATGGATGTTGTTGTTACCGTTCCAGCTATCTGGTCGAATAACGCAAAGCAAGAAACCGAAAATGCAGCTTCCTCCGCCGGCTTTGGCAAGGAGAAGAACATCAAGCTCATATCAGAGCCGGTCAGTGTTGTGTAAGATCAGCACATCGTTGGCAAAGGCTAATCGTACGTAGGAAGCGGCCGCATTGTATACCATCAAGTATCTAAGCCCATCCGTCCTGCAGACTGGTCGGAGGTTTGTGGTATGCGATGCCGGAGGGGGAACGGTCGACCTCATTACATATGAGGTTGCCAAAGTTCAACCGTTACAGATGAGAGAGGTCACTGAAGGGACTGGAGGGAAGTGCGGGTCCTCGATGCTGAACATGAGGTTTCGACGATACCTGAAACAGGCACACGGGGACAAATACTGGACAGACGAGCGACTTGTCCTTGCCCTGAGCGACTTTGAATCGGTGCGTCTGCCCTCGAGAGGCCCTGGTCTTTATACATGAGTCTAACTACCTAAGGCGCAGTTCAAGAAGGACTTCTCTCCTAGAGGTGAGCCACTTACACTAAAAGTCGATTCATCTCTCGGCTTGAGGCGAAATCGGTTCACCATACCGCAAGATGACATGACAATCAAGATTTGGGATCCAATCATGAGAGACATCATCTGCTTGATCAATGAGCAGATAGCAATGGCGGACGATGACGTTGCGGCAGTCGTCCTGGTTGGTGGATTCGGCCAGAATAGATATCTCAAGTCTCGCGTTCGCGATGCAATCACCCCCAGAACGCGAGTTCTTCAGCCAGAGAATGGCGTCACCGCGGTGGTGAAGGGGGCAGTCATCTATGGCCTCGGCAACTACCAGCCCGCCCTGGCACCAGTAGGCATCTCATCGCGGGTCGCCAGACGGTCATATGGCACTTGCCTCTTGGCAAAGTATGACCCTTCGAAGCATGACCGCAACGAAGCGTGAGCCAAGAACACTAGCAAGTGAGGAAGCTGCTGACAATTGCGGCTAGATTCTGGTCCGAGAAAGAAGAGGAATGGGTTGTTATCGAAATGTGCTGGTTCATCCGCAAAGTACGCAGACCGCAAGACAATTGGGAGTTGACATGATGTAATAACACGATCTAGGGCCAATCGTATCCCGAGGGTAAGCCCTCCAAGATCGAGTACCAGTGCGATATACCCGTGTTCATGGGGCACAAGCCACAAGCCGACATTGAAATATTCAGCAACGACGACGAACGTGAAGCACCGATCCATCTCAGCGGCGCCACAAAACGAGTGGCCACGTTGTTTCTCGATCTACATAAGATACCCAAGTCAGCGAAATCAGCCGCAAAGAAGAGAAAATTGGGATGGCACCGGTATTACTGCTTGACTGGCGTGATTGAAGCGAGCTACGGATCAGCCATGATAACTTACACGGTAAAGCTTGGAGGTCCGTCCGTTCGAGTCTCTTTGTCCCATTGATCGATCTGATCTGATCAGAACATTTGATCTAACGTGTTCCAGGCGTGACACACGACGTTATCAGAGTACGTTATGAATAGGCTCGGAATCCTGTGTCTGAGGCGTCTGGATTTAGGCAGTTGGTGATTGAAGGGCTCGGCACGTTCCGGGACCACATTCATTTGGATACATGAGAGCCCGCATCTTTGTTGGCCAGCTGTTATCTTGCTCTCTCAACGAATGTAATGACGGTTCTTTTCTTGTCGGCTGAGTAGAGGGCAAACGAGCTGATGACTTTCAATGTTTCAATGCTGAGACCATGGCAAAGCTGATGTATTCCTCAAGTTGAATGCGATTGATACCTGGTAGTAGTATTTTCTGACTGCGGCGTCTCGGGTAGGCGCTACCGGGCAATGAATGACCTGCTTGGAGGTACTGTTTTGGGAAAGAGCTGAGCTCGGCAAGAGTAAAGTGCACTCACGTGATATCGCGTTCTGCCCCTCCTCTTCGTCGCGTCTCTCGGGCAATCCAGTGCTCGTCCATCAACGTCGACGCCCAAATCGCGGCTTCAGTCGCTCTCGGTGCCGGAAGGCAATGACTGACGGCCCGGATCCTCTCTGTGCCTCTCAAGCGTGTGGAAATGGCTGCCGACACGAGAGAAGGCGGCCCGCCACCGTCCACATTGGCGGCGCAGCTGGTTGAAAATATCGCGGCGTCATCCAAAGCCCCCCGAACCGATGAGAATAGCGAACTCAAGGGACTCTTGGCCATCATCCAGCGCGTAAAGGACAAGCCGGCTCTTCTCAAGTCGTCGGATGACCGGCTGGAGCATAATCACATGCTCATCTATGTATACTGCCGAGTCGTGCTCGAAAACATCAAGCTCGACGACCCATTTCTTGATCGGGCCAATGTCCGAACCGAGTCGCAAAAGGCCATCAATTTCCTGCGCTTTACAATCAAAGAGACGCCGTCTGTTCTGCTGCATATGAATGAGAATTGCAGACTGTTGTTCCGTGGTCAAGAGCCTCTGTGGGTGTGGCTTTTACCACAGCTGTTGAGGCTCCTGGGCCACCGTCAATGCCTTGATTTGGAGAGCTCCATCGAAGGATTCCTGCAATATATCCTTCTTCTGGTCGCAAGGACAGGGGCCTTGTGGAAAGTAGCCCCGTCTTTGGGGCTGTATCTTCGCGCATCTCTAACGTGTATGTCATTACCGTTCACGTTCGTCAAGCAAAGGCTAATGATTGTAATCAGCGCTCCTTGACCATCTGCAAAGCCCGTCTCTTGTTCCTTCTCAAGCAGACTCAAGGACAGACCTAGAACTGCCTCCAGTCTTTGCACTTGATCAGATTCTAGGCAGAGATGGACAGCATACTACCAAGCGCTTGTCATATCCGGTCCTTACAGTATCACAGGGGCTACATCTGGCATCAAGCCTGGGCAGAGTGCTTGCACATCCCCTTGTATCGCCCGACCCGGCCTTTTCCAATAGCGTATCACTGTTGGAGAATGGGCCATGGCTGATAGACGCCTACCTGGACTTGCGCCATGTCCAAAAGCGGTGGGAGCTACCATCACAAGGCACTCCTCTCCCACTGGTTGAATTGACTATGGATATCATCAAGTCATCCATTTCCAGTGACTCTCCAAATGCCTTACTCGTTGAGAAATCGTGTGCCCTTCTTATTCTACTCTGTAGCGAGATGATATCACCTCCTGACGAGCTGGTACAACCGACCTCGGCTGGCGACCAGGCAAGGTCGACCTACTGCATGGCTCTTGTGGCGATTGCTCAAGCGTCCCAGAAATCGTACTCAATTGGCCGCTTTGCGGCGTCGAAGCTTGTCCAGGAACTGATTCTACTGTCGTCGCAGTACTCAACGATCGGGGAGGATACTGATGTCTGGGTGAGTGTCGACAAGCAAGAGATGGCGAAAGGATCAGTGATTTGCTAACTCGATTGAAGCGAAGCATGACTGTTCTGAGACAAGCAATTGGCTCTTCATCGCAGGATTCCTTCCTTGATAGCATACATCCGTCGAAGTTTCAGAACGAGGAAATTCGCAAATGCATTCAAGATCTGCACCTGAACTATACTGCCCCTCATCAAGTCGCGAACGCGAGCAAAAGACGAAGGATTTCCGAAGAAACGACAGACTCTTTGGCGATACTAACGCAGGGGATCTACGAAACCCTTCAGATTACTCCACCGCCAGATGATGATGTGGTCATGTTTGAGCAAATATACATGTAAGTTCTTCCAGGTCAAGTCCGAATTGCATATTCTGACTCGAACATAGCGATGGGTATGATAAGTGTGACCAATCGAACCAATCTCTGGCCGTAGAGCTTCTTTCGCGAATATGTTGCGTTGTCGATAGCCATGCGCGATCGAACAGGGCGACGGACTCAGTCACAGCTCCCTTGACATGCCCCATCTGCGACGAGAGCTCTACTGACTCACCGACGATTTCATCGCATCATGCGAAAAGCGAAGCAAGACACATCTTCTCCAAGATGATCCGCCTAACGTCCTTTTCCGAATCCAGACGGCCACGGATCGCTGCCATGATAGCTCTGAGAAGGCTCATATTGCACTGCGAAGATGCAGCCTTTCTGGATCTGGAGACTCCTGGCCCGGGGCAGTGGTGCCTTCAGTCGCTTAACAGTTCACTGAGAGAGCTTCGTATTGCAGCTGGTAGAACGCTGGCACTTTTTATGCCTCCGAAGCCAACATACAATATGGATGAGGCCTTGCTCTCACGGAATAGAAAGAATTCAATCGCCCTCCTGAAATCGGCTTCCGAGGCAGACCCGCCACTCATGGTTGAGACGCGGATTCTAGCCTGGGGCCAACTCGGCAGAGTCGTGACGGAAGATGAATTAAATTTGGTCCTCATCAAGCTTCTCGAGTATCTGGGCAGCAGTAATAACATTGAATCGGCGTTTGCTTTCAACGAGCTACTCAGCCTTGCCGAGGCTCGCCGTACCACACCCCGCCGTCTGTTTGAGCCATACTGGAAAAGCCTTGCCTACATGGCGACCAAAGATATAGTTCAACGCCCTCAGCGAAGCCGAGCCATAGCTGAGCTGCTACAGATATCTGTCAACGAGCTCCTTCTGCTGATCCAAAGCCATGCACTCCCATGGCTTGTCCTAGACAAACGCAAAGATGTGATTCAAAAGATTGCGGAAGCACGTCAAGAGACCGAGATCTGGCGTCCCCTCATGGACAGTCAAAATACAGCCTCGGTATTGTCACTTCTGATGTTGCAAGAATCCGAGAACATCGAAGAGTTTGTCAAAGCAAGCCTGGACGAGATCTCGCCTCATTTCCACGCTCTTAGCCTTGCTGACATCGTTCAATCGGAGCCCATGTTGACTACCATAGAGCTGCTAAAGGCGGCAGCAGATGCCGACGCACCGCGAAAACGCCAGGTAAGTGCTTGAAGTGCCGGATCAGTTTCTTCTACAGCGTGTGTTAACGGTATGCATATAGGTACACAAGGCTCTGACAATGATGGCATCAATGAGTCTTGGAGCCGTCAAGGAGACAAGGAACAAGAAGACAGATTTGGTCGGGCGTTTCCTGCAGTTGCACATTCTCGGGCTTATGACCCGGTTTACCGACGTTATCAATGATTCGATTTCCATTCACCCACAGGTGACTGAGCAGAGACGCTGCATTCGCGCCTTGGAAGAAATAATTCGAATATGCCAGTCATATGCCAGAATTGCGCGTCCACAGGTACGTCAAAGAAAGAACGCGCCTGCGCAAGCTTGGCTGACAGTTCACATAGATCTCGGCTTGTCTTCTGTCTGCTGCTTCGCAAGAATCTCTGCGCGAACCAGCCATTTCTTGCTGGGCAGCGATGCTCAAGTACTTTGACGAGGAAGACATCGAGGCTCTTCTCGAGGCTACTTTCTTCATCGTGAAGCGCTATTGGTCTGAATTGAAGCCCACGGCGACGACCGTGATAGGGGAAATGCTCGGTAACCTCCTGCAAAAACACGAGCATGCCGTGCAGAAGAATATTACCAAGCTCCCATCGCTATCTCACATTGAAGCTTTGAGCAATATTGAAGCCACACTTGAAGCCTTTCGGCCGCCTCTTGCCCTCGAAGATAAGCTGGAAGTCTTTTCACAGAGAATCGGCCACGACTATTCTGGGGTTGTCCACCAGGCGTTGGTTGACCTGGCACCCTACTTGAGAAGTAACCAAAGCGCACTCTACACATCTGCCATCAGTCAGCGACCGGACAGCGTGATCGCTACACTGCTGCGAGCTCTTCTCGATTGCGCCTGCAAGTACAATGGGGTCCATATCGACATCACTCGGCTCTGCGTTGAGTGTGTTGGGCTTATTGGTTGCTTGGACTCGAACAGAATCGAAGCAGTACGCGAGCAGCGTTCTATCGTGGTGCTAGAAAACTTCGAAGTGATGGAAGAAGCCACCGACTTCGTGCTCTTCTTGCTCCAAGAGGTGCTAGTGCCATCGTTTCTTTCCACTACCGACATGAGGCTTCAGGGGTTCCTGTCGTACGCCATGCAAGAGCTGCTCGAGAGATGCGAGATCAAGTCAGCTTGCAACAACCATGCGGCTGGAATGACTGGTGGCAGCGATGTTTATCGCAAATGGATGGCCTTGCCAGAATCCGTGCGGGAGGTGGTTGCACCGTTCCTGAACTCAAGATATATGGTCGCGCCCATGAATCCCCAGCCCGTGGACTATCCAATCTTTCATCCGGGGAGGCTCTATGGCAACTGGCTACGGGCCTTTGTTGTAGAACTTTTACGAAAAGGGCAGCATCCTTATGCGGATATGATATTTGAACCTCTCGCGCGCATCATTCGCGTCAAAGACCTTTCTACTGCTGAGTTTCTGTTTCCGTATCTCGTGCTGCATGTGCTCTTGGGGCCTAGGAGCAGCCAGGCAGAGAAGGATCAGATACTCGGAGAGCTTATGCACATATTGCGCCATCAACTCTCTCCGGACGCGTCTTACCAAGAAAAGGAGGATATGAAGCGTTTCTGTCATGTGAGTCTAAAATGGCGATGAACAACATAACTCTCTTAGACTAATGAGATGAATCTATAGCTTGTCTTCCGGTTCCTCGACTATGCTATGAGATGGATCCATGCCAAGCGGTCGACTAGGCTGACCGGGGCCGCGAAGGAGAATGTGTCCAAGATTCAAGCCATGTTAGACAGCATACCTGCTGAACTGATATCACAGCGCGCAATTGACTGCAATGAGTATGCGAGGGCTCTTTTTCATTTGGAACAACATGCGCAAAAGATGGATCAGGCGAAGAGAGAGCCGGGCGACCGGACACGCCTCTTACAACAGCTGCAAGATATTTACGCCAACATCGATGAGCCTGACGGGCTTGAAGGTATCTCGGCGCATCTGCATGCTCTCGACATCAACCAACAAATCTTGAGTCACAAGAAAGCCGGCCGATGGGCTGCGGCACAGACTTGGTATGAAATGCAGCTTGCCGAGAAACCAGATAATGCAGAAGTTCAAGTAGAATTGCTCAACTGCCTTAAGCAAGCTGGCCAACACGGTATGCATAACACACACATTTTTCTTCTTCTTCCGCATACGGTAACTGACAAGAACCAGATGTCCTGCTTAATCACATTGAGGGAATGCGGTCAGACTCCCTGAGCAACGACAATAGAATCATGCCCTTTGCAATAGAAGCTGCCTGGGTGACAGGTCGCTGGGAAAGCCTGGACAAATTCATCCATAGATTTCAAGGCAACGTGTTGCAGGACTTTAACATGTCCCTAGGGGTCCTTTTCGAGTCTCTATACAAAAAGCAACCTTTTACGGAGACGGCGAAGATGATGAAGGAGAATATCGCTCTGTCCATGACATCGTCGACGACCGCGTCGCTCCAAGCGGCACACGACATCATGTTGAAATGTCATGTTCTCACGGATCTAGAAATCATCCTGGGAACCAATCCGGAGAGTGAAGAGGAGCGTATGAAGACAATATCGCTTCTCGAAGGCCGGTGCGAAGTTATTGGAGCCTACTTCAACGATCGACAGTACGTGTTGGGCATTCAGAGGGCGGCTATGCAACTTCTGAGGTGAGTTTCTGTGCTCTCGACGCAGTTTAGGGCATCGTCACTGACATGTTTGTCTTGCGTAGGCCAACGTTTTCCGACCTGGACATCTCAGGGCTGTGGCTTGCCAGCTCGCGACTGGCTCGCAAGACAAACTCATTACACCAGTCATTCAATGCAGTGTTGCATGCGTCCCAGCTCGGGGACGATGCAGCTACCATTGAGAACGCAAAGCTGCTGTTTAGAGATTCGCATCATCGCAAAGCTATCCAAATTCTCCAGGGAGCCATCGAGCAGAATAAGTTTATGACAAAATCAGGATCATCGCTGAGCATGGGATCCGCAAGCAGCCTGAACTCTCAGCAGAAGCTGCTCACCGCCCGCGCACAGCTTCTGCTGGCCAAATGGCTTGATGCAGCAGGCCAGACGCACGCAGGCGCCCTTCGTGAGAAGTACCAGCAGCCACCCAAGACGTTTTCCACGTGGGAAAAGGGCCACTATTACCTCGGCCGCCATTACAAGAAGATATTGGAATCCGAACAGCCGTTGAAGGTCGACGATCAGAGCGACAACTACGTCACGGGCGAGATTGCAAGACTCGTCATTGAAAATTACGTGCGGTCCTTGAATTCGGGAACCAAGTACTTGTACCAAACTCTGCCCAGGATTCTCACGCTTTGGTTGGATCTCGGGGCGCAGGTTGACAAGGCTCCAGAAGGCAAGGTCTCGCTATCACGAGAGCTGCACAAGCGGAGACTCGAGCAGTTGGGCCTTTTGCATTCGTTCCTTGACAAGTACATACATCGTCTGCCGGCCTACATCTTCTACACGGCACTGTCGCAGATTGTCGCTCGAATAGCGCACCCCAACGCCAATGTCTTTGAACGACTGACTTCCATCATTGTGAAAGTCGTGGAGGCCCATCCTCGGCAGGCACTGTGGAGCTTGATCGGCATCATGACAACCCGTCAGACATCCGAGAGAAAGGCGCGCGGCGCTCAAGTTCTCCAGACGTTGAAGAGCGTTTCCAAAAAGGTTGACGGGGCCTCGTACGATTTGAGATATCTCATCAGGGCGGGAGAGAAGCTTGCAGAACAGCTGTTGCTGGCTTGTCACAATGGCGACTTCCACGGCAACAAGACCGTGCACGCCAGCCTGACGAAAGATTTACGGTTCAATCAGAAGTGCACGCCGTGTCCCTTGGTCGTTCCCGTGGAGAGTTCGCTGACAGCCACCCTGCCGGCCGTCTCGGAGCATGTAAAGAAGCACAAGGCGTTTTCGCGCGATGTGGTGTCAATAGACTGCTTCTTGGACGATGTGTTGGTGCTGAGCTCACTGGCGAAGCCGAGACGCCTCACAGCCCGAGGAAGTGATGGCAAAACATATATGCTGCTCATCAAGCCAAAGGATGACCTCCGAACAGACCAGCGTCTCATGGAGTTCAATGGGATCATTAACCGCTCGCTGAAGCGAGACGCAGAGTCCAGCAAAAGGCAGCTGTACATACGAACGTATGCCGTGGTACCGCTGAACGAGGAGTGCGGCATCATTGAATGGGTGCCGGGGATCAAGACGATGCGAGATATTCTGCTGAACCTCTATGCCTCGCAGAAGATTCATCCAGACTACAACACACTGAAGCAGCTGATGGAGGAGGCATCGACGTCTGACAGCAAAGTCGGCATCTTCACGAACGAAGTGCTGGGGCGCTTCCCTCCTGTGCTTCCCTTGTGGTTCATCCAGCAGTTCCCCAACCCGTCAGCGTGGTTCAGCGCGCGCCTGAGATATACACGCTCGTGCGCGGTCATGTCCATGGTTGGTACGATCCTCGGCCTAGGAGACCGGCACGGAGAGAACGTCAACTTGGAGGAGGGGACGGGAGGAATATTTCATGTGGACTTCAACTGTCTGTTCGACAAGGGCCTCACGTTTGCCAAGCCAGAGCGTGTGCCATTCCGCCTGACGCACAACATGGTAGCAGCCATGGGCATCTACGGCTACGAAGGGCCCTTTCGCAAGTCATCCGAGCTGACGCTGAGCATTCTTCGGCAGCAGGAAGAGACGCTGGTGACTATTCTGGAGGCGTTCATCTACGATCCCACGCTGGACCTGCAGAAGGACAAGCGAGCGGCGAAGAGGAGTGAGTTTGGGGTGAAGCTGCAGCCGCAGAGCGTGGTGGACAGCATCAAGAGGAAGGTCAAGGGACTGCTGCCGAACGAGAGCATTCCTCTGAGTGTGGAGGGGCAGGTGGAGGAGTTGATCAAGCAGGCGGTCAATCCGAGGAATCTGGCGGCCATGTATATCGGATGGTGTCCATTTCTGTAGGCAACATGAATGTTTTTTGTGTTTATATGCCAGTTCCCATACTTTGCGCTTTGATTTTCAGGTAGATTGTACTGTTGCTTTAGAAAAAGGGGTGGAGCAATATGCACATATCTACACTACCATAGCATCTGCCTTGGCTTGTTATCAATGAGATATCCCTTGTCTAATCTACTGTGTTCCATCCTAGCTGAGCAGAAGCTTCATTCTTTTATATACTCTCTGCTTGTTTAGCTGTCGTATTTTTTCTTCCATCTCTGCGGCTTCTCTTCTTCGTCAAGGCTGCACAGCCAAGCTGCGTGCTGAGCATGCCACAGGCGATTTATAAGTACCTAGTTCTGCACAGGTAGAATCGCTCTCCTTGCCCCCTACCAACGCACCTATTCTATTCTTGTTGTTTCTTTAAATCTCTTTCAGCTTCATCTTCTATTACATGATAGACGAGCCTGTGATGATTTCCCCCCTCATTCTACTGCATTGCCAGCGTTGCGTCAGTACCTCAACCTACATGTACCTACCTAAGCGCTGTAAGTGAGGAGCCTCAGGTAACTACCAGCGAGTCACACGCCTCTCAAGTCGTCACCTAAATTTCCCCTACCCTTTTTCCCTCAGCCGACGCGACGCGCCGCCACCCCCAAATTTCCAGATAACAGCCAGCTCCTTCCCCAGCCCTCTCCTTCCCTCTCTACACCACACACACAAAAAAAAAAACTCGTCCTTTCTGCCCTCCCATTAATTTTTCTTCTCTTTCACATTCACCATCCATTGTCTGCGGCTCTGTTGGCATCTGTTCTGCTTCTTCTGTTTCACTACATCATTCTTGTTGCCGCGCCCTTTACAGCAAGCAAAGCTGCAGCTCGGCCGCCGACATTCTTCCAGCAGCGGCGCATTTTAGCCTGTCTGGCCACAAGCTTGCGCGCAACAGGCATCTACTTACTATCAGCAACAGCCCATATTTCCTCCTTACCATCTGATCTCAAAGCACCCCCAAGACTCGGTTCGATTCCCGTGCAAACATGGGTGAATATCGCATTGGTAAGTAATCAGTTCTCTGCGGGGTGCGAATCTCGCCTCAACGTCCTTCCTCCCTGTCTCTCCGCTGTCTGGAAACTCTACTGGGCAGTGCCTGTCCAGATATATTGGAAAGAGGCTAATTTGTCGTCTGACCTCCAGAGGTCTCGCCCAACAAACGCGCCGGCTGTACAGACACCGTGTGCAAGCAAGGCGAGGTCAAGATCCAAAAGGGCGAACTCAGGTTTGGCTCTTGGACTGTCATCAAAGAGCACGGTTCTTGGAGATGGAAGCACTGGTACGTTGCCATCTCCCCTGATGCTTGGCACAAAGGCATTCGCCCTTTGATGGAGCTCTGATTCTAAAACGACCATGCAGGGGATGCGTATCCGGTTCTCAGCTTGTCAACCTTCAAGAAGCGTGTGGCGGCGATCCTGACAATCTGGACTTTGATGCAATTGACGGCTTTGATGAGCTGCAGTAAGTCGAGACCTTTGCTCCGCCTTACACCGCTGCAGTACGCTGACATGTCGTGCAGAGACGAAGAGCTGAAGGAAAAGGTCAAGCGCTGCGTCAGGCAAGGCCACATTGACCCGGAGGACTTCAACGGGGTTGGTCTTCTGTTGCCTTTGCAAGTCGTGCGTTGCCGCCCATGAGCTGACAAACTGCAGGATCCGGAGAAGAATAAGCCGGGTGAAAAAGGAATCCACCTCACGGCCAAACAGAAGGAGGCCAAGGAGAAGGCTGCTGCTCTTGTAAGTTGAACCATCATGATGGGGGGCTTCGGTTACTGATCAGCTTTGGATAGGAGGCGGGCGAGAGCCAGTCAGCTGCATCTCAGAAGGACACCAAACGAGGTCGCAAGAAGGCTGCCGATGATGTCGCAGATGAGCCTGAGCCGAAGAAAGCTAGGAAGTCCAAGGATATCGACGCAGATGAGGAACAGCCCAAGACGAAGGCCAAGGCTCGTGTCAAGGGCGAGGACAACGTCAAGAAGCCCGCTTCGCTCAAAAGGGGACGGCCTCGTCGATCGAGCGTCCAGCAGGATGAAGAGGTGGAGAGCGAAGAAGCCGAGAAGCCAGCGCCGGCCAAGAGGGTCGCCAAGAGGGGCTCAAAGGCAAAGGCCACCAAGGCTGAGCCTGAAGAGGAGATGGTGAAGGAGGAGGAAGTCGATGAGGGGGAAGACGTGGTGAAGAAAGAGGAGGAGGAGGAGGAGGAGGAGGAGGTGGAGGAGGAGAAGGTCATTCCTGTTCGTGCTTCCAGTGGACGGAAACAGTCGTCCTCCAGAGCCAAGGCGGCGGCGACCACGAACGAGGATGAGAGCGGTGCTAAATACACTCCGGTCTCTTCTTCCAGGGGCCGAAAGCGAACCGCCGTCGTGCCACAGGCGGAAGAGCAAGATGAGGAAACGCCCAAGGCTGTTGCCAAGAGAGGGCGCAAGGCGGCTTCCGCTAAGAAGGCTAATCCTGATGGCGTGGAGGGTGCCGAGGAAGAGGCGCCCAAGCCTAGAGGAAGAGGCCGCCCTCGCAAGTCTGTCTAGTGTGACTTTGGCAGATCTACGAGTCTATACATGGATCAAACAGCTACTGGAATTTGCGGTATATTGTCGAACGATAGGGGCTCGGTGGACGGGGCAGTATCTTGACGGAGATATATGCCGAAGGTTCTTTTTTACTTTTTTATTCTACTGCGTTTCTTCCCTCGATCTGGTCGTTTATGATCAGTAGACAGTTCATGGCTTTGATAAGAGAGCAGGCGGGCTGTTGGGCGGGGGTTATTCTATTTGAGGGCCCGGCACGATGTCCTAGGCATATGTAGAAGCACTGTACTCTTGAATGCAAAAAATGCCCTATAACGGGGGGTCATGCCAATATCCTGAGCCTTGAAGATGTCTTTGGCATGTAGTCTAGATCCTCCGTGACGGCGGCTAACAAGCCGTCAAGTGTTAGTGTTCCAGCAGCTGTTCCGTCAACTACTACTAGTAGCGCCTTGCGACAGGCATCAATCCTGGAGCTCGGAGCTTTAGCTTTGTTAGTGCGCGGCGACGTCATCAGGCACAGCACATGCATGTGTCCATCCATCCCTGTCCGCCACCCCGCAGCCCCAAAAGCTACGAGCATCTCGACTCTCCACCGACGCGCATCTTCACCAAACTCATCTACCTACCGAAGCTCGTCTAGGTCAGCACGGATATTGCACCGCTATTGTGTGACAGGTGTGAACTTCTGCAGTGTCTTTATCGCATATAGATTTGAGACCTTCTCTCAGGGGAAACCCGGCATCACCCATCCATCACCGCGCGACACACAACAAACCCTCCCTCCTTCAGAGCACCAAACCATGTCCACAACCACGAATCCCGACCCCGACGCCTCGGCCCCGGCCTTCATCCCGCTCGAGGCGAACCCGCAGCTCCTGACGGCGCTGATCCACAAGCTCGGCGTGTCGCCCGCGCTGCAGTTCCACGACGTCTACTCGCTGACGGAGCCGGAGCTGCTGGCCTTTATCCCGCGCCCGGCGCTGGCGCTGCTGCTGGTGTTCCCCGTGTCGGCCGTCTACGAGAGCCAGCGGATGGCGGAGGACAGCCTGGCGGACGAGTATGGCGGGACGGGCGAGGGGGAGCCGGTGCTGTGGTGGAAGCAGACGATTCGGAATGCGTGTGGACTGATGGGGTTGCTGCATGCGGTTTCGAATGGGCCGGCGAGGGAGTTTATCAGTATGTTTCTTTCCTTGTTCTTCTCCTCATAACATGAGTCCTGGATTTTGTGGAGAGGTGACGTGTGCTGACGGCTTTTTTGGTGAAATGACAGCTGAGGGATCGATCCTGGACGACCTCATCAAGAAGAGCATCCCCTTGCCCCCCGCCCAACGCTCGGCCCTGCTCGAAAAGACGCCCGCCCTGGCCGATGCGCACAAGGCCGCTGCCACGGAGGGAGACACCCCCGCGCCGGACGCCCAAGACGATGTTGACCTGCACTATGTGTGCTTTGTCAAGGGGAAAGATGGCGGGCTGTGGGAGCTTGACGGACGAAGGAAGGGGCCTATTCGGAGGGGCGACCTGAACAAGGATGAGGATGTGCTGAGTGAGAAGGGGTTGAGCTTGGGGGCGTTGAAGTTTTTGGAGAGGGAGGGGGGTGATTTGCGGTTCAGTGCTGTTGCGCTGGCTGGGACGTTGGATTGATGCATCATGGAAGGGAAGAGAAGGGAAGGGGTAGGTGGTTTGATGAGCAGCTCTTGGTGCTATGGACGGACGATAAAATCTACGTCTTCTCGGAGACGATACGCTGCTTGACGTTGCGGAATCTCTCAAAAGGGGTATGATGGTATGGTTCTGAGTGCGCTATGTGTTATGGGTCGAGACATCAGCCCAGTCTTGCAACGCCGAATCGATTGCGTCGGAAAGATTGTCCATAATGAGACTGGGCTTTACGTGGGAAGCTTTGGTCTTGGCTGTTTGCTCACCGCTTGTGGAGGGTTCTGCTGCCTGGTATTTGACTCCAGCATCTGTTATAAACGAGCCTACACACGACGACTCCTGCTGCGGCATCTTCTGCTTCTGTGTGTTGTTTTTCGTGAATGACAGGTTACATGCATGACACTCCTTGGGGATATAAGCATAGTGCGTCCCACGAGCTGGATTACGAGGCGGGATAGGCGGAGGGAGGGTAGTCGATGTGTCTTGTTGTTGTTGTTGTTGTTCTGGGATGGGGTCAAGGCCGAGCTGTCTGCGAAGATGTGCGTAAGCTTGCAGTTCACGGGCTTGAATCTCTCTGAGCTCTTGATCTAGATGTGTACTCGACATGTTTCTGAGGGGGATCAATGGACATGGGAGTTTGTTTTGACTATCTCAAGGCTTTTTTCAACTCTGGGGGTCTCTCTACCAACTGGGCTTGCTGTTCATATATATCAGTACTGCGAACCGATGCTTGAATCACTGTGATGAGGTTTATACGCTGAACAGCAATTGGATCACGGCTTGACGTGTTGAAGTATGCCCGCAGATGAAGGTATCGTGACGAGCTGTCTGCATACCTAGGTACAACGGGGAAGATGAGGCCAGTCAATGTAAGTCTACGAATGACTCCCGGGCAGCACCGATCCAGATCTCGTTGCTGGTATCCTTTACACTTCACAACGAATTCCCACGTCTGGATTCTCTCGTCGTTGCGCATCACAGGAATCTAGCTCAATGTTCTGGTGTTGTCATATCAATTGCTTGGGCTATCGATTGCTTCTGAAAGTATTGCCTCTTTAGGATCGGAATCTAACCGAGAATTTCCTTTTTTTTTCTAATTTACCTTTATTGTAAGGTAATTCCCCTAGTAGCGGGATCTCCTTTCCGCAAATTGCCAAGACAGAGCCGAAAGCATCAACAAGGCAGCTCTGCCCTACTGACGTCATCTCAGCCTCCCCATCGCCAAGGCCCCGGTTCAACGCAGAGCCACAAGAAACGCTCCATCAGAACAAGGAGCACCTTCTTCAAGTTCTCTCTTCATGCCATTTCGATTGAATTGGCACGCAAGGTACAGTACCGTAAAATGCGGAAAATAAAAAAGCGGGCTCAATGGGGTTTCCCGCTCTTAATACCAAGGAATAAAGTATCCCCAATGATGCAAATACTATGGGCGGAACGGAACCTTTTTTGTCCATCTATCCACACCGTTTGAAACTGAATCCCGCTTCCCCACAGAATAGCATCATTCTTACGACGAAGACTTCCCAGGCCTTACTCGCATCGAGCCGAATGACGTCAGCATACTCGCAACAGGTAAGGAGCCAACAACAATGTCGGCACTGTGAATGATGGAAAGTCAATGGGTATAAGAAAGTGTATTTCCTCCCCGACCAATTGACGAAGAAAGAAACTTCATTCAATCATACCACTCTCGATACCCTCAAACAACAACATCAACATCAACCAAAATCAAAACCATCACCACCAACACAAACAACTTCACACATAATTCAAGATGCCTCGCAACGGAGACGGATCAAGCGACAACGGCCCCTTCCCCGAGGCTGACCACAACATTGGCCACGGCGTCACCAATGAAGATGTACGTCACACACAGAATTTCCCCCCTCCTCTTCCTCTTCCTTCTTCTTCTGCACACACACACGCAAAACAATTCGAAGAGATCTAGGTTGATGGCGATATGCTAACAAGTCGATGCAGAAGTCAAAAGACAAGGCCGCCCCCCTGCCCGAGGGCCTGCAGGAGCACGGCAAGGGCATTCCCGGCATGAACGCGAGCGGAGGACAGAGCCAGGGCATCAAGGAGGGCCCCAACGTTGGCCAGGGCGGTCGCTCAAGCACAAACTAGAGAGGAAGAGAAGAATAACACTCGGGGGAGGGAGGTTGTTTTCACCAAGATATCAGGTTTTTTTTCTTCTTTGCATTGTACATCAGAATGAAGGCATGATAACAGGGAATGGGAATGAAACGGCATTCATAACCTACTAGTATGCTGCCTCTTTATATTCTTTTGACATGACATTGAAACTCGTGATGCCTCGGTTGAGATAGAAACACATGACCAACCACATCTGTCCGTACGCCCCTTCTATGCCGTCCAATGTATTAAGAGATTTAACCCCCTCATCTTTGCCCAAATCCAAACCACAGAATTATCATTATTTCCTACTCCTTCACATCTCGCCCTCCGTCAAGCTCTTGTTCCACCGCTGAAAGAACTGATCCTTCCACGTCGGCATACACAGCACCGTATCCGGCGGCCCAGCCCAGTCGATCCGGTCCTCGCTCTCGTCGTCATCGTCGTGCTGCGCCCTCACGACATCCGACACGAAGCCCTTGAGCTCCTTGATCCTCTTGCCGTTCTTGTTCGTGTACTCGAGATTCACACTCGGCACGACGGCAATCTTGCCGTAGCCGCGCCACCACATGTCCTTGCAAAACAGCACCGGCTCGCCCTGGAAGCACTCGCCCGCCTTGTGGTGGTTGGTTCGGAAGCGCAGGCCCTCGGCAATGGGCCGCGCGCTGAAGACGGTCGCGCCGTTCCAGCAGGCAAACGCCTGAAAGGGCCGCATGCGCTCGAGGCGCGCCCTCGCGGCGGGCGCGTTCCAGAAGAGCCGGTGCGCCTCGGCCCAGCTGCCGCTGGCGGGGATGTGGAAGAAGGAGTCGCCGTTGATGCCGCGCGCGATCCAGACGTCGTAAAAGGTCGGGTCGTCGCCCGCGTACGTCCAGTCCATGGCGCAGGTCATGTCCGCGCCGAGCCGTTGCCTCTGCAGGACGAGCTCGAGGATGTCCTCGGGGCAGGCGGCCACGTCGTTGAGGAAGATGACGCTGGCGTCGTCGGCCAAGGCGAGCGTGTGCTGCGCAATGGGCTCGAGCGGCATGTTGCGCAGCGCCGCGAGCTTGGCGATGCGGTTGCCCTCGGCGGAGCGCACGGTAGACGAGTTGAAGAAGTAGGTGACGCCCAGGGCCTCGAGGCTGGGGCGGAGGGCGGCGAGGACGTCGCCGGTGCCGTCGGGGGAGTCGCCCTCGACGATGGAGAGGGCGCACGAGCGCGGGCCGAGGAACTGCATCGCTTCGATGATGCTGCCGATGAGGCGCGGGAGGAGGGTGACGCAGTTGCGCAGGTCGAGGGCGAAGAAGTAGCGGATTTCGACGTCGGTGTCGGCGTCGGCGTCGGCCTTGGAGTCTGAGGAGAAGAGCGAACGGGGGAAAGGGGGGGAGGGAGTCTTCGATGGTGGGAGCGTTGAGATGGACCGGTCCTCGGGTGGAGATGGAGAGTGTGATGATGACGGAACAGCGGAGGAAGCGAGGGACGCAGCTGATGATGTCGATGCTGTTGTTGAGAATAGGGGTAAAGACGAAGCCTCAGAAGGCCATGATGATGGCTCTGCTGGAGGCGAAGACGGCGCCGGTCTCTTTGGCGATGCTTTGCCGGCCTTGAGCGATCTGTATCTCGTGGCATTGATGGCAGGACACTCGAACTTGGGTAATGTCGAGTGCGGCCTCGCGTTGTAGATGGCCTCGAGGTACTCGCTTATGTTTCTCGCGGGAAGAACCGCCCCTAGAACGAGGTGTCAGATATACATGATTTGACTAACATCTCCATCTTTAGAGACCGAGGCCTCTTTTTGTTATCTACTCACCATCCTGCACAACATGCCCCTTTGACAGCTGCTTGTACGCCATCGGGCGCCTCTGCGAGCTCGGGAACCACGAGAGGCGATCGCGGGAGAGGTATAAGCTGCCCACCAGCAGCAGGAAGATGAAAGGGGCCGCCACCAGCGGTAGCCTCCTGCTGCGCATCTCAGCTCGGGGAGGGGGGCACTTTGCTTTTATAAAGGGGACGAGGAGGAGGAGGAACAAGAACGAGTGAGAGTGAATGAATTCACAAATTGAAGTTGTTGTCAAGAGGTGAGAAGTGTGCCTGGCGTCAGGAGAGCGGCCGTGGCAAAAGAGGCTTTTGAGTTGAGTTTACAGTCAGAACCGCGGGCCTAGTCCCAACGCAGGCCAGCCACATGAGGGCAAAGGAGGGCTTATGACGAGAACAAAGAGTGGGAGGTAGAACGCAAGTAAACGAGCAGAGATAGAGGCTGTGTCTCGTCTGTCTCGTCGTTTAATATCGTATCGTATTTTGCTGCCGTGAGTCGGAATGGGAAATCCTTCGGTGGCCTGGTCTAGAAGCAAGTGGGCCGGTCGTTGGCCTCTGACGATGATTGTTGGCAAAAGCTGTCAAGTGCTTATTGCGTGTGTATAAGGCATACTAGGGATGTAGATATGGAGAGAGTAATATACTGGTAGCCATGTTCGTATGCGGGCATGTTAGCACCGAGGCGGTGGGTTAAGGTAGCAACGGATACGCCGGGTCTGATACGAGATGTAATACATACCTATACTCTGTATAGGCATGAGCTCGAGGCATGACAAGGTCCGATTCTGATGCAGTTCAACGTCGAGCCCCCAATGGTGGGAATCAGCCAGCCAGTTGGCAATTGGTGGTGCATTGCAGGCGGACGCTACGAGACAAAAGAGAACGAAGACACCGGTGTGACGGCGTTCTCGCTTCAGGAAGGGCTCGCATAGGAGGGCGAGCGAGCAGCTTGGCGTCTAAACGATCTGAAACTCTTTTTTTTTCCCTTGGTTTCTTCTCCTCCTTGTTTCCCCCTCTGTTGTCTCCTCTGTTGCTGTTCCATTCTGTGGTTTTGTTCTGTTGCTGGTTTCTGTTGCTGTCACTCCAACCCTCAAGTCTCGTCTCCTCCGCCTCCTCCTGCTCCCCTCATCAGCTCTCTTACACACATACAACATCCTTCTTCTCTCTGTCAACCTCGTAATACATCGTACTCTAACCAGCCACTACCTTAGCCCAACCCCCCCCCCCCCTCAAAACTCAATCCCGGCCACGCCAAAGCCATCTGGAACGGTCTCTCCCGCGGCAACGATACGAGAACAAGCTCAGAGGCTATTGGCCACAACTCGAGAAAGTTGCCGGCAGGGGTTCCGAGCAGCAGGCAAAAAAAAAAGCACGAGCTTTTTTTCTCTCTTACACACACACACACACACACACGAGCTTGGTAAGATACAAACAAAAACAGAAACAGCGCCAGGGCCCTTTTGCCGTTAGCCAGGGACCCTGGTTTATGGGAAGAAGCTTAGCTGTGCGCATCAGGCAATTGCCGGGGGTCCCTGATTTGTTCCTGTTTTTGGTCCTTTTTTTTTTTTTTTTCTCTCTCTCTCTTTTGCGCTTCTCTTGTCAGACAATAGTACCTGCACCTATCGTTTCGTGAGGGGAGGGGAAAAATACGATACAGGTACCTACATACATAGATAGGCGGTGCAATTGCTCGTATTCACATGGGAGATGGGCTAATGCAAAAGTGGCTGTAGCCGAGAGCCATTTTCTGTTGCTTGCATACAGTCAAACTTGTCATGTGAAAGAATAATTACGTGACTGAAGAGGAGACGGGAAGATGCTCTCAGTTTCCCGTCGTCAGCTGTTGCAGCAGCACCTGATCTGGAAGCATTGGAGAGACACGAACTTGAAGTCGGGAGCTGTTTGCTGAGATGACCCTTGTACCTTGTACCTGGTCTTTGCCCAGCTTGTATGAGCATGGCTACTACCTAAGGTAGGTACCGGGTCCGCCTCTCGGAATACTAATCCAATGCTTGTTCCTGCCAAGGCGATGTGTATGATCCGCACGTGGAGCCGATGCAAGTCTATTCTCATGTTATTCTTGTCTTTCGTCCAAGTTGAGTTGAGGCGGATGTGCGATACTAGCAAGTTGCTTGGCTCTATTTACTCAAGTAAGAGGCCCCGTTTACATAACATGCAATCGGACGATTGATTGGTCTGGTGGTCTAGTGGTATGATTCTCGCTTAGGGAAAACCCTACAGCTGATATGCGAGAGGTCCCGGGTTCAATCCCCGGCCAGACCCTTGTTTTTTGCTTTTTTCCCCAACTCCTTCCTCCTCCTCCTCCTCCTCCTCCTCCTCCTCCTCCTCCTCCTCCTCCTCCTCCTCCTCCTCCTCCTCCTCTCTCGTCTTCTATATCTTTTTCTTATCAAGAGTCTTTTTCAGCTCTTGTACATACATACATTGCTTGCTTACCTTGTAGCATCAAAGATACAAGCTGTTCTCTCAAATTTTTTTCTTCTTAGCTCTCCTCTACGTGATAGTATCACTCACTACCCCTTGGTCCGGTCAGCTATGTAAGGAAGATGAATAAGATAGATGGGTGATGGATGGATGGAAGGGTGGGTGAGATTACCTCCTCCCTCACTCACACAGCTGAATGCAGCTACCATAAACAGCAAGAGATGCACAAGATGCTCGGCCTTTTTCACCCTGTCAACGAGACGGACCAATCGTCGAATCTTCTTCCCTCCAACAAAACGAGCCTAAGTCCCCCGAAAACGCAATCCTCTCTCAGCTCGTATTATGCCTATGGATACGCTCATCCATCTATAGAGAGAACCAACCCAATTCGAGCCAAGTCTCTTCAGCATACGAGTTGATCTCAGGCTCTGATTGATGCCGAGGTTATGCGTCCTTGTTCGTCAAAGATGCTTCATCAGGGAAGACTCATTGTGTCATTAGTTAGAACATGGTAGGATGCAAGAGAGAAAGAAACTCATTGATTATCCGAAACCAACCCATTGATCCCCATTCTTACTCTCGTATGGAAGAAGCACTCTCACTCATCTCATCTCATCCCAACTCATCTCAGCCTCCTCCGCCGGTTCGTCGAAATGCTTCTCCCCCCAGACATGAAATACCCTCGCGTCCTCCCCCCTGTCCTCGTCTCCCTCTCCCTCTCCCTCTGCCTCTGCCTACCCGCATCTTCTCCGCGAACACCCGCAGCCGCACGAGACGAATCCCCAGTCTGTCTGTTCCTCCCAACAGCAGCAGCAGCAGTAGCGTTGACGTTGGACGTGGTAGTAGCCCCTGAATGCATGTTTTGCTGCTGCTGCTGCTGTTGTTGTTGTTGCCGCCGACGCACGTCCTCAATCACGCGCATCAACGTCCGAAGACGGTTCTCTTCCTGGTGGATGTTGTGTCTGGCGGTGGAGAGGATGCGCTCTGTGATGCTGCTGCTTCGATGAGCGGCGATGGGCGTGGAAGTTGTGTTGGGGCTGTTGTTTGCCGAGGTCATATTTCGAGGTGAGGTATTGCTGTTACTGTTGTTGTTGTTGTTGTTGTTGTTGTTCTGCTGGCCTCGTTGGTGAGCCTCTGTGCGTCTGGTTTGTCCGTGTTGACCATGACTGTTGTTCCTCTCCTGATGATGCCGATGGCGATGCTGTTCCAGGGCAGTCTGTATAAACCGCAGCCATCAGCCCGAATCCTACACAACAACCATGCTCTCACCATCTCCATTCCCAAAACCATCCATTTCATCCATAAAAAAGGGGGGGGAAGAAAGAAAGAAAGTAGCAAACATAAGCAAACTTACCTCTTCCCCCTGCATACGCCCACAACCACAACATCCCCTCCTCCTCCTCCTCCTCCTCCCCCAACAACTCTCACAATCACTCCAAAACTCCTCCTCATCATCAACATCGTCACCACTCCCACCACTTTCACTCTCGTCCAAACCGCTATCACTAGAACAACTCGACCCGCAACTCGAGCAGCAACCACAGCAGCAGCAGCAACACGTCGACCCCGAGTACTCAGATCCCGACTCCTCCTCCTCCTCCTCCTCCTCCTCCTCCCGCTCCTCCGAGACAAGAACGTACCCGTTCCTCATAGAATCGCGACACAACAGGCGCCGGTGCACCGCATCGTAGAGCCTACTGCTGCCAGCCATGGCGGACCACAAACGATAGCGAGAGAAAAAAAAAAAAAAAAAAAAAACCTAACTCAGCTGACGCAAGTATATCTTGAACAAGAAAAGGGGGTGAGCAACGGGACAGCCTATCGTATATCTCAAAGCGTCAAGTTTTCACAGCGGGAGAGATGCACTCAATGTCGTATCGCTCAAGGTATAGGCTCAACGACTACTATCCAGGCTATCCATCTCATCGCCGAGTTCTTTCCCCCCCCTTAAATACCCATCTCGATCAAACAACGACTCGGCACCAAACCCCCCTTTTGAGCAAGCAAATCCCATCACTCACCACAACGCTACCATTGTTTGCGTTGCACCTCTCCTCAACCCTCGGCAGCATACACATCAGCACTGTCATACAACCGTCATACAAGAACGCTCAAGTCCGGCCGACGTCCCTGTGTAGCTGCACTCGCTAGGGCGTGATGGAGCCATTTCTCTGCTGCTGCATCTTCGCATCGTCGTCTCTCATTAATAACTAATATCGTACCAATCATATATAATGTAACATAATCCTGCCCTCCTGAACCATGACACAATGGCAGTCCCCATATGATACAGAGTCCTGCAGCTGATCACTGCCGCTAGGGAATCCCTCACTCTTCACCTATCCCCCTATCCCCTGTCCAGATACCCAATTACACAAGGCGGTCCCTCGTCCTACAGTCCCTGCCTGTCACCGAAACGCCATGCTGCATCAGTGCTCCCGCTTCTCCCTGCCTCCCCTTGCAGACGTCACTCGTGCTTCGGCGTCCTCACAGGAAGCCCTTGGTCATACTAGGAGCTCTGTTCAGGCTGCTGTTCCTCTGGGGGACGTCAATCAGCGTCGAGTCATCCCCCTCGCTGCCCGTCCTCCAAGTGACGCCTCGCCCGCGCACGCTGCCCACTGCCGCTGTGCCCTTCTCCATACGAAGGCCCTTCCAGCCCTCCAGCTCCCGCTCCAGGCGGTGACACTTCTCCTTCTCCTCGCGCAGTTCGCGCTCCGCTCGTCGTGCCGACAGCTGGTTCGTCGATTCCGACGCCTGCAGCTCATCGATTGTCTTGAGAAGCTTGTCGACCCTGTCGCGCATGCGGTTCACGTCATCCAAGAGCTGGAGGTTTTGCTTGTCCTTGCGCTCAATCTGTGTCTGTAGATCCTTGACTGTGCGGTCCACGTTTCGGACAGATCGCTGAGACTTGTTTCTCTCTTCTTCTTGGCTATCCAACTGTGACTCGAGCTGATGAGATGTAGTTAGTACACACGATCGATGTTCGGCAGCAAAAGGGGCGTGAGATCAGAAGGACTCTTACCTCTTGGATGCGCTTGTGCAAGAACTTAATGTCTTGGCTGCCGCTCGAGTAGCCCTTGGTCTCGAGGTCTACCAGCTTGAGCTGCGCTTCGCTCAGGCTCTTTTCCAGCGCCGTCTTCTGCTTCTGCAAGGCCGCAGCATTCTCCCGCTCGGCCGCGACATCCTTCTGTATCTCAATCACTAGAGCCTCGGCTCGTCGCATCTTCTCCACTGCCGCCAGGGCAATGTCCTCCTGTCGGGCAAGGCTGGACTTGAGGTTCAGAATCTCCTTGTCCATGCCCGCTGCATCGCGGAGCGATGGGCTTCCTCCCTTGACCAGCTCGTCAAAGCCAGCCTTGGCTTCTTCGAGACGAGCTTCGAGGCCCTTCTTCTCCCGCATGAGGAGGTCGCGCTCGGTAGTGATCTCGTCCACGCTCGATCGCAGAGTTCGCACTTGCGACAGCAGGGAGACAATCTTGCTCTGTGCCTCGTTGTGCGCGCTGACCGCTTCGTCACGCGACGAGGCAACGTCGACCAGCGTCGACTCCAGTCGAGCCTTTTCCTTGGACCACGTGGAGCTGTTTAGCACCTCGTCATCCCACTTGGACCTCAGCTCGTCAAGCTCCTCGCGAAGTCGGGTAATCTCTGCTTGCTTGAACAGCTTCTCCTCGCGAGCGAGATCCAGCTCCTTGGCAAGAGTGGCAAATTCAGCCTGGTACTTCTTGCGGGTTTGCTCCATGCTTGATTCCTTGTCCTCGATTTCCATGGCCCTCTGGTTGCGGTAGTCTTCCAGTTCGTGCTGAAGGCGTTTCTTGGCTTGTGTCGCGGCCTCCAGGTCAGTCGACAAGTCTTCCACCCTTCCTTCAAGACGGTGATTTTGGCCTTGCAGGTCTTCGATGAGGGCATCCATCCGTTGCCTCTCGGACATGACCTCGGCGTATGTGTCTTCGGCCTCCTTGGCTTGTGATTTGGCGAATTGCTCGGCTCTTGTCGCCTTCAGAACAGCAATTTCAGCCTGCTCGAGCTTGCTAAAGTACTCGTCTGCCCGGCTCCTGTACATCTCCAGGCTGGATGTCACGTCGGCGAGTCTCGATGTTTCCGCATCAAGTCGAATCTGGAGATCGGTAAACTCTTGCAAGAGCTGGCTGCGGCTTTGAGCCTCTTGCTCGCGCGCAGCCGTCATCTCCTGCAGGTCAGACTTTGTGTCCCGAAGCTCAACTTCCAGCATCGCCCGGTCATGACGCATCTTGTCAAAGTGAGCCTTGACCTCGGTCAATTCCGCAAGAGCATCCTTGTGGCTATGCAGCAGGGACTTGCGTGCTTCCTCCTGGCTGTTGAAGATGTCCAGAAGTTCTTCGTGGGAGCGTGTCTGGATATCCCGCAGAGAGAGCTCGCCAGCTCGCATGCTCTTTTCCAAAGCGGCCACCTTCTTGGTAGAGTCGTCCAGCATGTCGTGAAGGCGGTTGTTGGCCTTTTCCAGCTTCTGCACTCGCAGGATGGACGCCTCGTCTTCGTAAGCATCGTCTGATGCCGAGTTTCGGTCGAGTTGGCTCTGGAGCTTCCGGTTCTGCATTTGAGCCAACTGCAGCTGGCTCTGAAGCTCCTCGATTTCAGCCCTCATCTCGAAGCCGTTCCTGATCTCCGATGCGCCAAAGCCTCGCTCCGACAGCGTCAAGTCCTGGGAGGTCGCGTCCTGGAAGCGCCGACCAGCACCAATGCCGTTGGAATTGGAATGCAGGCCTGCCTTGATTGGCTTCTTCATGCCAGGAGAGCCTTGGAAGGGCGCCTCGTTCGGATGCAGTTCGCCCAGCGACGGCCTGGTGGGACTCTCGTTCCTCAGCGCTCTCATCTCGTTGAGCTGGCTTTCCGCGTTCGTCCTGGCGACCGTTTGAACTCGCAGTTTCTGCTGCAGCTCCTCAACCATTCGCACGAGGTCGAAGTTCTTGAGTAGGGCTTTCTCGCTGCTCGAATTCGACTGGGGAACCTGGACCTCGGGATCAACCATCTTGAGTGCCTTGAGCATTTGAGCTCTCATGTCCTCCAGTTCCTTGTCTCGCGAGTCTATCGAAGCCTGCAGTGTGCGTACGGTGGATTGTGTCTGGTTCCGCAGCTGTCTCTCCGATTCAAGCAGTCGGTTGGCTTCCGCCAGCTGAACGGTGAAATTGGAAGAAGCCTTCTCTGCGGTCCTACTAGCCTTCGCTTCCCTCGCAACCTCGTGGTTTAAGTCTTCCAGGTTGAGATGAAGCTTCTCCAGCTTCTTCTCCAGAGTTGCAATGTTGAGCTGGGCCTCGCCGAGCTGCTTGTTGAGCTTTGCGTTCTGCTCTTCGAGCTTCGCCTTTTCTCCTCGCAGGGATATGAGCTGGCTCCGAGAGGCTTCCGTTGCGCGAGAGCTGGATCTGGCGATTTCGAGGCCCTTTTGCTGCAGCTTGTTGAGCAGCGTCTTGTTGTCGTTCTCTGATGCCACAAGTCGGCTCTTGATGGTGTTGAGCTCGCGCTCCATTCTTTCCTTTGCCTGATCATTCTTCAGCCCAAACTCTCCAGAGGTGAGGATGAGCTTGTTGAGCTCTTCGACTTGGCGATTCAGTTTCGTGCACTCATCCTCGAACCATCGAAGGCGTTCCTGAGCGGCATCGAGATCTTTGCGAAGGCTATTCTCCCTTTCGCGAGCCGCCTTCGAAGCTTGGCGCTCACCAGCCATTTCCGCCTGCAGACGAGCCTCCTCGGCCTCGGTCTTGGCCACGCGTAGCTTCCGAATCTCGTCCCTGGCATCGTCTCGCTCTTTTTCGAATGCGGCCCGAGCTTCCATGGCTCGCCTCAGGGTATCTTGCTGGACATACATTTCCTTCTCAATGATGATCTTGGCGTCGTTCAGGCGATCGAACTCGTCCTTGAGAGCCTGGTACTTGTGCTCACCAAGCAGCAAGACGTCATCGCGGGACTGCCGCTCTCTGCTCAGTTCCATTTGCGTCTTGTAGAGCTCGTCCTGGAGGTCCTTGATTTGCGATTCGAGAACCTTGCGGTTCTTCTCAGCCTGCGCGTCCTCAGAAAGCCTCGTCTCAAGAAGAACCTTGGCGTCCTGAGCCTCGCGCTCCAGCTGTGTCTGCTTGGATCTCAGCGCCACCAATTCGGCCTGGACATCGCGGAATCTGGCGGCATTCTTCTCCATGTCTTCCGTCAGAGCCCGCTTCTGCTCCTCGAGGCTTCGCCGCTCGGCTTCTGATTTTCTCTTGTCGTCACGCAGTAATGCTAGCTCGCTCTCCTTGGATCGAACAAGATCTTCGTAATCCGTCGATGTCTTGGACAGCTCCGCAAGCTGCTCGTGTACTTCCTGATTCTCTCGAGCAAGACGAACCTCTCGCGCTTTGGCTGCGTCGAGATCTTTGTGCGCGGTGAAGAGCTTGACCTCGAGATCCTGGTCCAGCTTGAGCAGCTTGTCTTCCAGGTCCTTGGATTTTCGATCCTTAAGAGCCAATTGGCTCTGGAGCATCTTGATTTCGCCCTCCATGGCGATTTCTCTGTCAGAATGCTCAGACTGCCTCTGGGATAATTCATTGATGGCCGTCTCAAGCTCCGTTGCCCTGGCAGACAAGCGCGTCTTCTCTTCTTCGAGCCTAGAGATGAGAGAAGCCGCTTGTTCAAGTTGGGCACGGTACTTTTCAACTTCCTGCTCGGCCCGGTTCTTCGCTTCCATCAGGCTATCCAGCTGGTCCT